AGTTGTTTCCAGTTTCGAAGCCGCCAGATGAATATCCGGCACATCCATGGGAAGATGGGACAAAATCTAGGGGGAATGTCAACTCGAGTCTGTTATGGAAAGCAGGGAGGTGTGTTGACGAACTGGCATGCCTTTGAGAAGCGCCGACCTTGCGCCTAAAAACTCCCGAAGTTGCGTTATGGTGGAAAGGCTGATGTCCTTTTCAATTTCCCCGCATAGCTCAAGAAGGATTGACGAACTGCGTCGCTGTTCAGCATCATCGAACGATAGTTACGGTACCCCCAGGGCTGTGGACGATTGGAGTTGCTCACCTTCGAATCCAGAGGTTTTGTCCCAGTTCTTCAGTTGCGCCACAATATTCAAGTTGAGAGGTGCCCACCGAGTCTTTGTTCATAATGAAGAGCTTATTCGCAACCTTTGTGGCTAGCTGACGAATGGATTGATCCCGAGAAAGGACGCAAAATAAAAATGGCTTAAGAAATGCCATGCCTGCGGTCTCACCAGACAAATCCCGAAGCAGAGGGCCAGGAGAGGCATAGAAATAGCGAAGAATTTCCAAAATTTTACGGCTGCCATCTTGTGACAACTCATGTCTTGCTTTAAAGAAGTTCATATATTCGGACTGCAATTCTTTATTAGTACTTTTTATTGCTGTATTATTGAACTTGGTTTTATCATACCTCAAATTCAGATCGGATTAGAACAAGAACACTTGTCTGTAGTGCTGTATACTTGGCCGTTTCGGACCGTCGCGCAAGTCGCGCAAAATATGAACATGCTTGAATGACAGCGATCTTGAAAGAGTTCGGCGCAGGTGGGGAAATACATGCTTTCGTAAGTGTTTCAACGCTGCCGTCTAATCCAAGATGAGCGAGACTAACAAAAGCTCCTGTGATCATATCCTGGTCAAACTGTGGTGTTGCAATGTTGGACTGGGAAAGGCTGAACACGGATTCTCGGATTTCATCTTGCACATCCATAGCATAACTGACCAAGGCAGAATCGCTCTCAGCCTCAAAATGTCTAGCTGCTCGAAGAAGGCTTACTAGGCAGTACGCTGCTCGTTCATTCCCATTCCGAAGGCCTTTTCTGAGGCTATCCAAAAAGGACACCTTCTTGATCAGGTTATTACTCTTCGCTTCCCTCAAGTTGCTTGCTACCTCAAAAACGTCAGGAAGCAACAATAGGAGGGTGATCTGCAGCGGGTATAAGACTGCTCTCCGACGACCATGGTCTATTCCTGTCTGTGTCATGTCGAACAGAGTGTCGCCACCACCGTCTAATCTCCTTTGCCGTGAGTGTAATCGAACGAATTCATCAGGGCTTCTATCAATCCAACGAGTGACGAGGAGCGGAAGAATCACAGCTATTGTACCCTGACAGGATTTGCGAAAGTGTAAGTAGCTGGAGCATATTTCTTGAACGAGGTGCCCCAACTTAGCGCTGTCAATCCAGAAGAAGGATAGCAGCCTCAATGTCACAAGAGCTGGAGCATCGACATCTTGAGTATGCCCCTGATTCGCTAAACTTCCTTCGGGGAATACTGTGGTTCGGATATTGTATATAGTATTCCTGACATAATCGAACGCAACAGGCCAGCTTGAAGCCGACACGTATTCGACGATCACTTTGATGTGAGCATCGAATTCTACCAGACATTCGGCAAGACATTCAGCCTCTATTATCTGCTTGCTGGCGTTCTGTGCCGTTATCCCATCAGATCGAGGCACACAAAAGTTACGCTCCGATACTTGATCCAGGAGTGTTTGAGCAGGTAATATATAATCGTCCGGGATAGGTTCCAAGAGTTGTGTCAATGCATCGAATATTCGGCTAACTAGATTCTTCCCAAGGCGATTATTCGGATCAGTCGAATTGTTCTTCCCATCCCAATTTGCGGTACAGCTGTCAGCAGCAAGTGACAGAATGTAAAGCTCTGATTGTAGAACATGTGATGGGTGAAAAGCCACAGAGGCAAATGGCCGCGCTAGATGCTCGAGAAGACCTAGGAGTGATTCAATGACAATATTGATCGCATTCCTACTCAAATCTACCAACGTGGCTCTCGATATCTTGAGTATATCATCCTCACAGATCGGATGGCCGGTCGAGCCAGTATGATGTGGTAACTAGGAGGAGCAGGCACCACCAGGTCAGCGCTTTTCTCAGCTGCATCGTGATACTATGGTTTCTTACCCGCAACGCAATTCTGTCAACCAGGCACCCGACTAGTACAGAAGCATCGCTATTCATAGTTGCCATAATACCGCGCCTGTGCACGAAGACATGACGATTTGAAGAACCATGAGAGAGAGCCATAGAGCTTGAAGCTTCGAAGATTGGTGGTGGGGTGGGCATACGCCGCCGACCAACAGCCGGCCCGGTACGGCTCTGCCAATTTTTTTTTTTTTTAAAAAAAAACAAATAATAAAATAAATTTGGTCCTGGTGATTAACTAGCCTTTTTTTTATTATAATTTAATAAAATAAATTTGATTTTTATCAAGTTGTTAATATTAATTTGGGTTCAACGCATCGTGATGTACATGGCTTATTTAGCCTATTTACACTTGAACATTGGTTTCAATTTAGCGTAGGCGCCGCGGTCAAAAAAAAATTAATTAAAAAGCCAGCTTGATTTCATAAGTAAATAATATTTAGTTGTTGTTAAAAAAAATTAATTAAAAAGCCAGCTTAGTTAAAATAATATTTAGTTGTTTTTTATTATTTTACTTTTGCTTAAGGGGTTTTTTTTAGGGGGTATTACTGCCAATTAAAAAATTATTGCGCTTGTATAAAACCCCGCCAGCGGTTCAAAAAGAAAAAAGTTATTCATTTTTTTTTATCATGATACATTTCTTTAATTATTCTTTTTTTTTTCCCTATAGGCGTTTTGGTTATATATATTAAATTGCCACTCTACCACATTTTTTTTTTTTAAATGATTGCACTTTCTCTATTTTGTAGACTGCAAAAAACTACGCGTATTATTTACAGTACCTAAATTGAGGTCGGTACGTATCTTTGTGGATTAACAACACAACAACATGCGCACGCCGCCCCCGGCTTACGCGAGGGCTTCCGTGACGTTGCTATCGGACCTAGTTTCCTTTATTGCGGAGTGTCAAATCCAAATCTGACAGCTGCTTCAAGGACCATGGAGAAACGTACTCCTCTAACAGATGTTGGATCGCTTGATGCGTCAAACCACGAGACTCCTTCTCAGACACTAACGCCTCCTCCGTACTCAGGCCCGTCGTCTTCTGGAACCGAGGGACAAGTCGACGATGGGATTCCGACGGAGCCTTTGAAAGGTATACTTCGATATCCAGGACTGCCTAAACTGGACTATAAGCTTTATTCGCCTCCCTTATTTAAGCTTTCAAGTGACTCAATCACCTTGTCCTCAAAGGCGGAATATTTGTCTTCAAACGCTGCGGCACTTGTGTCACTGATTCGTGCACAATCGACGGTACCCCCCAAGCCCCAGATTCATGTTCGGGGCAGTCGTGGTCGCCGGATTGATTTCGACATCAAGCTCAACCTTATGACCCTGTTAGTGCCTGATGACGAAAGGCTGCGCATGGACTATATTCGCTGCGTTGGGGAAGGCGAGTTGGCACATCGTGGAGGAGCTCGACCGGATGTGCTCCCAGAAGTTGGTGAAGGTGGACTGGAAGAATGGTGTCGACGATTTGTTCAGGACACAGCTACAGTGAAAACATTTTCTCTGGATCGTGTTGTTGCAAATCTTGATGTGGGCTGGATAGAAGGTCAACTACGGAGCCTCATTGCAACTCTCAAATATCGAGGTGCTGTTGACGTGACTTTCCTCGTCACTCACAGCCGCGTGTTGGTACAAAATCCCGACAGGGTGAATCAGTTCTTCACCAACGTCACCAGTCTGTTTTCAGGTAAGAACAAGTATGAGGTGATCAAGTCAGTGTGGCCATTTGCGACGACGAAGAATGGTGAACCAGGGCGAAGATGCATCGTTCAGAGCGAGGAAGTGTGGTGGAGAGAATGGAAAGACCCTATTCGATATGCCATCTCACAAAAGCGGCAGGGCTGGGTCACAGTTGAGGACAAGCTAGAAGCAGTCATGGAAGGCAAAGGCAACCAGACCGAGTCTGTTGATTGGGGTCCTGACCAGTACGGGACATCTTGAAGAGAGGTGGCAATGCCTGTTGAAGGCAAGAAGAGCAGCAGTGCTGTATTGTATGTATTATAAGGCTTGCATGGCATGGCATGGTTCATATTGCTACATACTTAAGTATGTATTCTAATGAGGTGGTGCGCAATGCAGCAGGATACAGCAGCAGGCAAGCGACATATATCTGCGTAATGTATAAAGAGTAATCTTGTTATCGTCATACGCGCGCGGTCCCTGATTCTGGTGACAGTCTCCTGGCTCATCAGCATAATAAGACGGCTCATTGGATTTTTACTAATTGAAGGCCTGTCTTGTGATAGTAGTTCAACTGCTTTCACCAGAACCAGGACCCGCGCGTGTGGAAGTTGGTTACGTGACTCTTGCTCGGTATAAGTTGACCCCGCTGACTCAGTTGGCCAGGCCCCCCGGGCTCTATGTCACAGGGAGAGAGAGGTCAAGGCTGGTGGGGCCAGGCTCATTCGCACTGTCTTATTGTCAACTTCGCCTCATCCAGGTGGCCGGTGACTCAACAACCATAGCACGTATATACATACATTTTATTCATAACTCCGTGATGGAAGCGTGTCTACTGAGATGACTCATGTAGCGAGCAATGCGGCTTTCGTGGGCGGTAGCGAGAAGTCCTAATCGTGCTGAGGTTTAACCTAATATTAAAATGTGAGGATGGAAATAACCTGCAGAGAATCGTACATGCCATTTCTTCAGCACGACCGCCGCCTAGGGGTGACTCTTCTCTAAGTAGCCAGGCACGACATTGCCTCTCATGAGGTTGACGAAGTATCCAGTAGCCAGGATCCAAATTTAAAGAACCTAATTTTTATTCCATCATGCAAGCGACATCAGGAGAAACAACTTCGTTGCGGAGCTTCGCCAAGTTCTTGCCATCTCACGATACGGCCGTCTGCTTGGTCCCCCCGAAGAAATTATGGCCATCAATCAATTCAGTACGAAGACTTTACGACAAAGCATTTGAAAAATGGCCGCCACACGTCAATTTGGTCTATCCCTTCGTCGGGCCAGAGGTCCTTTCCGATGCCGTCGACATGTTATGCCAGATAGACTTGGCAGCTTTGGTACCGAAAACGATCAGTTTGCAGGAAGCAGACTATTTTACACATCGAAATGACAACACCCTCATACTCAGGCCAGGGAAACATGGGCCATCAACCTTCGCAGGTGAATTGGTCAATGGCCTTCGCCAACAAATCGGCTGGTTAGCTCTAGACAGCTATCAGCCGCACATGACTGTCGGGCAGACTGAGGATGCCAAGTCTGACTCGCACAACTTCCTGCTCAATAAGGCGCGCCTCTTAACTCCAGTAAATTGGGAGATCAAACAGCTTGCTATCCTTGTGCGAGATTCATCGCGGTCCATGCGCCTTTGGGGCTATGTAGACATTCAAAACCAACAATGCCAGCAATCGCCATCCCTGCTGGGCTTTCAACTCGATGGGAGCAGCCAAGAGACACAAAGTCAGACGACATTTGCGTTTGACTCGTCGACTCTCTCCTGGAAAACTGCTCTTCCATCAACACCACCACCAGATTCGATCAGACAACTGGTTGTTGCGTCTTACAATGTTCTTGCCGAATTTGAATGGCCACCCGATACAAGCAGATACCAGGGACTCATATCTACCATATTGTCCGAACGCGCTGCAGCTGATGTATTAGTCCTCCAGGAGGTCACGGACCATTTCCTTCCGTATCTGCTTCAACATCAGGGTGTATGTGCTAGGTACCGATTTGCCACACATGGGCCGCCTGGTCAGCCTGGTCACGGGCCACTACCAAACTTGCTCAATATTGTAGTTTTGAGCAAGTTAGCTTTCAGATGGAATTACGTACCATTTGCCAGGAAACATAAAGGTGCTGCGGTTGTCGAACTCGCCGTCTCTCACCAAGACCCGCAGATGATTTCCAATCCACAGTCTATAATACTTGCAGCTTGCCACCTTACTCAAGGGTTGGCAGACGGCGCGGTAGTTGCCAAAAAGAATGAACTGCACAAATTGATACAACATTTATCTACAGAGTTTCCCAATCACCCGTGGGTTATTGCCGGGGATTTTAATCTAGCGACATCGGTTTTCACCATTGATCAGGCACGGAAAAGGGGGCAATTGTCCTCTTGCGGATACCAATCTCTCTGTGAGATAGATGGCATGTTCGCCAATTACGGCCTGCAAGACGCATGGCTTCTCACAAGGTTGCGCTCCGGGGTTTCACGAGACACGGTCGGAAGCTCTCAATCTCCGGAAGACCTATTCGAAGGCGAACAGGGGGCTACTTTTGATCCTACAACAAACCCCTTGGCAGAAAAAGCAGTGGGAGGCAACCTCAACAACCGGCCGCAGAGATATGACAGAATTATATTCAACGGTGCCCTTTCTTTGGCTGCCTGCGGGTTCAACACATTCGGGTGGCCAGTATGCGATACTGGGGATGGGCAATCCGTAGCCAGCGACCACTGGGGCATCCGTTGTCTCTTCAAGTATTTGGAAAGGGATGCGAATTTTGCCGCCCAAAATGCTAGTAATTCGGTACTGACGAAGTTTCGCAAATCTCCATCGTCCCTAGGCGATATCGGAAGCTTGAAACACTCTTTGATGAGTCTTGGCTGCTTGCCAACTCAAGCAGACCAGGAGGATCGAAGCAAAGCTTTCCAGCTCTTACAAAGTGTCCTGTGCGAGCCTAACAAAAATCAAACCAGACATCAACTGCGAACTGGCCCTGATATGGTGCTTATCCCAGTGGGCTCATATGGCCTAGGTGTCTGGACTCCAGAGTCTGATGTGGATTGTTTGTGTGTAGGGAACATAAGCGCAAAGATATTTTTCGCTCTTGCTATATCAAGACTCAGAAGAGCTAAGAGTAGGGGCATCAGCATCCTTCGCATAGTCCGTGCCAAGACGGGTATTATGCTTGAACTTAGTATCTTCGCGGTTAAATTTGATCTTCAGTATTGTGCTGCCGCTCTGGTTGCCGAGAAGTGAGCATAGTCTGCTTGCAGAAACTTCCACTCATAGCCCGGGCACAATCTGCTAACATATGATAGATATCCTGATATTATGAACCACCCAGCCACTGACCCGGCGTTCAACTTGCCTGCTCAAACATTATCTAAGCTAAAGCCAGCGCGGGATCTTGCCTATTTGAAGAGATCCATTCCTGACATGGCAAAATATCGCATTGCTCACCTACTTCTTAAGGCATGGGCCAAGTCCCGAGGGTTATATTCCTCAAAATTTGGTCTGCTTGGGGGGATTAACATATCTGTGATGCTCGTGCCCATCTGCAAACTACTGGCATATAATGGGGCAAACGTAGGAACCATCGATATCTTGACCACATTTTTCCATCACTACCGAAATTTTGACTGGAGGAGGAACATGGTCTTCGATCCGTTGTTTCACGGTACTATCAAGTACCACCGCACACAGCGAGAATCCATGTGCCTGCTGGGCTGGCATACACCCTCTCTAAATACAGCGCTCAATGCTTCAGATTCTACTATTCACACACTTTCTGCGGAACTAATACGAGCCAGTGATCTCTTGTCGCAGGAAGGGGTCAACTGGGATACATTCCTGCGCGGAACGCAACCACCATTGTCATTCCCTGAGCTTACAGCTTGTAATGCAGCGAGCTTTTTGGACGCATACAGGAGCTATGTCAAGATTGATGCGAGCTATTGGGGCTCCTCTCCTAGCAAAGGCAGGAGGTTCGTTGGATGGTTAGAATCCCGGTGTGTCATGGTCCTAGTTGGTGAGTTGTTTTGCCTAGGCTGCCAACTACTCTATCCTCTTCGGAAGCTAACTATTTCATCACGTAACAGACATGAACAGGAAGCTTGCAGATCTCGTGGCTCGCATTTGGCCCGCAAGATTCACTCTAAACGCCTCACACGGCACTGCTGATATTGGAAATGAAGAGTTCAACTATACTTATCTGATCGGCTTGACATGGCAGCATGACGACATTGAGAACAAAACTAGAGAGGACACTCAACACGCAGAGAAATCACTCAGTTTAATTCTCAGGGACTTTGAGAATCGCCTACGTCGTGATCAGAAATACTACGATCCTTGCTCTTGCTGGATAATGACATCACTGGTCAATGCCCACGGCGTACGGCAGTTCCAGTTAGACCCCCAACCGTGGAAGGACGACAATGCTGGAGACACAGACTCTGAAGAGGATTTGGAACTTGTTGACAACGAGTCTGATGATGGCAAAGAAGAGCCGAAGGCTGGAGCTGCAATATCCCTGGCAACACCGAGTTCGGACCCCGTATGGCGCAAAGCATCACCGTCGGTTCTCAAAGCAGGTGGATCAAGAAAGCTTCGGACTGCAGCAGATGTTATGAATCGCCTACGCTGGGACTCTGCAATGGACGCCAGTAACTATTTGGTTGGCTATGAGGACAGATTCACGGGAGCCAAGGAGAAGGCCTTGGAACAATGGAAAAGCGAGCAAACCGACGAGGAATTCATTCCTCAGCATCGCATTCTATATTTTAAGAGAAAGACGGACGGCTTTTTTGTTTGGGAAAGAAGCACGAGGATTGATCACATCTTTGGCAGTGGTATGTAATCTAAGAGCGTTTCTTTGGCTAAGTTGGAGCCAGTAGAGAGATTGATATCGGTAGCGAGTTTAGTGGCATTTGACAAACTAAAGAGGGCATCACCTTTGTCTGTCTTGTTTCTTTGGGAGGCCGACCAAGTGAAACGCCACATTAACCATTGCGATTCTGTAAAGTATTCATACAGATACTAATATTAGGCAGAAAGAGGCAGAGGCTTATCAAGGTTCCATGAATGTGTCAAATCATGTCCCCTTATCGTGCAGTTCATACACTTAAGACTTATGCAGGTGTGAGGTTTAGAGTTTCGGTATCTACTAAGATCAGCCAGCCTATTATCTGATCGCTCTCTATTGTCCTGCAGTCATGTACAGAGAGAATATACCTTGCTTACCCTGCATAGTAGAGACAGCTCGAAGGTTTTGTCATGGTAACACCTGCCTGGAGGATTTGTCCGCCGAACAAGCACGACACTATTTTTTGTCCAAGAGATATGTATAGCCATTCAAGTTCGCCTCTATGCCTGCCACCTAAGGAACAAAACTTCACTTATCCGGGGAACTCATGCATTTGAGCAGATAACAATAAATGCTCCAAAACTAACAACTTCAGAAGCGCAACGCGAAATGGGTGAGGGAAGGTCGGTACACCGCTACGAGAAACACGCAATGCGATTCCAAGATGACCGTTACTCTGTCGGCCGAGAAAGTCGCCTTCACCGCCCTTGAGAATTTATTCGTCACCTTGACGAGAGGTGTGCTGTTTGGGAATACAAGCGAGCATGCACAATCTCCCTTTGTTAAGCTGCACAACCAAGAGATGAATGCCAAAATTAATTTCCACACCTCATCAGGGACTTGTCAAGATGCAAGACTAAGAAAAACAGACGCAATGGATGACTTGTCGTATTTTACATACTTCCCTTTGCCCTTGTCAATATCATGATATCGGTCCCAAAACCTGTCATACAGTGGTTGCAGCTTCTGACGGATATCTTTGCCGAACATGGACCGCACGTCAGGTTCCATACTGTAAGATTTGTGCCTGGCAACCATTTCGTCAAATGCAGCATTAAACTGAGAGAACTTCTCCTTGATTTTGTCCTTATCTTTGCTACTAAGGCTTTTGATGACCGAGGCTGAGTCTGCTGCCTGGCCAGACGTGGGTCGCTGAGTGCGATTGGTGTGAATTGTATCGAATAGATAGACAGACAAATCTCTGCAAACATCCGTGTATGCCGCTGTTGCCTTTTTGCGCCACTGGTCCAGCACTTCGAGCCGTGACTGTAAAAGAGGCCCGAGATCTGAATCTCGTATCATCCGCTCAACTGTTACAACGCTATTGGCCAGGAACACCCCTGCGACGGATTTACCACGAAGCAAAATTTTTGCTTTCTGGTCTAACGTAGACAAAAGGGTATCGATAGTGTCCAGACAATAATGCCCAAAAATCTCCCTCCCATCCGCACCGATATCAAAGGATGCGAGGCTCGGGATGACATCTGCGGATCGGCCAGCAGACGCAGAACTCGGCTTCCAGCCTCCATCGCCAAGAGAGATCATGATACTAGAGATTGGACGGAGAAACTCCACCATGGCCTGCAGTCGTTGCATCGTGTCTGCCACGAGGGGTATGGAAGCACCATCAGAAGGCAGTGTCTGCAAGCCGCCAGCCTTTCTTTTGGTATCCTCCAACAGCTCGGAAAGTGATGCCTTGGCGGTTTCCCGTACGGGTTTTAGCGCTGCAGCCAGAGAAGCTTTGAGTTCCCCCGTCCTTGTCTCTAAATTCCCTAGAAGGCCCGAGAGAATTTCGGTTATTTCATATGCCAAATAGCAGTCAGTGCCGAGATGGCCTTTGATGTGAGCATTGAGTTCTCGGACAGTACGCGCAAGCTCGGACAATGCTGCCTGGCAAGTGCCTTGAAATACCGGTCCCCAGTCTTCGCGCTTGAATATGCTGCAAATATTGTCATACTCCGATAGGAAAATAGCCTCCATGGCCTGGGCATACGTGCCAATACCATTGGTTCCCACCCTATATATTGCGCCGAGATTCTTTTTCTTGGCTGTATTCACACTCGCGGCGGCCAGGTTGGCAAGAGATGACGACAAATACGGGCCACGAACTTCGGCATATATCTTCGACGCCGGCGAGTCGTGACCGACAGGCTTCTGGCCGCCAGCCAAGTAGGCATAGACGAGGCCCAATCGAGCAATCTTGTCTTGGGGTAAAACTGGGAATGGTTTATCTTTTGTAATGTAATGTAGAGGTTCGATGGATCTAGGCGTTTCACCCCGTAGAAGCTTGTCAAAGTAGCTCTCTAGTTGCGAGTTGCCTGACTTTATGAGCCGTGTAAGATCAGTCATTGTGTGCTGGTTCGCTCTCAAGTTGGATGCTTGCATCTCTCTGTGCGACTTATTGAGCCTCTTCAACGAGGCTAGGTAACTTGACAACCCGGCCTTATCTGGCCCGGCACGGATAATCTGCTCTTCGTTATCTTTACTATCGGCAGGTTGGCGTAGTCGATCGATGGCGGAGAGAACAGAGTCAACATCTGCTTCAACTTAGTGCATGATGCAACAGAATATCAATAAGTCGGGCCATACTATTTCCAAGTAGCTGTAAACGTCTGGTTTCGCTACTAAGCGGACCAGCAACATCGCGGACACTCTGGCCAGAGACCTCCAGGCGACCGAGGCTGGCCTGAATCTTCTTGGTGAGCTGCGTGGTTTTCTCCAGGCGAGAGTTTAGGACATCGACCTCAGCTCTCGCCTCTTCATCAACCGTGTGATGGGTCATGGTCGAGCGACCCACCGCCATAGTCAGTGTTGATTCAGGCACAACTGAAGAAGAAGGTAGACCAAGGCTGGAGTAAGAATCGAGGGCTTCTGCGATATGCGATACATATAAAGGAGACTGGTCACGCGCACTAGTCTACCTAACGCTGGCTGCGCTCGCTTGTTGGTGCTGGTTGACCAAATTGATCATTGATGTTCCGTACGGAGTAAAAATGACGGGAGCTTAGCGATTGACGACTGACACACACGATGACTGGCGAGTATACCCTGCCCCACGGACGCCCTGGTCAAATGTACATACCTCTAAGTACTTACTTAGGTACTTAAGTAGGTACTCCGTACCTGTATGTACTCTGTACATGACACCTAGAGGACGTAAAGTTCTGGAGCTCCCAGCCAGGCCTCATTCCGCGCGTCCCACCAAATCCCTGTCATCCGGCCAACCCTCCTGAAGTCAGCTGCGGCATCGGGGGACCTCGAAAAAAAAACAAAGGCTCACCCACCAAACACCTCGAGTCACTTACACCCGGTCACTGCCCATAGCCTGCAGCTATTCGTGTACTCTGTACTCTGTACACCACGTACTCCCCACTCACTGGTATTGACTTCTTCCAACAATGGGCCATGACGGAGGTGTGAAAAGCTGAGGGAATAAAGAGACCTCGGCGCTTCTGCAAAGAGTCAATGCAACTGCAACACGCCTTCGGGTGCCCAGTTGACCTTCTCCGCCCGCCTCTTGCGGAGACCCCAAATTCTTTCTATTAGCAGACCCTGCCAGATCCAACTACCTACGAGAATCTGTTTCCTGCTGGTGCTCTATCTTGCGATGCGAACAAGTTCTTTTCCTGCGTCATGGCTTGGGGTTGTATTGGAAACAGCATCTCTAGCGGTGGCCATGGGGTCCCTACGGTACTAAAGATGTATCTATTTAATCAACTCCGCGGCTGGCAGCATCAACGATGCCGATGCGGTGTTGCGCCTCTTCTAAGCATGATACCAAGCACCATTTATAGATGCCGGCAAAGTGACACTGTTCGTCAGCTATCAAGTCCATCTGCATCCCGAGCAGAGAAACAAGCTCTAGACAGAGTGAGGGCTTCTCCCTTTGTGATAGAGACATCTGGTCCCGTGCTAACAAGTTCGTATCAGGATGTCATTGTCTCCGTGCTCGAGGCTTCAGCAACGCGGCGAGATGCAAAAAGCTACCTTCAAAAATATACCTCGAAGAAACCTCTTTCTTCAGACCTTTCTAGGGCCAGTGCGAAGGATAGTGAGGCCGTCACGGCGAAAGGAGACGGCCTTGAGCCTGTCAATGTTGCTATCGTCAAACTGCGATTACCCCAAGAACTATCCCCAGACGCTCTATATGGCATTGCAAGAACTTTGTCACAACTTCGAGTGCTTGGCCTGCTAGCTCTTGTGGTTGTGGACTGTGGCATTGCAGCTGATCGCCAAACATTTGACAACGAAGCCTTTCGGCTTTGTGAAGCGATTGACTCGTTTGGCAGTCCAGGTGCTAAATTAGCCGACCATGTGTTTCTGAGACGACATACAAACGACAACCCATCCGTAGTGCCTAAATTCCGCTGTGGTATGCGTGTTGAAGACCTAGGTTTGCTTAATCGAGCGCTACAACGCGGCATGATTGTTGTGGTTCCGTCGCTAAGTAGACAAGATGAGATATCTTCACCGATACCTGCAGAGGCGAACGAAACAACGATTACTTTAGCCAAATTTCTAACGGGTCTACAGCTAGATGGTATGAACGGCGAGTCAATAGATGGAGTAGCAGAGTATTTACGGCCAAAAAGGATTGCGTCTGTTGAGCGAATAATTCTCCTGGACCCTGTCGGTGGAACTCCCATGGCTCTCCGGCCCGACGTTTCACATAGGTTCATAAACCTTGAGCAAGAGTACGGAGAATTGATTGGTAGTCTGAAGAGCGGCGAACGCATAACGCGCATTGCGAATGTCCAAAGTCACATCGCAAACCTGAGCTTGGCAAAAGACGCTCTTTCATTGCTACCGCCGACTTCATCAGCTCTTATTACTTCGCCTCATGCGGCTGCCAATACTAGGTCCGGTATCCCATCAAAACTGCCCATTCGCGCGTTAGGGCACCCACCTTTTGGTTTTGATAATATGGTCACAACCCGAAACCAAAAGAACCCGTTACTGCACAACTTGCTGACAGACCGTCCCGCTTTCTCTCCGTCGCTTCCTCTGCAACGAATACAGGACGAGACGCGTGGATGTCTACAAAATGCGGAATCCGGGTCTGCAACACTAGTCAAGCGGGGAATGCCAGTAACAGTATATCCGGACCCAAGGGTTCATCCATGGCAGCCCCCAAACCCCGGTTTGCCTCGTCTCCGCCTCACGGACAACTGCATAGACCTCCCTCGACTTTTTCACCTAATTGAAGACTCCTTCAACCGAAAACTTGACGCACAACACTACTTGAAACGAGTGAATGAGAATCTGGCCGGCATTATCATTGCGGGCGAGTATGAGGGCTGCGCCATTCTAACTTGGGAGCACCCCGAGACTCTTGATGAGCAAACTGCGTATGATTCTGGTCGATTTGTCCCATACCTGGACAAGTTTGCGGTTTTGAAAAACCGGCAAGGTAGCAGTGGAGTTGCTGACATAGTCTTCAATTCCATGGTACGGGATTGCTTTCCGAGTGGCGTTTGTTGGAGAAGTCGAAAAAATAACCCTGTCAATAAATGGTATTTCGAACGGTCTACGGGGACATGCAAGCTTGCGGATTCGCACTGGACGATGTTCTGGACGACAATTGGCCTTGGAAACCGGCATCCAACCTTGCAGGACTACGAGTCTGTATGTCGAGGAGTTCGGCCATCGTGGGCCGAAAATACGCATACCTCAGACTAATAGAAGGTTGTCTTCATGGAATAGAAGGATAGCATGATTGGCGTTGAATGTTGCCTGCTTAAATAAATAAGTGTGCCGGTCAACGGGACAACAATTTGTGCTTCTCGTCTCTGATATTCTGCAGGCAATGCGAATAATCTTTGGAGTTGACTCCTCGGCTAGATACTATGCCTCCTTAGAGTACTTGCAATAGATATCTGCTACGAGAAGTGCGTAGCGGAGGGTTGTGGAGCGTATTCTTCAATATTGACTCAATTCACTGTGTCACGATCGCTTGATGAAGTGTTGGTGCCATCTGGTGAGTATACAGAGCAATAATAATAAGCTGTAGTCAACTGAGTTTTGTTTTTCATCTGATCCCCCGCCAAAGGGCCCAATTAAAACTGTGATGTACATACTGTCACTATTCTCGTCACTATCACAGCTTCATCCCGCCGGTTAGCCAGTGACAAGATCTGTCTCGTACCTAGGTAGGTACCCATGTTCTTACCAATCACGTGCTAAGCCTCACCAAGCAGTAGATACCTATACTCGCGCGGCCCATAATTGTAGTGATAACATAAATGTTATAAGGGCCCTCCGCGATGGGGATAAACTAAGTCATAGTGTTATTTTTTTTTTACCTAGCTCCTCGGTGTTTAACGCGTCGCGATGCGTTCAGTGTTATCCCCACAGCTTGTTACAGTCTCAGAACCTGGTACGGCTGACATAATGTGTTACTAGTAGGCTCTCACGAGTCACGACTATCTAGCCTTTTATTTTCATTTTTGGTTTATAAGAATAATTTAAAATTTAATTAGACATATCTTAAATTATTATACGTACTATCAAAAATTATAATATATTAAATCAATTAAAAACAAAACCAAAAACCAAAAAAGGCTAGATAGTTATAAATATAAGGTTAGTAGTAGTCACCAAAACACACACCCCTTACGCCTCCTAGTAGGTTAGTCCTAGCAAGCACCTGTTAATTTGGGTTAATTTTGTCGCATAAACCACTTAACGCGCCTGTCACGCGTCACGCGTCAACGTCTGTCCCACTTCCTGCAAGTACATCTTTCTATTCCAGTGTTTTAAACGACTCCTAAACTCATATTTCGACGTCATATATTTGTTACTGGAACTGGTAGCACTTCATGATGGACTCCTTTATGCTCGACGATGAAGGTGTTCGCGATCGCATTCGCCAGGCGGAGGACTTTTTAGATCCCAGTATGTCCTGATTTGACAACCCTGCCTCTATTCCAGAAGCTTTCTTCCACGCCGCTGACCTGACAACGCCCAGGTGATCCTCATGCACGGAGCTACAGATCGGACATCATTTTGATGCTTCAGAAAAACCAGCGTCGCCTAACCGTGAACCTCGATCATGTTCGCGACCACAACAACAAGCTTGCTCAAAGCATACTCGATCAACCTTTCGACTATCTCCTGGCCTTCAACCATGCCCTGAAGAAGATCGTGGAGACCGTACCTCAAGCGCGCCCAGACCAGACCGCTAAAGACACCGTATACTACTGCGCCTGGGCGGGGAGCTTTGGTCTCAACTCGTGCAATCCCCGAACACTCTCCTCGCACCACCTTAATCACATGGTGTCCCTGGAAGGCATTGTCACTAGATGCTCCTTGATCCGGCCAAAAGTTGTCCGCAGTGTACATTACAACGAGAAAGCGGGAAAATTTCATTTTAGGGAGTACCAGGATCAAACAATGACGAACGGAGTTACTACCTCAAGTGTATACCCTCGAGAGGATGATGAGGGCAATCCGCTCGTAACTGAATACGGTTTTTGCACGTACCGGGACCACCAGACAGTTTCCATTCAGGAGATGCCAGAGCGCGCCCCGGCTGGCCAGCTGCCCCGTGGAGTTGACGTCATTCTAGATGACGATTTAGTCGATCGAGTTAAGCCAGGTGACCGGGTTCAAATTGTTGGCATCTTCCGCACTCTAGGCAATCGAAATGCCAACCACAATAGTGCGCTATTCAAAACGATGATTCTTGCCAACAACGTTGTGCTCTTGTCCTCCAAGTCAGGTGGCGGCATTGCGACAGCCGCCATAACGGACACTGACATTCGAAACATCAACAAGGTGGCTAAGAAGAGAAATCTCTTGGAACTCCTCTCTCAATCTCTCGCTCCAAGCATATATGGACATGATCATATAAAAAAAGCAATTCTTCTCATGCTGTTGGGTGGCATGGAAAAGAATCTTGAAAACGGCACCCATCTTCGAGGCGACATCAACATTCTCATGATAGGCGACCCTTCAACAGCCAAATCTCAACTATTGCGGTTCGTCCTTAATACTGCCCCGCTCGCAATTGCTACTACTGGCCGAGGGTCCTCTGGCGTCGGTCTCACTGCAGCCGTCACAACAGACAAGGAAACGGGAGAACGAAGACTCGAAGCCGGCGCGATGGTCATGGCTGACCGTGGCGTTGTTTGTATTGACGAATTTGACAAGATGTCGGATGTTGATCGAGTCGCCATTCATGAGGTCATGGAACAGCAAACGGTGACTATTGCGAAGGCCGGAATTCACACTTCACTAAACGCTCGTTGCTCGGTTGTCGCTGCCGCAAACCCGATATTCGGTCAGTATGATCCTCATAAGGATCCGCACAAGAATATAGCACTCCCTGACTCGTTGTTGTCGCGATTTGATCTTCTGTTTGTGGTAACCGATGACATTGAGGATACAAGAGACCGTCAAGTGTCGGAGCATGTGCTACGGATGCATAGATATCGACAAGCGGGCACTGAGGAGGGAGCCCCCGTTCGGGAGCAAATGTCACAAAACCTGGGAGTCTCAGCCGAGAGCCAGGTAGGACCACAGCAGCCGACAGAGGTGTATGAAAAATTTGACGCCATGCTTCACGCTGGAGTGACCCGCACGTCTGGTCGTGGTTCAGCCAAGAAGCCGGAAATCCTGAGCATTCCGTTCATGAAGAAGTATATACAATATGCGAAGACTCGAATCAAGCCTATCTTAACGCAGGACGCTTCAGACCGTATAACGGAAATATACGTTGGTCTACGAAACGACGAAATGGAGGGAAACCAGAGGAGAACGAGTCCGCTGACAGTTCGAACTCTGGAAACAATTATCCGCCTTGCCACTGCCCACGCTAAAGCCCGCTTGTCAAGCAGGGTCGAAGACCAAGATGCTGCGGCTGCGGAGGCTATTCTCAGATTCGCCCTCTTCAAGGAAGTTGTCGTAGATGAATCAAGGAAGAAAAGGAGACGGACACAAGCTGTTGAATTTGCATCTTCAAGTGAAGACAGCTCCGATGATGGGGATGAGAGCGAGGGTGAAGCAGCCAATCCTAGGGGAGCTCGCTCAACAAGGAGCGCAACAAGGGCTATACATCCAACAACTCGATCCAGGACAGAAGTTTCCAGAGCTATATCAGGTGATGGTCACGGGTCTGTGTCAAATAATGGTAACGCTGCTGTTGTAGACAGTCTATCAACCCAGCACACGACTCCGCGCCGCTCTGGACGCAGTCGTGGGTCAGCGCTTGATACATCCCAGTCACAGACATCATTTGCATCGTCTGCGTCTGCGTCGGCGTTGTTGTCACGGACGCAGGAAGACAGTCAAATTGAGCAAGACCTCGCCTCTGAGGCTGCAGGGCTAGTGATCGATGATGCCGCGCCAATCGATACCCGCCGTGTGGCAGTTTTCAGAACAGCCCTGGGTCAGCTTCTGAATTCCGATTTGTTCGAGGACGATTCCGCAGCTCTAGATGCTGTTATTTCCGCTGTAAATCGTAAGGTTTCGAGCGGCGATGGTGGTGCGTTTGAACGGGCTGAAGCCGTAAAAGCTCTCAAGAAATTGGAGGAGGCGAATCATATTATGTTTGTGGTCCCCATGTCTAGAATTTGTGTTCTTTCACCAAACACCAGCTTTAGGCGACAGCCGTGGCTTCCTTGCCTTACAGAATTCAGGACATTGTACGACATCCATTTGATCCAGACTAACGAATTCTTTTGCTTAGGTTTGCGGATGGTGAACTGGTTTACAAGATTTAAATTTCAGGGTATGGTGGGAATATGGGAGATTGGTGGCGGACGTGGGCGTCAGGGTAAATGCTGGTGTTTAACCCTTGGCTGGAGATTGCAATAAAAGGTTTACAAAACAGGCAGCCTAGGACATGTATGTTGGCTGATACGCATAGGGTGTAATCACAACATTCTTCCAGTATAATAAGCATGTAGTCCCCCAAGTGAGGAGTCGGTACATATATATTCTGTACGAATATTTTAGAGTCGTCGGTCGAATTCCTGGAGTCGTTGCTGTACCTCCTCCCCGTTCCATGTCTCTACACCGTTATCGTTCCTAACTAGTGATGGCATACCAACCTGCTCAATCGCGAAACTCGCGCTGACTGAACCCCAGGCCACTGCGTTTTCCAGCCTTTCTCCACGAGCCAGAGCCACTGATAATCCCCCAAGAAAGGCATTGCCTCCTCCCGTGGGGTCAACAACCTTGCGGCCATCTTGGTGGTAGGCGGGAATCCATCTTTCCAATCCTGGGTCAACTTCAATCTCTTCGCGTGCGATAATTCCATCGTCATCTTGCAAGAGTCCAGCAAATAATGCTTCCATGTCTATGTCGGGCTGCAATGCACCGTGTATCAGTGCTTTTTGTGAATTAGAGGTCTTGCCGGGCCCTGATCTCCGCTTTCTGCCACCATTTTTGGCGATGTAGCAGCCTTTATCTCCGGCTCGGACAACAAGGGCATATGACTGCAGCGGCATACTGGCTAGTAACTGTTCACAGGCACGTTCCACGCTTAGCGTCGACACTTCACCAGTCTCGGGGTCAAGTCCGTCGTCGCCCATAAAGCCTGCCAACTCAGCATGGTTGGGGCTACATATATCTACAAGGCGTAGTGTATTTGTGCAGTTGAGTAATTCATCTGGCGTACAGAGATCAGGGACAGGCTCCCAGACGAATATGGGTTTGGTGTACGAGTCTTCCGGCGCGGCAAGCGCTTTGCGACATGACACGATGTCGGTTATGAGCTCCTGGCAGCGAGATGGGGAGCAAATCAGATGAAATGACTTGGAGAATAAAAGATTCGGTGTGAGATCTTCCGAAGTAATGCGCTTCTTCGGTGTGGTATACTTAAAGGCTCGCCTGTCCGCTGGGCCGACATAGCCATTCCATCCTCTGGTTGTGAGACGGTCGAAATCGTCGCGTATGACTGCACCAGTGTCCCAGTTATCAATCAACGTTGAAAGTTTGTTGGGAAAGTCAAAGCCTTTGTCTACAACCCAGCCAACAGAGCGGGACAATGGCGGAGGGGAGAACAGACGGGCTCCGAGGGCTGAGTATGTACCTGCTCCGCCAGGCACGTCGCGGACGGGGGGAGTTGGGGGTTGAAAGTCTATATCGTCTAGTCCAGATGGTCAGTTGCTGCGTTAACATTTGCGTCCGTTTCGGTGTATCCTGCTCGATTCACAGGTCATATAGCTTGACATGCAACGCGGAGCTTTCGTGATGGCGTTCACAACATGATCAGGAAGCTTTGTGTGACTCACCGATTATGAACATCCCAAGAGTGACAAAGTCTATTTGAGTTATGGTGTTGTTTTCGTCGGCCTTTTGCGCGCAGCAATAGGTATCTTCATCTCGGCTTGCCATCTCCCCGCGCCACGCTCTAATAATGAACTTTGAGTACTCCGTAATCGGGCCCTTTTCCTTAACCAGCTCACACGCAAGAGACGTCTACTCTGTGTGGGCTGTCTGTTGGATGAGAATGTGGTACGTCGCTGTTTCGCGCCGTTTCGTTCCTGCGGCATGGCAAGGAACAAGTTGCACCTGTGCTTGCTGCCAATGAATTTGTCCTCGAACCTTCACCTCACACCGCCCGTTGTTCACGCGGCTCTCCTCGGCGGCGGGTGAATGCACATGTCTTGATGTGCGCTGCGAGGGCTTTCTTTTTAAGTGTGGCATCTATACATAGCTGTCCTTGTTATCGCGCGGGACTCCTGTCGCTCACTATTAAAACTGTTCTTTCTTTTCTTTTTGGTCGAACCCCTCCTCTTTCTGTTTTTCGCTCAACAAATATAAGCCCGAGACTGTGGGGACAAAGAAACAGGCTGGGGATGAGGGTACGGGATGGTATAACAAACCTCACCGATACTTTACCTACCTAGGTACTTTAGGTATTTGGGGTAGTGCCATCCAGTCAATTAATACGACAAGATGGTTTACCACGAATGGTGGGAAAAAGCGACCTAGGTAGCCAACCACATTATTTGTATAGTAAACAAATGAAGCCAGTGAAGAGGCTCGGACGAGATACCACCACACTGCTTAAAAGTTGGAAAAACATAAGGTGGCTGCCTGAACCGTATTTGATATCTTAAGTACCTAGTAGGTAGGCAGGTACCTAGGATACCCACCCGGTACATAACTGACGCCCACGCTACTGTGCCTGATCCAGCGAATTCGGTGCATTTTGTTCCCCCATAACGAATGCTAGAGCTGGACTCCATTGGATGTGCTCATGATAAAAGAGAATATTCACCAAACTCATCGGAAACAACGAATTTCTGCTCTACGGCAGGCTTTTGAAAGATGAGCCTAGGCACATACCTACCTACCTAGGTAGGTAGGTTGGTCTTCAACTTAGGCACCTACTGTGGCAGGCCAATGAAACACGTGGTGTGGCAGACTCAGGCGGAAGCCCTGGACGGTTGCCTGACGAGACCAGCCGCTTGCCAAGGAGCTAGCCACACGTGCAGGTCCATCCGACTGCCAGTAAACTCAGTTGCTGTCATCGCCTCCTGGATAATCCAAAGTTCTACATATACGACAGGTCGCCCCTAACCACCGTATAAGCTACTACAATCTGGACGAGCACGGCTCTGCACGATCAATTGTACCCCCATCCCCTTTTCTACACACAAAAAGGGAATATTTCGTATGCCTGCGGGTTCTTTGGTTCTATAAACCCCACCGGTTTTTGTGCTTCTCTTTCGCAGCTGCTAACAGCAAACCTTCCATGAACAGGCAAGGACACGGCACCGTCCCTGGAGTATCAGAAATAAATCGCGCATTATTCGTACCGGACGCTCCTTTCGTAGCTCAAATCACACCCTCGCTGCTATCTTTCAAGTTACAGTTCAAGCAATACTCGACTGGAGTATTCGATGAACGTGCTGGAGAGTACATGACGAAGATGGCGGCCGCAAATAACATGCACAATCTCACCACACTCATCAAGAGGTAAAACTGGCCTATTTGCAGACTTGCATTCACGGTAGCATCATGTTGGATTGCTGAACTACCTGGCAGACTCGAAGCTGCGACCTCGCGCCTCGAAGATATTGCGACTTCAACCGAACTACCTAAAGACGTCCCCGCCCTGAAGCAGGCCATTGCCTCCCCAGCAGTCGAGTCGCAGGCGCCTACACCCCCCCAAACGGCTGCAGCTTCCGCCAAGACGACCTCAAGTCAATCCGAGGATCCTGTCCCGGAATCAATCGAAGAGTTCCAACAATTCATAAACTCGTCCGTGGGCAAATATGTCAAGATTAGCACTGAACTGGGCGGTGTAGTTGCTAAACAGGTTCGAGCCATTCTTGAATGGGCAAAGCTGTTGACTGTCGTTGATCAGATGCTAATGTCAATGCCTTTGTACAGGCTGTCGAGGTGCTTAAAGGATTCCAAGAACAGAGAAAGTTTTTGCTGATTACGACCAAAGCCACAAAACCCGACGCATCGACGTACCAGACCATTCTCAAACCAACAAACGATGCGTTGATGGCCGTAACCGAGCTGAAAGAGTCGAACCGACCCGATCCCATGTATACTAACCTGAGTGCTGTCGCTGATGGTATCATGATGCTTGCTTGGATTACCCTGGATAGCCGCCCCCACAAGCACGTGGAGGAGAGTTTGAGCTCAGCCCAGTTTTTCGGAAATCGGGTGCTTAAAGAACAGAAAGACAAGTAAGCAAAGGCCTTCGTATCCTTGTTATTTGCACTGCTAAGCAGAATCCAGAGATCCAAAACAGGTCGAATGGGTACAGTCATTTTACCAAGTCTTCAGTGACCTCGCCGAGTATGTCAAGCAAAATTTCCCGTCGGGAGTTACTTGGAATGCCAAAGGCAAACCAGCCGGGGATGTAGCCAAATCGTTCCTGCAGACGGCCACGGCACTAGGCACACCAGATGCTGGAGGCGCATCGGCGCCTCCTCCTCCGCCGCCGCCTCCTGGACCAGCTCCTATGCTTGACATTAAAGCTGAACCCGTCCCTGAGGCGTCGGTATCTTCTGGTGGGTTCGACGCTGTATTCTCCGAGTTGAACAAAGGCTCGGCTGTTACAAAGGGACTCCGGAAGGTAGACAAATCGGAAATGACACATAAAAATCCTTCCCTGCGCGCCAGCAGTGCTGCAGACCCAGATGGCCCGTCTCGAGGCAAGAGTCCAGCCCCCGGCAAAAAGCCAAAGCCAGAAAGCATGCGCGTGAAGAAGCCTGCTAAAAAGGGTTTGGAAGGAAACAAATGGACAATCGTAAGGGTTATGCGATCCGTACAGAATATTCTCTATCTGACAATTATTCTAGGAAAACTACGACAGAGAGACTCTACCAATTGAAATTGAAACTACCTTGACCCAGTCTGTATTGATCAGCAGGTGTAATAACACAACTGTAATACTGAAGGGTAAAGCAAATCAAGTTACTGTGGAGAACTCAACCCGCCTTTCCCTCGTTGTTGACACCCTAGTTTCCACGGTGGATGTAGTAAAAGCTCAAAATTTTGCATTGCAGGTTATTGGGACTCTCCCAACCGTTATGCTGGACCAAGTCGATGGCGGCCAGGTTTACTTCAGTAAAGAGAGCATTGGGACCAGGGTATTCACCAGCAAGTCGTCCGGAATCAATCTCAACATCCTGTCTGGGCCAGATGACGATTACAAAGAGGTGCCTCTCCCGTCTCAAATTTGTTCATACTACGACGAAAATAAAGGTGACCTCATAAACGAGATCGTGGCCCATGCTGGCTAGACACACTTCACAGCTTTATGAGCCATCAATGCCGGGTTTTATTTTAGACTATGTGCTTGGGTAGAAGGCGCAAATTATGCTGTGGTTGACAAAACTACTCAACGGGGAAATACTAGCAGCAGATGCAGGATCATTTAAATGTAAGCTTCGCACCTAAGGAGCCGCGCTAAGAGCCTCCGAGGTTTCAATATCACAACTCTACTACTCATTTTCATAATGCCGATGCTCTTACCCAAAGCTAGTGCAAATAGACAGTGTATAGATGGAACTACAATACAAAATGCAGCAACTATTTCGGGGACCACCTTTGGCGGTCCGAGATGGGACCACAGTTTTCCCCGTTTAGTCGCTTCTGACACTGAGCCATTCCTGCCTGCTGCCTCTTCATGTCTCCAAACCAAGCAACAAGCCTTATCATATCGCGAAAGCCCCTCGTTGATATCGCTCGTATCTTACAATTTGGCCTTCGGCGAGGCTACCGTTGGCATCAATAGGTCACGCATTTCCCCAGCGGCTTCGTTTAGATAGTAACTCATGCGGTCGCTGCCAAGGCTCTTTGATACGACATTGAAATTAATGCTAGAGAGGGATCAGCAAGGAGATACTCTTGTATAGGTGAAGAATCACACTCACCTGTTCTCATTGATCATGTAGGCGATGCCAAATCCTCCGTCGATGACTTGACTCCAACCATAGCCGTTGAAGAATTCTGAGCTGAGTTGGGATGTTGATAGGTACCAAGAACTGGAGTAGCCGAAGGCGGGGTCTTTGTAGATGGCGGGAACCTCCTCATCTGGCGCCAAAAGTTTCTTTAGACCAAACAGATGTCTGTCCGCGCCTTTGCCATCGGATGCAGCTGTAATATACTCAAGGTGAGCGTCGATAGCACTGCGAAACAAGTTTATTCGTGCTTGATCATCTTGTGACGCGTCAGACATAGACTTGCACCACGCCACGGATTCATCTGAGACTGTCCGACAGGTTTCTGTTCGGCCAAGTTGGAAGCGACGGGTTGCTGCAGATTCATACGTTGGGCGATTCTTGCCATACATCTTGAAGTAGGCCAATTGAATAATCATTTGGACATACGCATCAGGGGAGCATTTGAACTTCTTGATTAGACCTTTGCCATAACCCTGGTATGCTTGCACGGCTAGTTGATGCTGGTTGATGACGGTATGGAAATCAGTGACAGCACGGTCAATTTCGGCTTGGATTGGTGCGGTAATGTCAAATTGGATCAACTGTGGCCCAGGAAGATCGGAGCGGATCGAAGGGTCTGAGAAATCGATCTTGTTGCCGAAAATGAGATCGTTTATGTAGTCATTAAGACGATGCGTTGGCGTGCCATCCATCATGGAGTGTTCACCCATGAACCCTGACGTTCCATTGTCGTTGACAATGAACTGCAAAGGTTTATCATACCAGCGGTTGGCTCCATCACCATGCCAGTATTGATGGGCTCGCTCTTCCAGGGTAACGGGAGAAGCATCGTCGAGGCAAACAACGAACGAAGCCGAGTCAATGGCACGGAGAGCATCTTTGTTCTTGGCGCTTGTTTGCGCCAGTAGGTCGCGAGCGTCGGCCCAAACGTCTCGATTCTCGGAGGTCAGGGCGCCAACAGCAGGAACTCGCTGCGCTGCTTGGTAGACTTTATTGAATTGTCTTTCTAGCTCTGTAGAATTGAGTTGTTTGCCGCCGATTTCGTGGGAGATTAGGAAGAACTGATTCTTGCGAATGGCAATAATGTGCTTATTCTCGCTAGAAGAGAACTTGGCGGGATAGTCGGCAGGACGTGCAGCCATGCGGGTGGCATTGAACATCCATTTGTAACTATCCATACAAATTGGGAGTTTTTTCATATACTCTGGCTCAAGGGAGCCATTGTCGACAAGCTTCTTAAACTCCAAGACGGCAGAAGTGATGGCCGCTGCTCGCTTGGCTGGATCTCGGCGCATGCGATCATCACGGTGAGAGTAGAAGTAGCTGACGTAGGGCACAACAGGATCGCGGTATGCTAGATAGGCAGCATCGTTCCACCACTCGTAGATCCAATTCTTAGTCGCCGGATCTTCACGCTTTGCAATGAGCTTCTCCTGGAGCTTGTTGCCAATACCGCCAGGCTTGATGAAGTCCTTGACGGCAGCCTTACTATTTGAATACTCAGTGGCAGACAGTAGAGGGTGGAGAGACTTCAAGTATCGTTTCGCCGTCTCCTCAAGCGTGGGAACGGGCAACCGAGGCAAAGAGTCCTGAAAGCGCAACATTGCACCTTTGGACTTATCCTCAGAATAGCCTAGCAAAATTCGCGACTGGTCAGTTTCAAAGTCTCTCCCTGTGTACGTTTGGACAAGGAATCCTGAAGAGGGTAAACTTGTAAAGAGAGGACGTTAATTACCGGGAGGAAGAGAGCTGTTACTGCGCTTAGCCGAAGCCATGACGGGGATCTGCCAGAAAATCAAGTTAGCCTTTTGTCACCGTCACCAATTGCAAATAGCACCCGTGCTGACGGACTGTAAGCAATGACAAGCGAGTTCGTCGAAAGTTGTTTCTCAGTGCGTGAGAGCGAGCGGCAGATGTCAACATGGCCGGCTACAAGCGGTCTGATATCCACGCGATGAGGAAGGGCGGTTGTATTTAGGAGAGAAAGACGTGGGTGGGATGGGGGCGGCGTTGACTTTCAGCAGCGACCGCGGCGCTTGGAAGACCAGTTGACCTCTCTTTGGCCTGCTAGGGTGACTTAAGTATTCTCCTGTCCGGCCACAACGGCTGGTTCCTGGTTTGCTGGTGCCGGAGACGAGAAGCTACGAGGGACTGGTGTGAGTGGATTGGCTTTCGAGCATGTGGTTTCCCCGTTCAATGCACAGGAGCTTGCTTGCTGTCATTTGGCCCGCCCGACCCCGGCCGGCTTCAATGCTGTGCCAATAGCGGGTCTTGTAGCAACATAGCCGAGGTAAAACACCGGTTGGCCTGCTGAGAAGACCGCCGGGGACCGACGTGGAGCTCTTTTGAGAGGATACTTGAGAACGGTGAGCGCACGATACTTACGTACATGTACCTAGTAGTTACTCAGCAGCTAGCTGAATGGCAACTTTACGTGGGTGCCGCTCATACATATTCTCATCCTCCGTCTTCATAATATAGGACCTATTGTGTGGTCCATGCTACTTCATACGGTGGACAGAACGACGCATATCCTCCGTCAAATTTGAATACTGTACGGAGTACTGACTATCTAGTATATTTGACTTGGGAAGGCTACCTTTGTTGGTTGACAATTGTCTCAATACGGCTCCTGGGTTAGCCTCCGTATCATATTAGCGGAAGAAGAGAACGCAATGAAAGGGACAAATAAAGTAAGACCAGAAAGCACGTCCAATTCAAAAACAAAAGCAGCGGCGTCTCTTCCGACACCAAACTCCGTAACTAGTAGTACACCCCTGTTACATTAAACAACGGCCAGAATAACGCGCATGAAGTTCTGCGAGCCTGGACACAACACCCTGATTTATTCGACAATTCCATGAAACCAGACGCCCATACCGCATTCCATCCGCCATGCACCCGTAGTGGCGCATCATGTTCATCATATTATGCTTCGTAGCTTTTCATTTGTCCATTGCTACTAGGTGCTTGGACGGATGGCTCTCCAGTTACGGGTTGGAAACCCAACTTTTCTCCATCAGGTAGAAGAGCTTCCTGTGCCATGCGAATGCCTTGGTCGCCACCTATGGTAGTTGCCGTCTTCAAACTCTCCATGGCTTTGCCCACCCGGCGCTTGAAAGCCAACCTGTCCAAGAGCAATTGCTGTCGACCCCGCTCCAACTCACGCCTTTCCGCTCGAAGAATACCTTCAATCTCATTAAAGTATTTCAATTTAAGCTCCAGCTTTTGCAATGTTACGTTTGTAGCAGCGGAGACAAGTCGTGTCATCTCTCGTTCCTCATGCGAAGCAAATCCCGCTGCGCGAGCTCCAATAGACGCCAAAGGTATGGATGCAATCGATCTGTTTTTCGTGGTGGTCGTAGTGGTCGTAGTGGTCGTGGTCACCTCATGACGCACATCCACATCCATCGATTCGCCTCCATATCGTGTTTGGTCTTGTTCCCTGGATACACCAGATGCCTTCTCGCCACCATTGCTTGCACCATTGGATTCTTGATTGCGTTTACTGCCGTTCAATTGCTTTTGCAAACCTTTCTTCAACTCATCGGCTGACTTGTTGGCAGCCGCGGCGGTGCTTGCAGGGTCCGCTAGACTTGCCAGAAATCCAACAACAGACATGACTGGATTGTCTACTTGGCTGAAGGGCAGATGACCGTGTTGTGCCCCGAGCATAGACAAGCCGGTAGGTGCACTCATAGGCATCTCCGAATCCAAATACTTCTCTTCAATATCCAATTGCAAGAATTGGAGCACACAGTCCTCCCGCGTCCTCGTACCAACGTGATCAGCAATCTCTCCCCAGTCGTCATCAAATCGTTCCAAGCCTTCCAGTAGACGAAGAATTTCGGCATCGGTCCAAGGCGCATCCCGATCCACGATAGATGTATAAGTCGGATTCTCCGTCTTAGAATACATACTTGACGTATGATTCGCTGGTAGACGACCCTCTGTGAAGCAGTTGGGACAAAGGTCGTACTTCGCTTTAGAACTGGCGTCTGTCTGGCTGCTGTGATAATAAACCCGGGTGCAATCGTTGCCACATTGGTGGCAGTTGACCTTGGAGATCGCAGACATAGTTGCATCCTCTGTACCAGACACGCCGTTTGTAGTTGGTGTCTCTCCATTCGCTTTGGTCTCAGACTTATTCACCGACAATCCCTTCGAATTAGCTTCATAGATATTGCGACCAATCTCAAGGTTGAGATCGTTTTTAGCCCCAGCACTCGAGGCTGACTTTTTATCAGTATCCAGGTTCTTTTTTCCTTCCAGAACGATGGGATCGGCAGATGGCTGCCACGGTTGAAGGCCGCGTGGCGTATCGCATATAATCTTGAAATGGCCTGTGAAAGGGGGGCCAACATGCGATGGTCGTTGTTCAGCATCCACCTATATCTCATTAGCCATCTTGCAGATTCGTCAAAAGAGAGCTAAGATAACAATTGTTTTCGTACCTGATAATTAATCAAACCCCACTGTTCCAGAAAAGCATGAACCCTCATTATGGCGCAGACGTCGCCAGCCAAGTTTCTGCGACAAGCGGTGACGGTCAGGTACTCTACTGGGTTCAGGCGATACGTGTTGATCATGAAGTCGCGGTAATCTTTGTAAACAGCAGGGGTTTTGCTTCTGTTTCGATTGTTAAAAAATTCGGCCATTGCCTTCCGCTCGATATCGTGAACGCTGTTCATATCGAACCATGTACTGTAGCTAGGCAGAACAATCGCATGAGTTTGAGAGACAAGGTGCTCACGGGCCGCTGACTCGACGTTCTCCTTCGATTTGGTTTCTTGGTTATCAGTGGCACCGTCGCCTTCAGCAGCAGTAATTCCCTTGGAACCAGGAGCAGGCATGTCACCCATTTCCGTGTCAGCGTTGGCCGTTGCATCTGCTTGTAGTGCCTCAGTGCCTTCAGCGGCGGTGGCACCTGGCCCAGGAGTCGCGCTATCCTGTTTTATGTTTGCCTCGCTCGTCACGCCTTCCGACATTGGGACATCTTGGAGTCGCCTGATTAGCTTGGTGGACAAGGGGAGTTCGATGTGGTATCTCACCTTGGCTATCACCTGGTATCGCTTCGGCTTGTAGCGGGGGTTGTGCCAATATTGGGTTGCCATCTGGGGATGCACCATTGGCTGGTGACCCATACGTTGTAGAATCTTCCATGATATTTCCACAGCGGAAGACCGCTTGCGCGATGTGAAATGCTAAAAGGGTAAGGAGCAGCGAGGTGCAAAGAACGCGTCGCGCCACTCGCAACTGCCTACTTAGCGCGGGATAAATCAATCAACGTGTAATATTCGGCAATCAACGCGATGCAGAAGATTTCGGAATACGTAATGTCGCCGCGATGAGACGCCGCGTACTGAGGAAAATTTGGCGCGACGACAAACGGGAGCATTCCACCTCCTCTCGGAGGACACCTACCAAATAGAATGGCGGCTAACCGTATTTGGGTAATAAATCACGTGATAATCAATCATGTGATTTTGCACACCTACAGGAGCCGCTTTCGGCTCGACGGAGAAGCTCGGGTGAGGGTCACGTGTTCGTGGCTTTCTCAGTCATAAAGTACATAGCTCAGGCGGGCTTTGAGCCGATGCTCGGGCCGCGTCCACCCGGCTGCCCCAACTTGGACTAATGGACAGGACTGCGAGCTTGCATCGCAGTTTGACAAGCAGTGTAGTCTTCTTTCATTACTAAAATGTACGCCCTCGCGAAATGCTCTTTGCCTCGACGAGTTGTCGGCCTCTTGTCCCCGGCGAATGCGATTCACGGAACAACTACTAGAAGCCGGCTGTTGTCCACATTAGCGATTCTTGAACAACGCGATGGACAACTCAATCAAGGATCTTTGAATGCATTTGCCGCCGCCAAACAATTAGGGGGAACAGTCCATGGTTTCGTTGCTGGTAGCAATGTGTCTGCTGCTGCCCAGGAGGCTGCCAAAGTTGAGGGAGTGGAGCAAATTATCAAGGTTGACAGCAGTGCGTACGAGAAGGTAAGTAAATACTCCGGTCTTCTTCATTCGGTAACATAAATGTCCGTACTGATGATTGAACAGGGCCTTCCCGAGACTTACGCGCCCTTGCTCGTGGAAAATATTAAAAAGGGTAAATACACCCACGTCGTTGCGGGCCATACTGCTTTTGGGAAGAACCTCTTGCCGAGGGTGGCAGCTTTATTAGATTGCCAGCAAATCTCCGATATCACTGCCATCGAAAACGACAAGACCTTTGTGCGGCCGATATACGCTGGAAATGCTATCGCCACTGTTGAGTCTTCAGATTCTGTGAAGGTCATTACCATTCGAGGTACTGCCTTCGCCGCTGTGACTCCTGGCTCGGGGTCGGCTGCTGTTGTAGATGGCGTGGACCCCAAAGCTGATACTTCGGCAGAATGGGTGTCGGAAGATTTGGCAAAGTCAGACAGACCAGATTTGGGCACGGCTTCAAAGGTAGTCTCTGGTGGTCGTGGCCTTAAGTCTAAGGACGATTTCGACAGAGTCATGTTACCTCTCGCTGATGCACTCGGTGCTGCGGTTGGTGCATCTCGTGCGGCCGTTGATAGTGGGTATGCGGAGAACAGTCTTCAGGTCGGCCAGACGGGCAAGGTTGTAGCTCCGGAGCTGTACATGGCTGTTGGAATCTCTGGCGCAATTCAGCACTTGGCTGGTATGAAAGACAGCAAGGTAATTGCTGCAATCAACAAAGACGCCGACGCCCCCATATTTCAGGTTGCAGATGTTGGCCTGGTCGGTGATCTATTTGAGAAAGTGCCGGAACTGACAGAGAAGTTGAAGAGTAGCTGAAGAAGTAAAGTGAGGTATAATCATGAAACCTATTGTTACAAGTTTATATATCAGCGCAGTCGTCACTGAATTACAGCGAGCATGTCTCGGGTGTTTGTAAACTTTTCCCGTTCCTTTCCAAGCTCCTTGCCGCCCTGTTTTTCGGCTCTGTCTATTTGCAACCACTGGTCCCACGACACTGAGCGTTCTGTATGGGAACCCTCGTCTTGCCGTACGCCATTCCAGCCCTGTGCAGGTGTATCACCCTTTGGTCTTAGAAACTCTGCACCGGAAATCCAATCCTGTACTATCGCCTCTGCAGTGATGAAGGCATCCTGCATGGTTGAAGCAATAACCCCAGTCGGACCCCTTTTGACCCACCCTGCACAATACACACCAGGAACTTGTTGGCAGGTGGAAGTCTGCTGGTCAATGGCCAACACCTGTGTTGCCCGACCGAGACCGTCGTTATTGACTACACCTCGAGACTCATCGAACTGAATTCCCATGGCAGCAAACTCAGGGAGGGCAACAGACTTATATCCCACCGACCGAAAGACGACATCAGAGGGCAGTTGTAATGTCTGGCCTGTTGCCATTGTCTTAGACAAAGGGTTAAATGCGTCAGTTAATTTCATGACGTTGAACTCGGTGCCTGCTACGTCCTCTGGAGATTGAATGCCTCCCAAAAAACGACTAGGAGCCAGGCAGTTGTCAAGAGACCATGATTTAGGTGCACTCTCCACGAGAGCTTCTGATCCTTTCAGGATGACCTCCATCAAACGCTTGGATGCTCGTGGCAGCGATTTCAGATCAACCGGTATCAAAGATCGATCGACAGGGTGAAATGCCACGCTAGCCAATTTCATGAGCTCACGAACTTCCTTTATAGTAAAAGCGGCCTAGCGGGAGCCGTAGTGTATTAGCAATCTTGTCGTGAATGGAACAAATGCGATTCAAACCAACCTGCACTGGTCCCCTTCTGCCGACAACGTGTACTCTTTTTATCCTACTTCGAGACAAGATTGCAAGAGCATGCTCGGTGATATCGGTGTTTCTAAGGACATTTATATCTTCCAATAGAATCCTAGCCACATCGAGAGCAACATTGCCCTGACCAATGATGACAGCCTCTTGCGCATTTACAAGTGCAGGATCGAGACTGGAACATTCCGGCAGGCCATTGTACCAGCCCACAAACTGGCGTGCTGAATATATGCCATTTAAAGTCGACTCCCCGGGAATATCAAGTCTTTTATCTTCTGACGCTCCATACGCCAGTAGTACGGCATCATAGTGCTGCATCAACGATCTTAATCTCACCATTCCTTGCTCTTTAGCGCGGCTGCAAAGACCCACAGAGACATTCCCTATGAACCTGAACCTCGGGGATGATGCAACATCCTCGAACTTTTCTTGACAGTTCTACGTACGAGTTACTTATGTGGCTCGAAGAAAGACAAATATTCCCAGAGACGCAGCCATACCTTTACCTCAGGATGATCAGGAGCAACACCATGGCGAACCAGACCAAACGGAACCGGCAGCGCCTCGTACATATCAACATGAGCATCTGGGAGTTTTGTCATGACCCTGTAAGCCGTATAGAAGCCAGCGGGGCCAGATCCCACGACGGCCATGCGAAAAGGTGCCTCAGACGGCCGGCTCGAACTTGCGGCTGCTGTGGAAAAAGTCCTCAATGGCAACGAGCATAGTAACGGCCGGCATGAGCGACAGAACATTGTCCTCGGAGAAGATCGATCAAACTGACAGAGTCAAAGGAAAGAATAAAGAAGAGAACAGAAAAGACGGAATGAGGGAAAAAAGATGGGGAGGGTAGCAAAAGAGCGAACGATAATCGAAAGCCAACCAAATAAGTGCCACAGCGGTGTATTTGAAGAGGTTCTGAATTTCTGAGTCTATACCGAATGATGGCTGGTGGCCCGAGCGGTAGGTTGCTCACCGGTGGGTCGAAGGCCGTCAGCGATTTGGGACTATGTACGGAGTACTCCGTACTAGTACTACTAGCCCGATGTTGCTGTGCCAACCAAGCTGGCCTTGCGGGAGTTCCAATCACACCCAGATGTACCGTTTTGGAAAGATAATGCTACAGGTAGCCTCAACGAAAGACATCTCCCATTGTCCTTGTGCTCCCGCATTCCAACAACACGTTTCGTTCATGCCACTGTGAGTGTCCATAGTAGAAAGGATCTGGTTTTAGGTTCATTACTACTTTCATTGGCAAATCGGGCTCGACACTATGGGTGGCTCGCAGCCATTCATGTATAACGCCGCATGGCGAAATGACGCGAGGTTTCCCGCAACCACTTTTGATCCTAAGGCTGTGACGCGGGCCAGCTGGGAGCCAAAGCCTAGGAAACCACCTCCAACAGGCCCTCTCATCTCATTCGACCGACACCCTGAGTATGTACTGATCAATCTCATGCAGAATGATGAACAGATGGGATAAGTCTCTTGTCACCCTGCTAATACATGCCAGTGCCCATATGGTCGTTTCACACCGAAATAATCCATACTTGCCACTTGGACAGCGAATGAAGAAATGGATCAAGGGATTACGGAATGTTCAGTTTTTGATTCGTGTTTTGGAAATTAATGCAGCCATTGGTTCCCTCGTCCTACTCATTCTCATTACAAACATTGACGAGGCCACAGGGTGGATTATGAGAATTTCGGTACGTCGTATGCAACAGGATATTGGAAATAGAATGGAATTGACAGGAATTTTAGCCCGGTGTCGCCATCGCTCAGTGTTCATACGCGATATATCACCTATCTCGGAACGCCTCTGGTCGTACCCCAGGCTCCTCAGCTGCCTATCACGTCTTTGCTGCCACCTCCGATCTGGTATTCATATCTTTGTATGCATTCGGGGCGTTTTCCACCCACAAAAACGCGCAAACTTGGGCCACTAGGCTCAGTGACCAAGAGATCATGAAGTACTTTGTGCCCGCAGTGTACTACATGACGATTGGAGCAGGAGGCTTGCATTTCATATCACTCTTGATCTCTTTGTGGCTTGGAATGATGTTCCGTAGAATTAGCCTAATGCCGCCGGATATGAACCCGCTCGAGGATCATCTGACCGCGAGGCCATTCCATAAAAGGAGCAAGTCCTCCATCACGACCGGAAGCAGCCTAGAGGGAGGAAACAGGCTTTCTACCACAATAAGCTTACCGGACGGGGCGGCTTCAGAGTCGTGTGGGAATCAACGGCCAGCTGCTGTGCCATTTCTTCATACAAGAGCGGGTTCCAGCTACTCTATCTCGAGTAGGGGCTCACAGGCCGATCTTCCAAACAGGATGTATCAACTTGCTCCCGGCAACCATCCGCGAAATTCGCCTTATTCATCTTCTGAAAAACAATGTTCAGCGCCACGACCATCGCAGCTTGGCCGCTATTCCTCCATTCCTGCTTCAGATGCCCAATCACTAAGAATGGGTTCAGCGAGTAGCAATCATCAAAATAAGGGCCGACGTGGAAAATCCAGTGAAAGTTGGATGCCGACTGATTTTTTTATTCCGAGAACCGACCAGCGCAATTGCAGTGTCACTATCGTGCCAACTTCTAGTCGCGCAGTTCGGGACGGCAAATCATATGCTGCATTGGTTCCGGCATTCCATGAAGCCGATTCAGCAGAATCAGACCATGACGATAAAAACGATGTGACATATAACAGTCCAGAAGCATTGGTCTCTCCTGAAACACATCCAAACCCACTTGCGTCACATCCAACAGCTCTGCATAAGAGCAATAATTTCATGGCCACAAGATCGAATCAGGACCGTGACAACTATCCACGCGAGGACTTTACATTGCTCTCAGAAGTAAGTAGCAATTTGAGGAAGGTAAACAATAGCCAAGACATCACGGACCGAGAACCCGAAGTGGGAAGGCCGTGGAAACGCCAACGAGACAGCTCCATTCAGCTAGATGACGGGTTTTACTCCAAGCCGTATGGCCAGTTGAGAAGTTCAACCCCACCAATCTTTATCGGAAGTGACCGAAAGTTGTCTTCTGGGGTTGACTATGGATTAAGGTACAGCGGTGGGATGTCAGGAAGGCGTAATGTGAGCGGCAAAGTAACCGAAGAAGGTCGAGGATTTCGGTAAGCTGGAGGCACAGAACTAGAAAGCTCCACAGAGGTCAAAAGGAGTAGGAGCTCATTGCAACACGAACCCTTATCTTGGAAATTATATGGCGTACGCACACAAGAACTTACACTGCAAGGCCGGGATGATGCTTGAGGGATGGACATGTGGCGTAGGCTGGTGGTATTGGGAATTGCGCATTTAGTTTTTTTTTTTTTTTTTTTTTTTTATGAATGGAGCCCGCTGCCAGTCAATTATCCATACTGTATGCGAGCCATGATTCTGTTGTAGAATTACCATGCAAATCGGCCACCCACTTTGCCTTGTCCCAGGCCAGCAGAGAGCAAAGATGACGCATTGTCGGCCGCCCATGCGGGCAATTCCACGGCTTATCTAGTTCACCCATGTGCCTTACCAGCGAGTACATTTGGCTTGTAGTCAAGGGTTTACCGATCATGATACTGCTCCGACATGCCCTCATTGCGAACATTTTACGCACTCTCGACGGCCTGGGGATGTGCCGTGAACCAGATGACTCCTCAGCAAGCAATGTGATCAGTTCCTCCAAATCGTTAAGTGTAAAGGCCACTTCACGGCTCAAGGGTAATGCCAAGAGCTGGCAACGCGCCCCAACCGGCGAGCCTCCTGTGGAATCCACCTGGATTTTGAAACCATTGGCTTCTAAGGCTGATAGATTCCCAAGAACAATTTCTTCCTCCAGGGCCGTCAGCTGGAGTGCTTTGGGGTAGACAAGTCGCTGTGACTGAATAACAGTATTCAATTGTAGTCGTTCAAAGTTGAATTTTTCGTCCGAAGCATGTTGATCTATTATAAAGAGCTCATCCGCGTCATTAGCCTCATGGCATGTATGCCGGTGTGATTTGGGACGCACTGCGATGATGAACCCTAAATTAAATTGACCGACCACTCTCATCTCCGAGAAGTCATCTTTTGCTATAATAAGGGGGAGCTTTGATTCGGCGTCAGATGCAGTGATGTCTGCTACCCTCTCCTCAACTGGACCTGAAATGTTTCGGACTGAGTAGGCCAACCATGAGCTGGAGAGGGACGCTAGTGTGGCTTCAGTTGCTCGTATTATCTGTGAGTGTTGAGCTGTTCCAAACTTCTTGCGTAGTCCGTCTCCCAGAGCTCTGGTTCTACGAGCTGCCGAACTATTCGCATGAGGCCTTCCGTTGGTATCTCCTTGAGCGACATTATCTTCATCGTTTGAGTCAGATATGGATCGGTCAATGTGCTCGTCTTCTTCAATTTGTGGTTGGTTAGAATGTGGCGTCACACATCTGGCGCCCCCTAAGTTCTCCGTATTATCTTTTGCCATTCCCTTGGGATGAAGAGTCGATGCTTCCGATAGCTCTGCCTTCGTATTAGAGGAAGAAAGCTTGTCGTCAAGGATAGTATCTCCAGTACTTTCCGGGTCAGATGAACAACCCGAACAGCTATGCTGAGCGTTTCTCTCTTGAAATTCGCTGAAACTGCAAACTTTTCCAGTGTGCCCTGAATTGGGAAGATGAGAAGAGTGCGAGTTCTCTGAAGTTTGCGGTACCGCTCCCTTGTGTGGTTTCTTCTTCTGGATAAGCAGTACAGTATCACCATGTCCAATTGTTTGAACTAAAGACGTTGATGGCCCACTAGAGATGGCATTCCAAGAGAACGCCGTTGGACTTCTCGAATCCGATACGGCTTCACTAGGCTTGTGGGAATTGGTTCCGTGGTCTACCACTGTTGTATTCCTTGGTGCCGTATCAGCGATAGGATCCACGCGCCTCAAGGATTGGCTTTGTGGGGTCTGTTCTGTATCTGAGTCGGTTAAAGCTATCGTCCGACTCGAGGCAAATAAACTCAAGCTAGGCCGGTTCTGTTTGACATGCGTATTTTGGCTAGCAGAGTTTGAAATCGGTGGTCGGTTTGCATCACACCCAAACCACTTTGTGAGAGATTCTGGTGCGATTTTGGCCCCTTCCCTTCCTCCTGAGGCAATCTTCTCCTCCCGCATTGCCAATTGCGATGACTTCCCTTTAACAAAGCCAGTGTTAGATGGAGACCCCCCATCTGGTTCACCATGTGAAGTCGCGGAGAGCTCAGATTCGGAAGTATAAGGCGGATTTTCTCTAATCAAAGGTATTGACCGCCTATTAGCATCGACGGAAGCTGGACAACTCGGGGTCTCTGTAATGAGGACCTGAGTCGTAGGTAGTTGATAGTCATGACTGTCGAACAATCTGATCAAAGATGAACGAAGACGATCGAGCAACAAGCTTTGATCATGAAGAAGAATGCTCCGTTTGTCAGGACTGACATTCACATCATACATTTTTGTATCGAGCTGAACATCGGCGAATATGAATGGCGACTGAGAGATGTTGTAAGCCTTATAAACTTCGTTGAATGTCTTAGCAAATTGTGGCAGCCCACATGGTCTTCCATTTACAAAAAACATTTGCCGATCTGGGGCTTGCCTGCCGTCTCCATGAACTGGACGCGAAACATGGCCCAGGATGCGCACTTGCTTGGACTCTTGATCAGTCCGTAAGTCCGGACCGACATTTGATGGATGCATTTCCAGCAGCAGATCCAGAGAAACCAGGGTAGACATTGCTTTGGAGCCGAATATATTGATTATATTTTCGCGAGTGGTGGGGTTACTCTTGGTGGAAAATAGGATGATGCGCTTTCCCTTGGTAGGCTGCTGTGATACAGAGAATTTGAGATTGGTCTGGACGCAAGCATATTGATTAAGCAAGGCAATGACCTTATGCCATTCTCTTTTTATATTGCGCTCTAGCTCCCGGCGACGCACTGGCAAATTATGGAACAACTTTTCAACCGATACAGTAGTTCCTCTCTGGGATGCCACCATTGTTGTGCTTGCGAGTTTGCCCGAGATTTCGAAGCCAAGTTTGCAGCCCCTCGGAACCTCAGATTCAAGGCAAGTGGTGATGGTTACAGACGATAGAGCACATAAAGATGCCAGAGCTTCTCCTCGGAATCCGAAAGTCCTCAAGGACGCGATATCGGAGTATGACGATAGTTTCGAAGTATGGTGCTTCAAGGCAATGGAAGGATAGTTGGCAGGGCAGATGCCCGAGCCATTGTCTTGTACTTCAACCAAGTCCAGGCCTTGATTTTTGAAGCGCACATCTGAAGTTTCGAGATTGTTTGGTCAGCATAGCGTCGTCGTATATTTTCGTACTGTATTGGGGCTACATGACCAAGGATGAATCCCCTTAGAAGTGCGGGTGGCCGCCATATAACAATATGCATACCTATAATGGTGGCACCAGCATCAATGCTGTTCTCTACTAGCTCCTTCACGACAGAGCATAGGTCTACAATGACCTGACCAGACTGTATCAGATGGATCTAAAGATGTGAGCGATGAGTAAAAGTCAGTCTCACGTCGTTGGACCTCCCGAAAAGAAGAAAAAGAGAAAAAAATAAAAGGGAAGGCAAGGCAAAAAAAGGAGAGGATGATAGATCCCTCGGCGTGGGTTCAGAACTGCTCACACTTCGTCCTTCTATAGGCTTGATTGTAGCTGCCATTGCTCACAAGCTTTCCGAACCTGACAGGATCTTGGTTGAATGTGAATGCGAAAGTGCCATGGAGCTGTAAGCTACTGCACTTCGTAGAACTGAAATAAACACAGGGAAATAATGCAAATCGAAATGAGAAGGCCTGGTGTTTGTGATGCCGAAAATGCATGAAGCATTGACGAAGATGGTTGTGGCCTCTCCCAGTAACCTGTTGTTGATGTGTCTGACTTGAGTACGCGTTGGCCATTGATAGGTGGGATACACCCTGGGGCCCCACAAAATCCAAACCAAGCGATGTGGTGTATATTTGGCAGGCTCCGTGGGAGAATCAATCGCGTCTACGGAGCACATGTATAATACATCACAACTTCCCTACCTAAGTACCTACCTAGGTCTAAGTAGCTAGGAGGCACAAGGGTGTTTTGGTGGCCGCCGCTAACCATTAGCTATAATAAGATAGTCCGTTAATTTATTTATTTATTTAAAACATGAGCCTTTTACGGAGTAATAGCTCGTGATATTTCAGGACCCGTCTGTCTTGTATGATAGCTGTACTGTCACCAGAAACAGGGGCCGCGCATCTGGGCACTTGGTAAATTAGGTACCTTCTAGTTACCTACCTACTTACCTCTAAGTACTTAGTAGGAACCTACCCACGTAGGCTAGGTAGGTAGGCAGGTACAGTACTACGCGCGGGCCCTGGTTTTGGTGACAGCACAACTATCACAAGATAGTGTAAAAGTCTGATAAATTAAATTCAAATACTTATAAGCTGCCTTGTAATAGCTGATAAGCCAGGAGACTGTTGCCAGAAACAGGCGCCGCGCGCGTAATAGTACCTAAGTAGGTAGGTATCTGCCTAGTAGTGGTCTGGTAGGGAGAACGCACCCACCAGACATTAGTGCTCAGGTCCATGTCCAGTCGAGTCCGGTCAAGTCTACCTCTAAGTACCTAGGTAGGTACCTACTCAGGTACCTAGGTACCTAGGTAGGTATTAAGGTCAAGTCACCTGGTCCATCTCTACTTAAGTAGTCTGGTGTGTGTTCTGGCTCAGGATCAACCGGTCTGATCCACCAAACTTTGCGCAGCCCGCCCTGTAATATTATTGACTCCGTACGTGACCTGCACTGCTCTCCGTCCTTCATCCACCGCGTGCAGCTCTCCCGTCCCTAATTCATCCAGAGTCCATTCAACCCACCCACGTTACGACGTTTTGGCTCAAGGACGGCATGCCTCGCCATCCCTTTCACTCCCGCGACGACGACCACAGTAACAATACTCCTCTGTATACTCGTCGTTCGCTTTTGTAATATTACGGCTCGCACTACCCTCGTTATCAGTCTCCGGCACCGTTAGCTCTTTCTGCTCTGCGCGCTAAAGTTGGGCGTTCTGCCCAAGCTGCCGTTCATTTTGTGCATCCCTCGCGCATCCTTTCCCGATTGCCGCTCGTTCTTCTCTCAGCGCCCACGCCTGTTCAGAGACCACCTCCATGACCAACCGCTCTCCCGATCCGACCGATGATGGTGACGAACAGTCTTGCAATCCCGATGTAGCCGATACCGAAGCCATGGCCTGCCGCCCGCAATCAAGATCACGTTCAGCCAGTAGGACAGGCAATGACCCAGGTGAATTTGATTGGAAGCGCAGCAATACCCGTAACGGGCATGCGAAGATGCCCTCACCAGTCACACCGCCAAGCCTGTCCCGCCCGTTTATGCCGGCCGCTACGACCATGGCTCTACGGAAGTCATCGCCTGGGCTGTCCGGACCTAAAGGAAGTCGACGCAACGGCACTGTCTCCATTCTTGTTCTTTTTACGGCTGGTATTGGCATCATAATCCTGGCCGCTATATTGAAGTCTCTCATTAGCTATCAAATTGAGCCCAAGGGATGCCGCATGTCCTATATGCGACCTTCGTATATCCATTTTACCGATTTCGATACGGAGCATACTCGTTTTGCGACTAAATACTCCTTGTTTCTTTACCGCGAACAAGGGGTAGACGATGAAGCCAAGGTGAGAAATAAAAACAAACTTGCAGTTGATGGAGTCAAATGCCTATGGTACTGATAAGGCTCGACGTGTTAACCCTTTCACACTGCAGTTACGTGGCATACCGGTACTCTTTATACCCGGCAACGCTGGTAGTTACAAACAGGTTCGACCAATTGCAGCAGAAGCAGCAACGTACTTCTATGACACCCTGCAACACGATGGAGGCTCGGTGGATTCGGGAGTGCGAAATTTGGACTTCTTCACCGTCGATTTTAATGAAGATATTACCGCCTTCCATGGCCAGACCTTGCTTGACCAGGCAGAGTATCTCAATGAAGCAATCCGATACATTCTGTCTCTCTACTCGGATCCTCAGCGAACCACTCGTGACTCTCACCTACCCGATCCAACCTCGGTCGTGATTCTTGGTCACTCAATGGGTGGTGTCGTTGCTCGTGCAATGCTCGTGCAGTCAAACTACCAAGCTAATTCCATCAACACAATAATCACCATGTCTGCTCCTCATTCTCGGCCACCAGTTACCTTCGATGGTCAAATTGTGCAAATTTACGACGAGATCAATGCCTACTGGAGAGACGCATACGCACAGAAATGGGCCAATAACAATCCGTTGTGGCATGTCACCCTCATTTCTATTGCAGGAGGAACTTTGGACACGGTTGTACCTTCGGACTATGCAAGTGTGGAGCCTCTAGTTCCGGAAACTCACGGTTTCACTGTCTTTACCACTGGAATCCCGACTGTTTGGACGAGCATGGATCATCAAGCCATCCTTTGGTGCGACCAATTCCGCAAAGTTGTAGCCAAAGCGTTATATGATGTTGTCGATTCAAATCGCGCCTCACAGACCAAACCTCGAGCCCAGAGAATGCGACTCTTCAGACGACGATTCTTATCCGGCCTAGAAGCGGCTACAGAAAAAACGATAGCCTCGAAGGATGAAATCGTTCAGCTTGCCCTAGACGATGAGTCAAGCCGCATTGTCCCAGTGGGCGATCGTTTGATTCTAGACCGCCTAGGAAACCAACGTGATCCAGTAGTTCATCTCTTGCCTATTCCTCCCCAGGAGACGTCCGTTCCTAAACGGTTTTCGCTATTGACAGACTCTCCACTAGTGGATGCAAAGGAGAACGGGCCGCTTGAAGTGCTTGTCTGTACTGTTTCTCCCGGGGAGGTTGACTCAGCTACTATACACAACTCATATTCGGCGACTATACCGGGAGGTAGTCAGGCAAGACTCGCTTGCAAGAGCACATCTTCTGATGTCATTCTCCTACCAGCTTCCACAGCATCGACTCAGTATCCATTCTATCTCGAAGGGGAAAACCCAATCCGCCCATTTTCGTATCTTCAATACGATTTAGAGGACTTGTCGGAATATAATTTCATCGCTGTCGTGGATAGAGCCACCTCACAAACAGCAGGCTTTGTCATCAGTGAATTCAGCGACCGGGACGATATCCAGAGAGACTTTCCGACGAGCTTTTCGCATATCGCAATGTTTGGCTTGTCATTCTCCTTACCATCGGATCGACCAATGGCAGCTGAAGTACAATTTCCGGCCTTAACCTCAAGTCTCCTTGCATTTCACTTGGACCTGTCCCAGCATCAATGTCAGAGCACGCGCCACCTTTTCACGCCAATGGTCAGGCAGTATTTGGACAAGCCTTATGAATCAAAGTACTTTGTCAATGCAAAACGTGCACACATTAGTTTGCATGGAATTGCACCCTACGTACCTCCACCGCTGGAACTTAAGAGTACCAACAGCGGTCTGGGGTTTCAAATCTGGGCAGACCCGTCATGCGGTATACTAGAGGCCAAGCTGCGTATTGATCTGCTAGGAAGTCTGGGGAAACTGTATATGCGTTACAGGACAGTTTTTGCAGCATTTCCGCTGCTCATTGTGACCCTGGTCCTGAGGAAGCAATTTCGTGCCTATGATCAAACAGGTATCTTCATTCCATTCTCGGAAGCATTGGATCTCTCTCTCCGGCGATCAATCCCTCTGCTTCTCGTGTCTTTGACTCTCCTTGCAGTCTCACCAGAAGGCACTTCGAGGGCCATCCCTAACTTGATATGGAGCAAGCGACACTTGAATGCATTTCATAGGAACGAGCTTCTTATTGGCACCGAAAATCCTTCATTTTGCTTGCTTGTTCCCCTCATCGGACTTGTCTGCATCGGGGTATGTGCTGTATTACACTACATTGTGCTTGCTCTCACACGATCACTTGGCATCTTATACGCCTTCTTCAGCAATGCTCCTACAACAGAAACAGCCAGCCACAAAAGAATTGCGTCGCAGGCCTTGGTGCCCTCAACACCGAGACGGCGAATGGTTTCTACAGTTGTTCTCCTATTTCTTGTCTCAACTTTTATCCCTTATCAGTTTGCGTATCTTGTTGCGTGCCTTGTTCAGTTGTTCACAACTGTTCGCGCCCATCGGATTTCAAACATAGCTGATTCAACGTCGAATGCGAATTACTACCGCTATGTACACTCTATACTGCTTCTAATGATCTGGGTCTTGCCAATCAACCTACCAATCCTCGCCGTTTGGATACGGAATCTTGCGGTGCATTGGCTCACGCCTTTTTCCTCACACCACAATGTCCTGTCCATTATGCCTTTCATTTTGCTGGTAGAAAACTTGACCACTGGTAGAATGGTACCGCAGGTTACAAGCCGGTTGCGGCATGTTACGAGTGTCCTTCTGTTCGGCACCGCATTTTGCGCTGCTGTGTATGGCGTTTCACACGCCTATATGCTACACTACTTGGTTAATATCATTGCTGCATGGTTGGTTATTTTGCACTCTACAGCAGATTCTTGGTCTTTTGCCGGGTTTGGCGCAATGTTTGAAGGGGGTACGGACGAAAGCCGAAATCGAAGAAAGACCCCGTAGGCGTCAAGTTACGACTGCATCAATTAGGGAGATTCGCTGCACTATCACAGTTCCTCGGCACTCTTTCCCTGCGAAATCGAGTGTAGAGTTGAACCTGAACTTGGATACCTAGTCCTCCATGCATCTTACCCCTTCTTCATTGACAGCTAGGAGGGGCTCCACGAGGTCTGCAACACCACAACACATTGAAGCAACCGTTTTGCCTTAATTACTTAATTTAGTTACCTGAGTTTCTTCCGAGCTCATCCGGCTCTTCCTGCTTCCCTTAGACCTTCTACATATTATCAGCATATTCTCGGAAGAGTAACTACTAGCACAGGAGAGCCATTCCCTTTGCTGCTACAATTACACACTTAGGTCTCTGTTTTATCTACATTACGCATTGCTAGGCGTTTTTTTCCTGGGTACATTGGAGGAATGAATTCATATTTCTGTCGCCTGTAAGGTTATCGGGTTGGATACCAGGTGATAACTTTGGTCGGTAATTGTCTCTAGGTAGTTGGCGGTAGAGACATAAATAATGAACTGTATAAATCCTTGAAGTGTATTACATTGTACCAAATTGTTTGTTCTCCGCATGCAGAAATCCTCTCTGAAGAGGAATCAAAGTACTAATTTCAATCCTCTGTGTTGGTTTTTCTTTTTACACTAGCTACTTTGATGCTGCGTTCATGTTGCACTGTCCGAAGAGTGAAGACAATTCCGAGGAGACAAGCAATCAGAGTCACCCAATATGCCGCACGATAGCATTCCAGGCCATCGTGACAAGAACGCTCTCCACTGGGGTCGAAAACACTATGAGAATCCAACACCAAACCGTAGAAAAGATTGAATATGTTTGAAGAAATGACCGGCGCCAGAGTCATGAAGCCCCAATTCTGGCTTAGACCACGAATCCCAAAAGCTTCGGTGACGAGAGATGGAAATACTCCAAAGAGAAACCCGTATCCAAGTCCAGAAAGTCCTGACACAAAGCCTAGCAGGCGGGGATTTTCGATGATCAATGCGCAAACTTGAGCCACGAGAAACACGATGGATGCCACGAAGAGACACCAGATGCGGCTGGCATGAAGGGATTTAACCAAAAAGTCTGACCCAACACCTGAAGCGAAATACATCAGTAAATACTTCTTTACATAATATTTTGCTCTTGACGAACTCAGGTAGAACAAGTGACCAGGGATGTGGCTGAAGGTTAGGGATGTGTAAGTGCAAGATTAGGCAGCTGCTCAAAAGGTAGTAAAATAAGAGAGTAGTTGAAAATTCCACATTGATCATTAGCAGCATGGTTGGTTGGACAATCAAAACGACCTGCGCGATCATTCATGGTGAGACTTACCACTGAGAAGCCGGCCCACAAAACTGCAGACAGACAATATAGACACATGCATTTGTTGGCGATGGACAAGGAAGTCTTCTGTCACCGATCCGTCGTACCGCTTCCATAGCGCATTTACATCATTTCCAATATTGCTAGGAATAATCAGCCCAGAACCAGCATGTTGAAAGGTCAAACCAAAACCCAGAGAAGGAGAAAGAAGACAGTGGCAAGAAGGCGGAACAGCGAAACTTACTTAATGGTCATAAGCCCAACGCCTGACAGAATAGCCATGATGGTGAACAAGAGCCAAAAAGACTGACTGCGAAGGAGACTGAAGCCGCGTATATCTATTCGATGAGATCGATCCGTATCAACACTACTCGCCACTACATTCTCTACTAGCTCTGGGGTTGTCGACGACATCAAAGACGAGGTCTCATCCACAGCATCTTCTTCAATATCATTATTGACAGGTTTGCTGCTCGAGCTAGGATTATTGGAAGGGGTATTTGGGCCAGAGAGCGCGGGCGATGAGGCCATGTGCGTGTTTGTGGAGTCTGTATTCGACGTACCAGGTTCTTCAGAATGGCGAATACCATGAGGAGTGGATTGGCTGTATGATTGCCGAAGATGAGCGGACAAAGAGGGCGAACGACGTCCCTCTTCGTGGCAGATAGCACGGTAGTTCGAATGCGGGTACACCTTCAAAAAGAAGAAGCCTACGAAAGTCAAGCCAACTGTTCCGAAAGAAAGCAGCTTGAGGAAGGCGCTAGGATCGCCAGGGAACAGAACAGACCCGATAAATGAGAAGAAGAAGGCGCTGAGGCCAAACGCCGCCAGCGGAAATGCTGTTGCCGTACCTCGGTGACCTGGCCAGTTGAGTGCCGACGTCTTCACAGCAGCGGCAAATGCCATACAACTACCAAGGCCGGTTAGGAAGGAGAAGAAGCAAAGAGCTACAACGGATCCATATGCTTTGTCGTAAGCCATGTGCAAGGGGAAGTATCCCGCAACAAGGAGAAAGGCACCAATGAGAACAAAAGGTCGAGGGCCACGTCTGTCGACAAACATGCCTACGGGAACACCAAGCGAATACATGCCTAGGTTCCCGAATTGGCCGATGAGATTGCTCTGAGTAGCTGATAGCTTGAGCCTCTCAGCAAACTGCGGAGCCCATGCCGAATAGACGTACTGGAGATAAGGCGTGTTAGCTCATGGTAGAATGAGAGAATAGAATATCAACCATTTTGGGGGCATGCTTGGCGTGACTACAGCAGTAGCGAACATGCAGTAGTCTCGTCCAAGTTGGGAGAATTCCAAAGATAAGTAGATGCAACACTTACGTTTGTTCCACAAGCCAGGGAGATGATTGTAGCAGCCACGCTCGCAACCAGGCGAGCTCGCCGCATTTGTTGATTTTGTTGACCCATGGCTGGTAGGCAGCAGCGTGAGAGATCACAAGCCGCGGTTCAGCCAGCCGAAATGAGAGGATTCAGACAGTGATGTGGTCGATATTTTCGAGACAAGAACCGACGCATCAGACGTTTGGAAGGGAAGCAAGGCCTACAAGACGAATGGCCGCAGCCTGCTGCGGTAAGGATTTCCCGGCAGAGGTCTGTCTGGTTGGTCAAACCAGCACAGGCTATCAGCAAAGGTGTTTGGGGCTATGATGTCCGAGGTTGAAAAAGAAAACGGGTACGGAGCAGACGGAAGGCAGACGGAGGCGGATGGGAGTGTTATTAACGGTCCCAAGTCAAAGGTGGCACTTGCACTCGAAGTACCTTTTAAGTAAGTAATAAGTACTCAGAAAGGATAAAAAAATATTATTAATTATTATTAACTCTCTATTATAATTAAATAACTTATAAAGTCTTTTAAAATCTAATTATTATTTAAGTTTTATTTAATAATAATAATTTTACTATTAAAAATAAAAGCTATACGCCTAAATACTTAGTTAGTACTTACGCAGTACTTATGTAGGTACCTGGTAGTTTAAAACGTGCCGATACTATGCCGATACCGCGGTGGGTAGGGGATAAGATGTCGCGTGGGGGGAGGTTAAGATAGTCGACCTAAAAGAAACTACCAGACTACTTACAGTAAGTACCTACCTAGGTACCTGCCTAGGTACTTAAGTACTTAAGTAAGTAGGTATATTATACGTACCTTACATATACTAATAAACCAATATGCTTTTATTCTTTTGTATTACCAGTAACTGAACTGCAGAGTGCTGCTCCAAATATCTAATAGACCACCGAGCACAATCGCCGTCTTGCTTGTCTTATATATATGGTAGACTTTTACAAGATCTTTGATGTCCTGATACTTCCAAGTTGACGGCTCGTCAACTGATCCTCATATTCCTGTAAATCCTTGTCTTTTATCTCATAGTCAGATTCGACTTCTCAAAGTCTCAAACTTGGACATGCACCTTTGAGGCCCTCAGGAGTGCCTAGGTAGGTACCTAGGTACTTCATCTAGTAAATCTTGCGGGTCTTGGATGCTGATAGGTAAGGAGATGACTGATTAAGTATATATCGCACCAAAAAATGGGCGTGGCCACGCCACATGTATTGATGTGTTAGTATCCCTTATACTGTGCGACAGTATGTAATTCCGTTTAGCTCGGATTATGGAGTGTTAAGTCAAGAATGCGTGTGACTTGCCCAAGTTCTGTTGTGGGTGCAACTTGCTTGCCAATCACAAACATGGTGCCTTACGTAATCCTATCATCCGCCTCCACGTCATGTTCTAAGAGCTGTCGCGGCCGCCTGCGAAGACCAAGACCTGCGTATGGTCAGGTCAGTTGAAACCATCCGCGGCTCACGCTTTGCCCTTGTCTGGGTGTCTTGTCACATCATATTGTCCTACCATTAGTCCTGTAGGAGTCACTCGCGTATAGAATCTACACATCGCGCTCGCGCGTGTTTCAACACCAGAAGTCTAGTCGTGGACTTCCAAGCCATAGCGACGACAACAAAATGGGCGCAATACTCTCCCTCCCTCTGCTCGCAGTCCCCAGCATGAGCACTGTACGTTACCCGGTTTTATCCTCCTCTACTGATATCAGTCGAAACCTGACACCCTTTTCTCTGTTAGGTGCTTTCATTCGCTGCAAGTTGCTGTGGTGCCGCCACCTGCTCCATGGTTTGCAGTGCCTGCGGGAAGTGCGGCAACAGGTACGATAAACTCAGTCTGCTTTGGCTCAGGGTTCTTGCCTCTGTGGAGACATAAGCTGATGAGAGACGTCCCTTAGTGTTGCTACTCGTATCGCCTACGCCCTCCTTCTTCTGGTCAATTCAATTCTAGCTTGGATAATGCTAACACCTTGGGCCATCGAAAAACTACAACACTTGGCACTCGACTACGTTAAGATTAATTGTCCGAATGGAGAGTGCTACGGCTGGCTTGCTGTACACAGAATCAATTTTGCTCTCGGACTCTTTCACCTTGTCCTCGCCGGCATGCTTTTTGGAGTAACATCTTCTAAACACCCTCGCGCAGCCATTCAGAATGGTTATTGGGGACCCAAGGTCATCGTGTGGCTGGCTCTCGTTGTCGTTGCCTTCCTTATACCGAATGACTTCTTTATATTCTGGGGAAACTATATTTCTCTGGTTTGCGCCATGTTATTTTTGATCCTTGGTCTAGTTCTCCTTGTTGACTTAGCACACACCTGGGCCGAGTACTGTTTGGGACAGATCGAAGATACCGATTCCAGATTTTGGAGATTTGTGCTTATTGGGTCCACCCTTGGTATGTATCTTGGGTCCGTCGCGATGACGGTGGTTCAGTACATTTTCTTTGCTCAGGGGGACTGCCATATGAACCAAGCCGTCATCACAATAAACCTACTCTTCTGGTTGGCTGTCTCTTTCATTTCCATCAAGTCAAAGGTGCAGGAGTTCAACCCGAAAGCTGGCCTGGCACAGGCTGCTATGGTTTCAGTGTACTGCACCTACCTGACGATGTCTGCCGTATCAATGGAACCTGACGACAAGCACTGCAACCCACTTATCCGAGCACAGGGTACCAGGACAACTTCTGTCGTGATCGGCGCCATCGTGACAATGCTGACAGTGGCCTACACAACGACTCGTGCAGCTACGCAGAGTTTGGGTCTCGGGGGCAATGTGGGCGGAATACATTTGCCTGAGGATGATGAACACGGCCTGGTCACCCAGCAACCAAGTGCCCGACGAGAGATGAGGGCTGAGGCGCTGCGCCGGGCTGTTGAAGAAGGCAGTTTGCCGGCAAACGCCCTCCTATCAGATGATGAAGGTGACTCTGAGGAGAGCACACCGCATGACGACGAGCGTTCTCGAACCCAGTACAGTTACACTGTCTTCCATATCATTTTCTTCCTTGCTACGGCCTGGGTCGCAACGTTGTTAACGATGCAGTACGAGGAGAGCACTAGGGATCGCGACTTCGCCACTGTGGGCCGTACGTATGCAGCGAGCTGGATCAAGATAGTTAGCGCCTGGGTGTGTTATGGGTTGTACATCTGGAGCTTGGTCGCGCCAATCATCCTTCCTGATCGATTCGAATTCTCCTAAGTTTTGAACGAGTTTTGAAGGTTGTTGATGTCTCGTGTTGGGCATTACTTTTATCAGTAGGGAGTCTTGGCGTCGGCTTGCAGATCCAACTTGTGTTGCGGTTGCCTCATTGAATTGTAATTGTCGCTTTCTCTCTAGATCAGTCTACATAATGCACACTGAGAGTGCATGTTGCATCTGTTCTCTCTTCGTTGCGGTCATTTGCAAGCACAAATCTTGGCATTTTTACTCTATCGCTTGTTCAAGGGCGCTGACATGAGGGCAAATTCTTGCATAATTCTACTCCAGAGGCTGAGTGTCAATGTGAAACCACTACAGATTGATAGCGTGTCTGCTTTTGATCATTGTAGCTATGATGGCGACGCCGTGGATTACTCTGCTTGATTCAGAACGTCTTCTGATTCTACTACTCTACCGGCTCGATTTGACCTCCTTGTGCTAACCTCCTCATGAAATCATGTGAGATCCCTCCCACTTCTATAATACACTTCAGGGTGTCGTTTGTTTCGAAAAGCACACCATCAATTTAGATTCCCAGAACACCCTCATTAGTGACCTGGCCCAAACTCCGTTAAGCATTTAGTAAAGGGCCCTGCATGGGGTTTGTTGCCGATAGATTCAAAAACACGCAACGTGTGTACTGGTTGAAAGAATGCACATGATATGCGTCCGATATTCAAAAAGAAGCTCGTTTCACAGGTTCATATTCATGCCTTGATCTACATTACTCTTGGGTGAGTGGTGTTTTGCCTAGCTCTGCTGCAGCACCAGTTGCATGAAACCCGTCCAATGTAACAGTCACGGCTCCAGCTTGAACGAGCTACAACAATTTTCAATCAGTATTCCAACAAACAATGTCGTAACTGGTTTATAAATATAGTACTTACCGCACGGGACAAATCCTCAATCAGATCATTCACATCTTCTATCCCTACACAGAGACGAATGATGTCTTCGGGCATTTGCCTCTCTCTACGTGTCTTTGCATCAATGCTTGCGTGACTCATTTGACACGGCATACTGATGAGGCTATTCACGCAGCCAAAACTGACACTGATTGCCCATAGCCTTGCTGCCTCCACGATTCGCTCCGACATGGCTGCATCTCCAGTCTCGAAAGACAAAACGGCACCAGCTCCCCGCGCAATAGACCAATGCAAATCATATTGCGGATGCGACTGGAGGCCTGGGTACCGAACACGAAACCCGTGAGACTCAAGAAACTCAGCAATCGCCTGCGCGCTGGCTTGTTGCTTCTCCATGCGTATAGCAAGAGTCTTGACACCACGCATAAGGAGAAACGAGTCGTTAGGAGACAGACCGCAACCAGTCGAATTGATTGTGAAGAATAGTTTGTCTCCGATGGATGCCTCGTTGCAAGCGATGACACCAGCCATGATGTCGTGGTGCCCAGATAAATACTTGGTGCCGGATTCGTAGACAATGTCTGCCCCCAGATCCAACGGATTGCACAGCATCGGAGAGAGCATGGTGTTGTCAACTACAACCAGAGCCTTGGAATTGGCGTCATGAGCCATTTGAGCAATAGACGCTAGGTCTACTATCTTAATCAGGGGGTTCGTCGGAGTCTCTAGTAAAACCATGGCTGTTTTGTCGGATATTCTCGCCTGAACGGCATCGACTTTTGTGGTGTCAACATGATGCACAATGATGCCCTGATTCGTGGCCATATACGTGAGCAAGCGATGGGTACCACCATACAAGTCGTCTCCGGTGATAACCTCGTCGCCGGGGCGCAACAAACGAGTGATGACATCTAAAGCACCCATACCGGAGCTCACAGCAAGTGCGCGATTTGCATTCATAATCTTGGCGAGATGTCTCTCGAGATGCGTTCGAGTCGGGTTGCCGGATCGTGTGTAGTCATAGTCTTGCTGACCGCCAGCAGCCGAAGTCTGCTTGAATGTTGCAGATTGGTAGATAGGGATGCTTGAGGCACCATACTGGTCCTTGCCTTCGGTGTAGACCAATTCAGTTGCCAAAGCATAGCGTCGGCGGCCATTCCGAGGACTTGACGGGGCTGGGGATGGAGGAAGATTGTGTCCATCAAGATCAGTCTTAGCAGGACCTGTAACGCTCTTGGTAGCACTCGCGTTGATAGGCTTCGAGGAAGCCATATTGCTGCGCTTGTCGGCTGAGACGGCCAAATTGCTAATACCAGCAGGCCACGGGTGACAAGTGTGAGAAGCCAAAGGGGTTGGCAATCACTTGGCCGAAACCAAAGGATCTGGATAGGGAGATTTGAGTTGGAGCGGAAATGTAGGGCATTGAAAGGAGGAAACTCGGGAAGAGATTGTGGAGAGCACAGTGCACCAGGGCAGAAGAGGTGACTGCGGCACCATCATCAGTCACCGCCGCTCCATAATAGCTGCGTGTCCGATTCTGGGGTTCAGGAGTGGGCCTGGCATAAGAACCCAGCACTGGATCGCATTTCCCCGACTGTGTCGTGCCGCAACTGTGCCTACCTTAGGTACCTAGCCTACTTAAGTACTTAGATGTAGGTATTATTACAATACGGCGTACCTGCCGGAATCATTCCTACCCTAAGCTCATCACCGATCACCGCCAGCGTCGGGTCCGTATCCTATCAGTAATGTGCATCGGTATTTGCGCGGCATTCCACCGCCTCGAAACGAAGCGATAATGCCGATGCCGATGAACGGAGGCAATAATCATCCTGGCCTAACAGCAAAAGTCTGACGTCTCCTCAAACCGCTCGGTGGGGCAGCCCCCAATGGCGTGATCTCAAGGATAGCCACTAGTACTACTCCGTACCGTGTTGGTGCTCCTCGAGAGTACGTTCAACCAGACATCAATTAGCCAATTTTCCCAGCGGCGTCAAGTCAACTTCGAATGTCTTAAAAGACACTTCCATTTCACAGAGCATCAAAAGACTCGAGTTTCAATGTTTTAACGCGTGATAATCCGTGAAAATCCTGTACGGTATCAAGGTCCTATAGGTCAATAGCCCTCTAAATCTGTGCATGTGCAATTATTGCACAATGTGATGGCATCAATAGGTTCTCTACCTACATCCAGGCAGGTGGCTAGACATAGCTAGCGGAAAGGCGTGTCACATCAGACTGCACGCTATCGAGGTCATATTAAAGCACAGCAACAGAAATTTAATGCTTCAGATCGTTGTCAGTGACACCACTATCTCTCAAGGGTTTCACCAGCAGCCAATTCCAGCACTGCCTAATCCTGGCTTTCGACCAGGAGTTCATCCACATTTTCATACTCGCCACCGGACCCTCGGCTCTTGTTTTTTCTCCTGTCAGCCGCGTTTTTGGCGCTCTTGCCATCCTTCTTGTCTATATGGCTGCCTCCATTGCTGAGAAAGTCATCTGTCCTAATACCGCGAAATTGGCTGGGATCAACCGAAGTCATTCGCCGCCCCTCACCTCTGTATTGTCGCATGTACTCCCGGACAGGTGCCATGGCAGCATCACGGCAAGCTTCTTTGATGTCACTGCCTGACATTCCTGCAGTGATCTTCGATACGTAGTCCAAATCAAAATGCTCTGCGTCTGTCTTTGTATCCTGTAGAATAAGCTGCAATATTTTGCGTCGCTGTTCAAGGCCAGGGAGAGGCACCGGAAATTTTTTGGGCATACGGCGCAAAATTGCCTCGTCAATGTCATGTATGCGGTTTGTAGCCCCTAAAACGACAATTTGAGCCGGCATCCCCGATGCATTGGCCGATGTTAGGCCATCCCATAATGTCATAAACCTAGCCTCTGTGTTAAAATCCAGACCATGTACGGAAGACTGCGAAGAAAACCTTACTCAGCTTTGACCATACCGCTGGCCTCGTGCTCCCCGCTCCTCCTTGTTCCTAGGACCGCGTCTATTTCGTCGATGAATATGATAGCTGGCTGCATTTTGCGTGCCAAGGAAAAGACAGCACGAACTATTTTGTTAGAATCACCGTACCACTTCTCTGTCATGGTTGAGATGTGAAGGTTGATGAACGAAGCTCCGCTTTCATGGGCTAACGCCTTTGCAAGCATGGTCTTTCCACAACCCGGGGGTCCAAAAAGAAGCACTCCGGACGGTGCTGACAGTAAAGGCGCAGCGTGGGAATACAGATGCGGCATCGTAAGTGGGTATATCACGGATTCTTTTAGCTCCTCAATAATCGAATCAAGCCCACCAATATCTGTGAATGAAAAAACATCAGTCAGTTCGTTTCAGAAATACTATATGACCATTTATTCACAGTCAAAGTAGGGCATGTATCTCACCATCAAATCCGACATGTATGTCCTCTGGGGCGACCATTTCCAGCGCAACCAAGTTCTCGTACTCGTTCAAAACCAGGTCCTCAACGCTTTGAATCCTCCTGGCATCTCCGCTCTCGTCGTCTCCATCTCGGTCTATATTCCGCTGACGATTCAATCGCTCGAGGTGTGCCTTAGCCTGCCGTCTAGCTTGTTCGTGTTTTTCTTTGTCGGGGTCAGCCAGATTGCTCAGCATCGGAGTGAGAAGGTTTCTGGCAACATAGAGTCCAGCTGTCATCTATGTAATAAACTCTATGGTCAATAAACATGTACGTTTCTCTCAGGGGGGGTTAGACGCGGGCCGACCCAGTTAGGTATGACATACCATGCCGGCAAATAATAAGAGGTCAAGGGCGACATCGCCGAGTTTCCGTCGTTCACCCATACCGAGAATTGAATGCAACCACAGGACTGATTTCCCGGGCATCAGGGTATGGCTTAGTAAATAGAGAAAGCGCTGAGCCGAGATGTTCTGACGTATCGGGGCTTGCCCTGTCAAGATCTCTCAGAACTGATAAAAAGTTGTCGCAGATGGTTGATCAAGCGTACACGTGGAGAAACGAGGGATTTTCCAGTCGCCTTGCATGCTTTCAAAAGTTATTGTACGGTATGTTCAAACGACTAGATTGGGATGTTGTCATGAGTGTATATGGTAAGTCGAATCTGCTAACGGAGTATGGAGTACGGAGCACCGTCTTCGCATTCATGTGCTACGTATCCACTTGTGCTGGGGTCTATTCCCTTTTGGCACAGTGTTTGCCACTCTCCTCTGCTACGGAGAAGGACCCGCGGCACCAGATGAGGCACTAGTAGGCTGTAGTAGTACGTAAAGTACCTACTTAAGTACCTAGGTAGGTAGTAGTACTGTACGTACATGCTTACGTAACTTCCGAACTAAGGCAGTGGATGACATGACGAGTTGTTTACATTCTACCCAAAACGGAAGTACCATCGGCCTGTTTAGAGGAACCCACAACATATTAGCATCTCGTCCACATCATAATACTGTTGAAGATTTCCTGATTCTCGGCTGGATGAAGCGACAGAGGATAATTTGTCTCCTCAAGCCGCATTACAAAAAGCCATCTATTTTCAAATATACGACTATTCGTCACTCTCAATTTTACTGCTCCACATGACAGATGGCTCGTCATTCGCATGTGGTGGGCAACCTTGCGTCAATGGTCCTCTCCGATTCTGAACCAGATTTCGACGATGTGGAAGCGATTGGTATGCCATCTTCTCAGGAGCTTGCTGGGAAGGCTGTAGCATCTAAGCGAAGTCGTGACCGAACCGCGAACTCTACAACCCGAGTAACGAAGCCGTTCCAAAGAACGAAAAGCGCTAAGAGCGGCACGGGTCATTTAAAACTACCCGCGATGGCGAGGCAAATATTAATGGAGAAGAGCAAAAACAATACTATTGAACAAGCTGGAGCCCACGGAAAACATATGGACGAACCAGACAAGATCGCCTTAGGAAAATCATATCCAAATCTTTCTTCATCTCATGAGCAGGGGCGACTAGCCGGCTTATCACGAAACACAGGATCTTCGGGCAAATTATACACTCAAAATATTGAAAAGGAGCACGAACCAACATTCGAGAACGGTCACGAGGAGCCGAAAAGCGTTGAGCAGCTAGGACAGCAAGAGACAGAACCCGTCATTGACGCAGAGGAGCAATTCCCAACGGAATATACCAATAATATGGACGAGGTTTCAACTCAGGGGCGATTAGGAGAATTGATGAAGAAGTACGACTCGCTAAAAACACGACACAACGAGCTGCGCGAAGTGGGAATGATAGCCGCAGAACGCAATTTTGAAAGGCTGAAACAGCAGTCAGAACAAAATACGGCAGGTAAGGCTTTGGCCCTGCAGTCAATGGGAGAATATCCATTATTATATTGACACCTTCAATTTGGAATATCTGACATGTCGGCAGCCTCAAACAAACTTATTCAATCGCTCAAAGATGAATTAAATGTACAATCGGCACTGGCGAAGCAAGGCGAGCAGGCACGCCAGCAATTAGAGCGTAGTGAAACTAACGTTTGCGACTTGGAAAGCAAAATATGTGGCCTGGAGGCATCATTATCGAGTGCCCGGTCTGAGATAAAATCGCTCTCCGCTAAACTCTCGGCGAGCAGAGCCGCGGAAGCTTGTGTAAAAAATCCGGGAAGCGCATTAAAGCCTGGGGTAATAGGCCACAAATCAGCCCCATCGGAAGTTGTTCGGGCCGCGCAAGCAAGGGAAGACCTGTACGGCGACTTAACAGGTCTTATTGTCCGGGGGATGAAACGAGGTGACGGTGGAAGTGTTTTCGACTGCATTCAAACTGGGAGGAACGGGAGTAAGCTTCCCAAGAGACACTCAACACTAACAAAGCACAATGCTAACTTGTTGAAGCTCTACACTTCAAGCTTTCACTGGATGCCGGAGATGCTTCCGATAGTTACGACGACGTCCAATTTACATATCGCCCTCAGCTTGATACAGACCGCGATGGTGATTTGATTCGGATGCTACCGGACTACTTGGTCGAAGAAATTACCTTCCCACGGACTCAAGCATGCAAATTTTACAGCAGAGTGATTAAGTCACTTACTGAGCGACTGGATTAAAATTGAATGGCTAGGACTATACCACCTACTAACTCTCGGACTCATCAGTAAAGATGTCCGTATGTTCAATTTAGGGTACTCAACTAGTCCCAAGGTGCGGGGCGAGAACTAACAGTCAATATCTTTCAGTACTTTATCCATTCGCACAATACCTGGTTACTTGAACCTGGCATGATGGGCTAAGACTTGAAAGTTCCTCTTCGAGAAGTCATGGCTCAGCCGCGGCACAAAGGAAGAAAAAACCTGATAAGCAGTATGCTAGTAGTAAAGGTGAAGCTGAGGCCTAGTTATTTTAATGGGTGGCAACAATCGTATTGTGTTCACAAGCCAAGGACAGTTGACCAAACGGCTGTAGCCAAGTTGCAAGCTTCCACTTCCACTTGGAGACCTACACTTGTGGATCGTGTTTCCGCTCAAGAAGTCGAGAGAAGGACCTACAATGTCTCGTGAAACAAGTCTGATTGTTTCATTACATTAGACATATGCTGTCCTGTGGGAGCAGGTGGGCGACCCTGATGGTGGATGGTGGGGAGTCTATTCGCGCAGTTGGACATCAGGGTATCCAAGTACAGTCTATGGCAGGATGCATCTGCTTTGGCACGTATTTGTCCATTTATACACTACAGCTTAACTATAGTACACTTTGCATGGTAAAATACAGTATAACGCGCGGTAAGCAGGTTTCTCGTCCGGGTCTAGTACTTTTGAACCTCCCACTGCAGAGTCCCTGCTAGTGTTGTTGACCTGGGAAATCCACCTAGATACACACCCCATGCATGTACATACACATGGGCAGATTCTTATTGGAATCGCCTGGTAGGCTGAAAGCCCGGTCTCCTGTATTACAGGGGCAGTTGGACAAAAGATCGTGAAATTCAAATTCAACCTTACCATCCATACAATAAGATATAAATGTGATGAGGAGGACGATGGGGGTGCCAATTGACGGCGTCCTCAACCCCACGAGGACCACGAGGGGGTGTCGCCCGCCCGCACACCCCCAAGAAAAAGGACGCTTCCAGGGGGTAGCCAATAATATTTGGATTGGGCTGGTTCATTAGAAAAATGGTCAAGATCAACCAGACGGCTCGAATCTCCCTTACTACGTAAGTAGCTACTCTAGCAATACGGAGTACAGACACTCCATACGGGACAGAGCATCAATCTAACAAATGCCTATCTCCAGGTGTCCCGACTCCAACGTCCGCACTGCGAGACACACTTCAAAATTCGGTGTCGTTCCATGTCACTGCTCAACGCGTTAAAACCATCACTGCCACAGTGTCTGGTGCATTAGGCTGCTGCTAACGGAAACCCGACACAAACAGCAACGTCGCAACTTTAGTCGCCAACATGGCGGCAGCCACTCGTTTTGCCTTCCTGGCCACGGCCGTAATATTCCATCTCGTTTATATATATTCTATCTTCGATATATATTTCGTCAGCCCCATTGTGTCTGGCATGCAGCTCTTCGAAGTTGAACGTCCCGTGTTCTCCAAGCCTCCAGCTGACAGACTAGTTTTGTTCGTTGGCAAGTACATTCAGTTGCACCAACCTTTGCTCCCAATCTTACCACAAATATGCTGACAAACTACTGTTGCAGGCGATGGACTAAGAGCCGATAAAGCCTTTCAATCATTTCCCGAGCCGTATCCTCAAAACGAAAAGGATCTCATCCCCAGACCTCTCGCACCTTTCCTGCGATCCCGCGTCCTTCAAGAAGGAACCTTCGGTGTCTCCCATACCCGTGTGCCTACAGAGTCCCGCCCGGGTCATGTAGCTTTAATCGCCGGGTTATACGAAGATGTTTCCGCCGTCGCCACCGGCTGGAAACTCAACCCCGTCAATTTTGATAGTGTCTTTAACCGAAGTCGTCATACTTGGAGCTGGGGTAGCCCAGATATCTTGCCCATGTTCGAACAAGGAGCTGTTCCCGGTCGGGTTGATACATATATGTACGAACCAGAATTCGAAGATTTTAGTCAGGACGCCCTTCGCCTTGACTACTGGGTGTTTGACCATGTTAAGCACTTCTTTGCAGCGGCCGCAACAAACCAGACTCTAAATAAAGCCCTTCGCCAGGATAAGATTATATTCTTCCTCCATCTGCTTGGGCTTGATACAACTGGGCATTCCTATCGACCGTACTCAAAGGAATACTTAAATAATATTAAAGTGGTGGACCAAGGGGTTAAGGAGATAACAGAACTTATCCAGAAGTTTTACGCAGATGACAGAACAGCATTTGTATTTACCGCAGATCATGGCATGAGTGACTGGGGCAGTCACGGTGATGGTCATCCAGATAATACCCGCACGCCTTTCATTACGTGGGGTTCCGGTGTGGCCGCTCCTGAGGTGCATCCTGGTGCTATTGCCCCTGGACATGATATGTATTCATCAGATTGGGGGCTCGATCACGTTCGTCGACACGATATCAACCAGGCGGACATCGCCGCCTTAATGTCCTACTTAATCGGCGCCGAGTTCCCCGCTAATTCGGTCGGAGAGCTTCCCCTATCCTATCTGGCTGCAGACAATAGCGAGAAGGCTAATGCATCGCTTGTCAATGCCAAAGGTATTTTGGAGATGTATCGTGTCAAGGAAAGTAACAAGAAGACGAATGAACTGCGATTCAAGGCATACCACGCGTTTGACGGAGAAGGTTCTTCTCCCGAAAACCGCACTGCTGCGATTGCAAATCTCATTGCAAATGGGCAGTATGAAGAGGCTATTGAGGAGTCAAATACCCTCATACAAGTAACGCTGCAAGGCCTGCGCTATCTCCAAACTTATGACTGGCTGTTTCTTCGCGCCCTTATTACCATGGGTTATCTTGGCTGGATGGCGTATGCCATAACCACAGTGGTAGACATGTTTGTCGTCCACGAGGTAATAGCAGCGCAAAGGACTCCTTTGGGGACCGCCACCTTTTTAGGAGTTCTGTTTGCTCTTTATGCGTCGTTCATTATTTCCAAATCACCCCTCACCTACTATTTATATGCCTTCTTTCCTGTCGTATTCTGGGAAGAAGTTTATGCCCATAGACAAAGTCTTTACCGTGGAAGATTGATATTATTTGGCCACATCCAGTCCGCAGGAGGCGCGGCGAGCCTCTTTCTTCATGCCGTTTTTTACATTGCTGTCATACAATCTCTGGTGAGTGAACCGATTACGCAAAATATGTAGTCCCTGGGATTCAATACCCCCGCCCGTTGCCAACCCACACTGACCCTCATTAGGCTGTTGGATATATCTATCGAGAGGTACTGACCGGATTATTTGTCCTGGCAGCGGCTTGGCCTTTCATGTATGGCCTGTCCTTCATACAATACCATGCATTGCTCAGCATGACATGGGCGGCTTCATGCCTGACAATGAGCACATTCACGTTGCTTCCAGCCATGAAAGTTGAAAGCATTGGTCTAGTGTAAGCACTCTCAACGCATGGTTATTACAAGAGTACTATATGAGGCTGATCACTTCTAGCCTTGCTGGTGGCTTTGCCATGTTTCTCGTTGGCTTTCTTTACCTGATTCTCGAAGACATCGGACTCGCCGATTTTACGTGGGCTGTCAACTCAAATCCTTCACTTAAAAAGACGAACAAGAATATTCAGCGAACATTAACTGGCATCCAGGTATGGCAAATGGCTACTATCACCTTCTCTGTTGCCACTCGATTCTCTCCGTATTCTGCGAGATGAGTAACTAACGCAGTATCATATCAACAGGTGGGACTTATTCTCTTGTCCATGCTTGTCACGCGGTCTAGCGCCTTATCCCTTCAAGCTAAGCGAGGCCTCCCAGTCGGCAATCAAGTTCTTGGATGGGCTATCCTCAGTACGTTATTTGTGGAACGCAATTGACTTTTCATGCGGTTTATGTCCTAGCATCTAACTTTCTCAGTCGTGTCTCTCCTAATGCCCCTCTTGTATCGCCTTCAGCCCAATACACATTACCTGCATAGACTTGTAGTCATTTTTTTGACATGCGCACCTACATTTGTCATTCTTACAATATCATATGAGGGCCTTTTTTACGTCGCTTTCTCGGCGACCCTACTTGTTTGGGTGCGCCTGGAGTACGCAGCCGAAATTTTCTACCGCAAGCATCAGCAAAGCAACGGGAGCTTGGTGCAACCTAATACACTTGACCAAGACTTGATACAACATCGAGCACTCAGGCTCTCGGACGCACGGGTGGCGCTCTTCTTCATGGTACTATTGCAATCGGCCTTTTTCAGTACGGGCAACGTTGCGTCTGTTTCTTCATTTAGTCTTGACAGTGTTTACCGCCTGATACCAGTATTTGATCCTTTTTCTCAGGGAGCGTTGCTAATTTTAAAGTTGATGATCCCTTTTGCTCTTATTTCTGCCAATTTGGGAGTATTGAATAAAAGATTAGGGGTCGCCCCATCAGCTCTCTTCATGGTTGTCATGGCAATTAGCGATATTCTAACGCTTTATTTCTTTTGGGTCGTCAAAGACGAGGGCTCATGGTTGGAGATCGGCTCCACAATCAGCCACTTCGCCATTGCAAGTCTGCTTTGTGTGTTTGTTGCTGGCCTTGAGGGAGTCAGTACCTTGTTTGTATCAGGCATTGACGTGGGGGATGGGCAAAGCGAACTTGATCCTACGACTAACCAGTCAGGGTCTACAATGACAGAAAATGGAACCCCGAATGGCCACAGCCATTCAACTAAAGCTAAAAGACAATAGAGCAAATATAAAAGGATTGCAATGACGGATTTCAGATTTCCTTGATGAGAATCAGGTTCGCACCCCACACCGAGGGCGAGATGAGATGTTGGCTCTTGTACACGAAGGGCGCATGCTCCGTCAAATATATGCAGCTACGTATGCGCGAAATACGCAGGGGCATCAGGCAATCCATAGTCAAAGGTAGAGCTTTATGTTGTATTGTTGTGCTATCCAGCTGGGCAAAAGCTCTCAGTCGCGAGGTCTAGAGAGTGCAAAGGACCATATACGGCTGGGATGTGCTGTGGTAGCAGGGAAGTCTCTGACCAGGTAATTGTATGATGGATAGAGAGAGTATTTGTTTCCCCATTGTTTAGATTTCTAATCTACCTATTTCAGGTGCCTGGTGGACTTTAGTGGACTTCCAAAAATGCTGGCAGAGAGAAAGAGTATTTGAGCCAGACACCTTGCCGAGTAGTACTTAACTAGTTGATAAGACGCCTAACGAAGTTGGTACCGGGAGCTAAAAGACCGGGATAGTCTCCATTTCACTCAGGAATTTTAAGCCTACAACAACAAAGGCATCTGAGATGTCGGAAGCACTGGCAGCACATGTGAAACTCACCACCCGCCTGCCCCCTTCCCTTCCCATCAAGGCGCAGACACCACCAACAGAGGGCAACTCAGGTGAAGTACTTGGGTATCTATGCAAGTTTGTGCCTGATGATCTGACTTGTTACTTTTGAGTAGGTGCTGGAGTGAACCCTTGAGAGTATAATATTGACAAGGCGGCGCGTTCTGTGCAAATCATCTGTACGGAGTACGGCAGAACCCCCCGCGACCTTGCCACCAAAAAATTCTCCTGCGGACCCCGGTTCCCCGGACTTTTTGCTTCGATGTCGTCGTCTGCCTGGGATGTTTCGGGCAAGTACGGGGGTGGCTGCCTGGTTCCCCAACAACTGGGCAACTCGGAAGGCGGGCCAGAGCCATTAGCCTCCGATCTATTCCATCTCCATGGCTCATAGTTTGAGCTTGGGACCAGCGACCTTACGCAGGCAGGGCCAAGAGACGAACTCTTCTCCAGACCCGAGCACTTCAAGTGCAACGTTCAACGGCAAGGAGGGGCACTGAGTGCATGTGGTTTGTAGTAGCATCCAACCTTGATTCCGGTAAGCTTAGGTACCTAAGCTTCATCCTTCATAGACAGATGAAATAATCCCGAAACTCACTCTTTTTTCATGAGAGGAATCTTTGTTATAAACACGAGGCCAAATTCTTCTCATTCATCTGAATACATGGATACCTAGGTAGGTACTTTCATTACCAGTATTTTGGCGCGGCCCCATACTCTAACGCCAGCACATGAATCCTCCTGATTACTACATACGCATGTGTGGAATACTACCTACCTAGGCAGTAACTAATGAGCATTTGTGCACATCGTACCAGCTACAGCGAATACGATCATATGTACTGGCTTGTGACAGTCTCAGGATTCAAACAAGCGACGACGTGCTGGTACCACAAGTGGTCTCGTCAAGTGCCTTGCCCAAGTCCAGCAGCCCCTCAAATCGACCCACCTCCGCACAACATGAAAAGTCTTGAGTATCTTGCCTGACCCAGGCCAGCCAATTTTCAGCTTGGAACACTAAACCCCAGACCCGTCGCGGTGGGCTGGCAAGTTGGCCACACCAGACACTGATCAATTCAATGGTTCGAAGCTTTGGCTCTCATGTCACCAGGCCCAGCCAGCAGCGTCACGACTGTCCTCCGTTGGTCAGCCGAGCTCTCAAGTCTAGCCCCCTGTCTCTGAAACCCTCCAACTTGCGGGGAACTAAAATACCAGACCAGACTTGGCTGCATTTAAGTACGATACTGGCACAACTCTTATGTATGTACACACAGTGGCAGCCTGTTCATCAACAAGCTGACAACAACTAGCCTTGTTGCAGGAACTTGGCTACTGGTTGTTTCTCCCGAACTTTCGTATCTGGAGGCCCCAATTGAGCCTCGCGCCTGGATACCTAGTAGTAGTCAGCACCGTTGGCATCCCTCTAAGAGCACCGTCAATTCTCAAGTCTGCATTCGCACACGTCGCACACGTCGCACCTCCACGTCCCTTCCGCCCGCGCCGTACGGTCGCCGTTCGCCTTCGTCTCCGTGGCCCGCCTTCTCCTCCCCCCTCCTTGAACTAACCCGTTAAATTACCATTGTACGCCAACTTGCCAGAATCAACACCAGGCTGCGGAATCGCCCAAAGACAACTGGTTCGGCGTTGACCACGTTAAATAAAAAAATTTTAAAAAAAGAGAAAAAAAGAAGAAGAAGAGGCCCGGCATGGATGTCGAAATGACTGCGGGTGATGCTGGTCAACAGCAGTCACTGACACAACAATCCGAGTCTTCTGCCAAAGCATCCCCTCCCGCTGCCAATAATGCGGGTAGCAACGCAGCGAACCAGATGAGCTTTCGAAGGTACGCACATATTGCGCACCCACGCGTGTGATGGTCGTGAACCAGTGCTGACGGATACACCTTCTTAGGCAACGAGCGTCAAGAGCATGTGAGGTATGTGTCCGTGGTCGGTTGGGGTCGTCTTCGTCTTCTTGTGCCCTGCCACAGCTCCACGAGCCGAGGCAAAAAAGACTACAAACCCCACGCTTCTTGACTTCATAGCAGCTTAATTCGATGCTGACCATCCGCTACATCTTGTCAGACCTGTCATGCACGCAAGGTAAATATCCGTCAACCTTGCGTCTCTTGACGAATGCATTATTCTGACATGCTAACCTTCCTTGCCTGCTCAGGTTCGATGCGACGCTGCAAGCCTCGGCGTTCCTTGCACGAATTGTGTCGCATTTCAGATCGAGTGCCGTATCCCAACCCCTAAACGTAAAAAGGCTCAAAATGCTGGCAATCAGACAACCAAAGATTCCGACAGGTACCGCATTTCCTCGTTAGTGCAACCTAGATGACCTTGCTAACCCATATCGCTTCATTGCTTGTAGTGACCGAGAAGCAGACGACCGGCCACATCAAACCACCCCAGGCAGCGCCTCTTCCTATCCACGACCACCCACTGTATCGCACACATCGGATGGGACCCCTTCATCGTCTATGACCGAAGCACAAGTCAGACAAGAAGAAGTCGATAGCGGTACATACCTAAATCTTGTAATGAAGCCCAAGTTCACTCGTGCTCCAATCACGGAAGCTGGACGAGTTGCCTTTCTTGGCGAATCCTCGAACTTGACTTTACTTGTACACGACCGCCAGGGATCGTCGGATGTCGTGCACTATCCGCTACCTGAAAATGTGCGCGGCTCACGAGCCAGGCTGACAGAGCTAGATAATGTTGAGATTGAAATCTTACATCAGAGAGGAGCATTCCTTCTCCCTCCCCGATCTCTCTGTGACGAACTCATAGAGGCATACTTCAAGTGGGTTCATCCCATTGTCCCTGTTATCAACCGCTCTCGCTTTATGCGACAGTACAGGGATCCCAAGAACCCTCCGTCACTCCTCCTTCTCCAAGCTGTTTTACTAGCCGGCTCGCGGGTTTGCACCAATGCTCAGCTTATGGATGCCAATGGGTCTACGACTCCTGCCGCGTTAACCTTCTACAAACGTGCAAAGGCACTCTACGACGCAAACTACGAAGATGACCGTGTCACAATTGTTCAGTCGCTGTTGCTCATGGGCTGGTACTGGGAAGGCCCCGAGGACGTCACCAAAAATGTTTTCTACTGGAGTCGTGTTGCCACCATTGTTGCTCAAGGTTCTGGTATGCACCGGAGTGTCGAGCAGTCTCAACTAAGCAAGTCTGACAAACGACTATGGAAGAGGATATGGTGGACTCTGTTCACTCGCGACAGGTCTGTCGCTGTTGCTCTCGGTCGTCCCGTCCACATCAATCTCGACGACTCTGACGTTGAAATGCTGACGGAAGACGACTTTATCGAGGATGAGATGGACCGAGCCAGCGAATTCCCGCCAGACCCCATTCATGTGCAATTCTTTTTGCAATATGTCAAGTTGTGCGAAATCATGGGCTTGGTCTTGTCGCAACAATACTCGGTTGCTTCCAAGGGACGTCAAAGGAATGCCATTGATTTGACACACAGCGACATGGCACTGGCCGACTGGCTGCAGAATTGCCCCAAGATTGTATACTGGGAGATGCCTCGCCATCACTTCTGGTCTGCTCTACTTCATTCAAATTACTATACAACACTCTGCCTCCTGCATCGCGCACACATGCCCCCGAGCGGCTCAAGAAGCTTTCCGGACGACTCCCCTTACCCATCCCGGAATATTGCTTTTCAAGCTGCAGCAATGATTACGTCAATTATAGAAAATCTCGCCACACACAAGGAACTACGCTATTGTCCGGCATTCATTGTCTACAGCCTGTTCTCAGCTCTGATTATGCATGTGTACCAGATGAGGTCTCCTGTCCCATCGATCCAGCAAGTTACGCAGGATAGAATGAGAAGCTGCATGCAAGCGTTGAAGGAAGTATCACGGGTCTGGCTTGTCGGAAAGATGGTCTATGCCCTTTTTGAGTCCATTATTGGCAATAAGATGCTAGAAGAACGCCTTCAAAAGGCGGGTGGGAAGCGTCATCGGAAAATGCAACAAAGCCTGTCACAATTGGAGCAGCAGAGTAAAGTTCAAGACGTTTCGAAGAGAAAGTATGACGACATGGCCATCGATTTCACCGCAAATGCCCCAACGCCTCAGGAATCCTACGAGCGCTCTAGACCTCAAACACCGAGTGCAATCAAAACCGAAAATACTTCTGCTATGCAACCACCGGCTGTCGCGTCTCCCAATAGTCGACCCAGCGTGGCAGATACATTTATGGGCGGAACCAATTCGCGACCTCAGACCAGACCTGCAACCCCATTCAATCCCTCGTTTTCAGTTCCCGCTACGCCCCCAGATCTCTACCTTGTAACCAGAAACTCACCAAATTTGTCGCAATCGCTCTGGGAAAATTTTCAACCAGATCAGCTCTTCCCCGAAAGTTCCAGCATGCCTGCTTTCCCTAATCTATCTCCGACACAAACACATCAAGAACCGAACCACAATCTGATGGCGCAGATGACACCCAACAGCATGTCACAAGGCCAGGCAAGCAACCAGTTTCAGGCTACAGGTCAAGGACAAGGAAATGGTGGCGTACCTACGCAAGGCTTTCATGCATCTGCCGGCATGTGGCACACCAATTTCGACGGGGGCGTGCACGACGGACAAAGTCCAGACAGTTGGAGCACAAGCTCAGTCCAAGGGCAACCTGCTCCCACGACCTTGAACGTGGAGGATTGGTAAGTCGACTGGCTTCCTTTCCTGTCCTTTCTCCTTCCTTTCCCTCCCTTTTCTATTATGCAAAATGTTTCTTTTGTCACCCCTCCCTTCCTTCATCGCAGCTAATCCAGTATGCAGGTTCCAATTCTTTGGCATCAATGGCGATGCTAGCAATTTGAATCTCGATGTATCCCTGAGTTGAGGTGAAACCTGAAGCTAGCAACCTGTGTTACTGCTTCGATCATTTTACGGAAGCCATTTTGCGTCCCTGGCTCAGTCGAGTCTGTCCAACTTTTAAGCGCCTAATATTTAGGCACGTGTAAAACACAGAAGAAAGAACTGGCGAGGATCAAGCACTTGTGTATAGTTGACGATTTTGTCACAACAGGATTAGGAAGATATATGCCGGCACCCAATATTCTCAACTGTGCTGGTATGTGTGAGAATGTGTTCTTCCTATTTTGGCTCACCGAAGCGTGACCAATGGTTTAAATTGGTATAAGCAAAGAGAGTCCACCAAATAGGGATGGGTCTTACAATCAATTCGCTCAGCAAATAGTTACGGCGGAGGAGGCAGCGATTAGGATTCAAGTAATCTAGTTCATACGGACTACTGCTTCTTTTTGGATGGATATGCCGCTGCGGCCTGAACAGATAGGAATGGTATGTACTTTGTTATAACCAGATGGGCCAGGTATGATTCAAGATACTTCTGGTGCTTTGTAGCACCTTGTTGAGAATGCACCACGTCAGTGACGATATTGGCACATGTTGGTCTGCACGAAAATACACCCAAACCAGGATGTCCCCAGCTTTTGAGAATGACTCGTTTCCCCCTGAGTGTGGTGGTCTAAATATCTCTCTGCTTGCCCGTTTATGCAAGAGATTAAACAAGCCGCCGTATTTATCCACCTTGAACTAACTGCAACTCTTTCCCACCTTATTCGATTCAGTATTCAAGTAACAAGAAGGTAGATCGATACACATCAAGTTATACGAACTTTGGGAATGCTCTGGATGTGGCGGCCTTATAAAGTTGATGCAGGGCCGGCCCCACTCTACTTGTGGTTTTGGAACTCCCCACTTCTATTCATTGGTGCCTCGGACAGGCGACACCACTCACTGCTTCCTCGTCATTGCGTGTCCTCTTAGCTCCTTATCAATCGCGACCGACGACGGACCATGAACATCACCAATACAGTCGAACCGGCCTTCCCTTAATCTTGTTGTCTATACTATATTGTGCCTCGTCTTCTCTATTTGGTCTATCGGGCACCTTTGAGCTGCATGCGGCATTCCCGATTCCCCCAGTCTTGTGCTTGTGTTAGCAGAGACCTGATGCGAAGCTGCATCAACACAACCAGCGAGTTGCTGTCGCTGAGTTCGCGGTCATCATGACCGACCGAGGCAATCCAGCGAAGGCCCAAACTTACTTGACTTCATCTTCTCTTTCAACATTGTCCCATGAGTCAGCCTCGAACGCTGCCCGACCCCGGAATCGTCGCGTCGAGACTATTGACGAGACGTACAACCCGCCAACGACAACTGGGATTACGAAGAGCAGTGGAACCTCATACCCCATACAAGGCGCTACGCATGGGAACAAAACCGTCCCCCTGACATTGGAAAGGTCTCAGGAAGATCAAATTCCAAATCAAGGCTCAACGGGTGGCGACCTTGCGCAATTTTTAGGAGATTCTTGGACTCAGAGCTGGACCTCAGTTCAAGCGTTTGCTTCGACATTGATTTCCGGCGTCGATAACTCTCCCAAAGCAATTCGATCGACACATCTCTACCCTCGCACTCCCCGCGGTTCCCGATCAGAGACATGGGGGCCATCGCCGCCATCAGGAGGACAGAGGAATAACGATGTTGGGGTGGGATCCCTGGCCAAGAGACGGGACGCTCTGAAAGCCGCAAAAACGGCGAGTATATTGGAAAGCCATGAGGGGGTGAATGGTGGCCTCGATGTCATCGGGAAGCATAAGCGGCGTACATCGGATGAGATCCGCCCCTTGGACCCGGAACCTGAGGAGCATCTGGTTTACGTTCATAATGTCGAACCGAGCGATACTTACGCCGGTATAATACTTCGATATAAGTGCCGGGAAGATATTTTCCGGAAGTCCAACGGCCTTTGGTCTCGAGACAGCGTCCAGATGCGCAAGTGGCTAATCATCCCTGTGGATGCTTGCGAGATAAAAGGACGGCCATGCGATCCACCATCATGGTCTGACGAACGTGAAGCAGATCTCTTGACACGAAATTCCTCGATCGCTAGAGAATCCTCATTTGCTACAGATGGTTCGTATAGAGGAACTCTCAGCCTGTCGGCTGACTCTTCACACATAGATGCAAAGCAAGAGCGAGCAGAAGATCTCCCTTGGTCCCATGTTCGCTGGGTTCATATCGATTCATTCAGACAGCCGGTTGAAATTGTTCGGGTGGCACGACAAGCTCTAGGTTACTTTCCACCACGACGGAAAAAGAGTATTAGGACTGCATCGCCAATATCCACTCCAAGACAGAGCTCAGATCTGTCAAGCCTCGCTCCAAATTCTACCGAACGTCCTTCAACTCATCGGTTAAGCTCGGTCAGTGGTCATCCTCTGATTCCCGGCACACCAATGTCATCCCAGAGTCGGGCTGGAAGTGAGGCAACTAACAGCCGGCCTGCATGGATGCGACGACCGGGTGGTGTGGGCTCTATGAGCAGAACTGTGAGAGCACCTGGGCCGGATACAGATTATTTCAACTCTTGGACAAGAAAACACATCCCGGGTCTCGATATGGAAGCCTTGCCTTCGATGTCTGTAATGGGCTCAGAGACCGCAAATTTTGGTTTTGGGCAAAGCGCATCTGGCATTGTTGAAAGCCCGTTTGAAAACTGCAGAAATGCGTCCTCTACCTCTCGACAAGGTACTGGTCTAGATAGGGCAGCAGCAGCAGTTGAACACTGGCTGCGTGGAGCCTTGGCCAAGCGTCCTAGTACACCGCTGCTGGGAAGCCGTCTGCGGCCCACGGGCCTGTCAGCAGACCCAGATGCCACCGATTTAATCGAGTTGACAGACACAGCAAGTGATGATGGCAAGGCGGCACGCCCCGTTTCCACAAGCATTTTGGGCTCAGGACACTCTGTGACTACGGGGAGGACTGATGGTGGTCTAAGAATTAAAGGCAGGAACAAGTTCGGCGTCGATGACAGGGCTACCCATAAAAAGGACGATTGAATTGGCCAGCATGCTGACAATCGTCCCCTTGATGCCGCCCAAGTCTATTATGGGGATTGCTGGTGCAAAAGACTTCAACCTCCAGTATATATATGTATTTGTACAAGGCCGTAACCTTGTGTACGTTGCGTCGTTTTGTTTCGCAGCCATTTCTGGCTGATCATGGCATCTTCCATTTGTTTTTGGATTAAGGAGTTGAGGGTAAACAGATTACAGAACATGGAAGAAACCTGTGTTCGTTTCCTGCTAGGAGTTTTGGTATGGGACAGAAGCATTTAAAGAGCCGAATTGCTACTTTTCCCCCAGGCTCTATCATTTGACCTTGCTTGGTCCAGTATTCCTTTTGTTTTGGTTAAACGTTGACGCCCCGTGAGGAAAGAGTAACAAAGCCTGCGAATGCCTGCATAGATCTAAGCAAGAGACGCGATCTCTGAATCGTTGCATTACAAGGACGAGAATCCAAAATATCGTGCTTCTCTAGATAAACTAACATCACATGCCAACTGCAGTATACTAAAGGCTTTCTAAAAGCGGTTTGTGACATGTGCCGCCACACAGGACTGGCTGGCTTCCTCTTGCTCCGCTTGAAATTGAAAATGCCATGGATTGATTCCATCACAGTTACCGTAGCAAGCAGTACGGTCTCCCTCCCAAAATAAAAAACCCCACACTCTACTTGACTACATGTGCTGTGCATATTTTTATCTTCAAGTTGTCAGGCAACTAGTTACTGGCATATGCTTGGATAAACTCGGAGGTTATTTTGCCAACTCTCAAGACTGCAAGCCGCTTGGTGAGGCTCCATCCAACAGGATGGAGCTGCCGACATCGGGTGGGGGCACTCTACTATCTTTCTACTTTTAGTACAGAAAATAGCAGAGCTGACAAGAGACCGTCAACTCCAGCCTGTTACAGCCGCGCTCATCATTCCAACATTGACAGTCTTGACCAAATGTTGTCGCTGGAACACCTCGAATTCGCAAGGCTTGACCATTTAAGCCCCACGCGGTCGACTTGAGAACCCTGCAGATGACCTCAACTACCTAGGTACCTAGACACGCGTGTTCTCAGATTAATCACGACAATCCAAGCACGCCACGACATCGTCTGCGCGAACCACTCACGGTCACCTCAAACCAAAGGCGTGGATCAAATGCCGATTTGCATCGAATGCCGACATCCCGTCAAGACGCTATGGACTCAATACTCTGGCGCTGGTGACAAGTCCAGCGGGCACAATATTAGATTGACCGTCTGTCGCAACTGCGGTCGATTCTGTGACAAGTATGTGGAGCATGACTTTGTCGTTCTCTTCATAGATCTGGTTTTGATCAAGCCACAAGTATGTTCTCCAGCGTTGATTTCTGATTACTAGGAGCCTCTAGTTGATGATGGGGTAATTTCTCTGCCTCGAACAGGTCTATAGGCACCTCCTCCATAACACCTTGATGCGAGACGGCGATCGATTCGATGTACGTACACCCCCTAGGTACAGCCCAGTCCACTCCCTGCGCGCTGGCAACCTCCTTACGAGAAAACGTGCATCTGCTGACCGACACACACTCGTCGTCAAACTAGCCTTCTATCATTCGTCTTGGCGTTCTTCTACTGCTATTTGATGTCTACCTAACGTGGGCGCGCATTGAAAAACAGACAGTGCCAACTATGGTTCCTGGTGGGAGTAATCTAGGCAGACTCGCGCAGCAACCTATTGTGGTACAATATCTTTTCTTCCTGATCCTATGTGCCTTATCGACGCTGGCCTTCCATCTAAGCATCCGGTTCCTTACCTGCTCACTATTTTCGCCTCTAAATGCATTTGGCGGTATGCCGCGACACGCGCGGCCAAACTCAGTATCAACCGCGCTTCTAGTATCCTCATCAACAAAGTTGTTTCCTATCTTAATGGTCATATGGGAGTACGATGTTCCGGCTGCAGCTAGATCACTAGGCTGGGCTGTAGTTGCAAATAATGTGGAGGCACTACGAATCTTATTAGACTGCAAATATTACACTGCTTGCATTCTTGCAATAGCCGGCGCAGCGTCTAGATGGGCTGTGGGAAGACTGGTATTGACCGCGGCTGGCCTTGGGGATGTAGACTCCATCGGCGAAAGTAGTGTCGCTGCGGACGGGAAAGCTCTCTGGGCTTTGGTGATGTTGGCAAGAGACTGGGCTGGTCGATTAGCTGTAGGTTGACGTGGCGGCAGAGCGAACGAGAGTAGGTGCTTTAATCAAGTTATTGTGTTCCTTTACATTCAAGACATATCCTTGCTATGCCTGAAATTCACGGCTGCTGCCAAGAAGAAAGCAGGTAAAGGCTTCGAGCATTATCCCTCATAAGAGCCGACGTAGTGAGATTCGGCGGTCATCCGACGTCGCCAAATATCCACTGACGCTACCTAAGTTATATAAGCCGTGTCTATGCACGGGACACTGAATAAAGACCGCTCGGGTCCCCGCCATGGTTGCATCCCGATCCGGAAAAACAAAAGGAAAAACGCCGAAATCGAACGCAATATAATCGTACAATGAAGACCACGTTGGACTGCTTCTTGCCCGTTCCCCCGAAAAATCCAGCCAAGGCTCTGACACGAATTTATCAGCGAATTCCTAGTGACCTAGGTATTCCTCCCGCAAGTCGTTTCTCTTCGGCTCGATCAAGGGGTGAAGTTGTGCTAGGAACGTTATCGCCCACATAAGGTAGCAGCTAACAATGGAAAGAATAAGGGATGATCGCCAGAGGCTGCAGACAATTGTTAGAGAAAGTCACCAACTTGTCTAATAACGTGGGGCAGCAGCCTCGAAGGAGCCTGAAAAGAAGCACATACACTTGATTCTGGCCCTTAGGAGCAAGAAACCACGACGCGACACAAAGAGCCACGATAATCACGAGGCCGATGAAGACAGCGTACCTGAAGCAGAGTGTTAGGAACAGTACGAGCTGGCAATGTTAGGCCCTTTAGGAAGGAATTTACCCTTGAGCCATGTTTTAGGATATCGGACACCTTGTGACAGTGTAAGGCGACAGGACATCTATTTGTGTTGAAATCGTGACGTTCGTGCTGGTCTCGGGAAAAGGTTCTAACGTCATGATTCTGGAGACTGAATGCCATCGAAGTGGAGCAACCAAGGATGTACATATTACTATGCTTAGTCATGTATCCGGGTTGGCCTTTACCCAACAGGGGTTCCAATATGTGCATGGGCAAGCAAGCTGTTTGGCTCTTCCATAGCAGAACATCATTGTAGTATGGCATTGTTACCTGATCCTCGACTGTCAATTCTTATGTCTAGCAATCTTCTATGAGTATTGAAAATCATATTGCATGGTAATGCGGCCTGGTTCAATCCGAGAGCCCAGTAACTATCAAGCATCGTTCTCAAATTTCAACCCTGCCTCTGCGCGAACTGCTCCGTAGATGCCCGCAATGTCTCCCACTTCGCCGCAATGTTGTTTGACCTTGACAAGATGCGCATCGGCAATTTCTAATGTTTTTATTTCCGCTCCCGCTGATTGTGCTAGATTTCTGGCATGTCTCGCATCCTTCCGAGCCAGATCGACAGCGAATAATGGTTCCTTCCGCTTATGGTAGTCTCCCGTAAGCATCCGGGTTGAGTAGGCTGTGTACGGGCCCGGAAACAGATGCGAAATGAATTGATGCAAAACATCCGTTCCGAGGCCAGATTTTTCTGCCACAACATGGGCCTCCGCGAGTTGCTCAACCATGTTAAACACAAATGTATTGCCTAATAGCTTGAGGGTTGTGGCTTTGCTATACGGTTGGTCACTGAGGTCAATCTCAGCTCGAGCCATGACTCCGTTGAACCAAGGCTTTGCTTTCTCAACACTAGCTCTCGGCCCTGCGAGCACCCCGATAAGTTGACCGGCATCCGCCATGGCTGGCGCACCAAATACCGGTGCGGCTACAAACTCTGCGCCGGCATCCGCAACATCCTTTGCGATGCTTCCCGTAGTATCGGGATGGATGGTGGAGCAGTCAATGAAAAGCTTTCCAGAAGCATTCACCCGGAGCATGACTTTGAACAGCTCCCGAACTGCATCGTCATTGGCCACACAGGTGAAGATAATATCTGCTTTCGGAACAGCTTTCTCTAGTGATGTAACGACTTCAGTTCTTCCCACAGGTAACTTTGCTGCTACGTCGGCGGCCTTCTCCGCTGACCTATTGTATAGCAGTAGCGGGGAACTCAGCTCTCCCTTCTCGACGATGTTTCTGGACATGCCCTATCCGACACGGTTAGGAGGAATCAACTGACCTGTGACTATAAGCGTGGAGTTGAAAGGATTTAGCTCACCCTGCCCATGTTGCCCAGGCCAATCCAGAGAAGGGTCGGTGCCATGATGAACCAATTGTCAGCTGAAAACGGCGTCGTTGTTTTCTTACCTTTGTAAGAGCTATGAGAAGAAGCCTCTATTTAACGAGCGCCCAATGACCTGCTCCTAGATACTCAGGGTGATCGGATCGAAGGGCGAAGGGAGAGGAGAGAGTTAGGTTGGACAGAAATCATGGGCATATTAATCCCATGTTGGGGAAACATGACGCGTAGATGCCACCCGACAGCGAGTGGTCAACCTAGGCAGGCTATTAATAAGCAATCGAGGTCTGATTATACTAGCACAGGCTTATTAACTCGCAAGCTTGGTCTTCAACTAGGCCACAGAGCAGTAACTCTATTACAGCTCGCATTTACGATTTAGTGTGTGGCAAGATGTATTTGCCCAAGGCCAAGTATAATCGAATGTCTCATTTAATATCTACTAGGTACCTAGCTGTCAATAGTTGTATGGGGGGCTGGCAAGTATTGGGATTAAATTGCCTAGAGCAAGCATAAAGTATGGCCAGCACTAGCATCCCGCAAGTGGTGACAGTATGCCTACGGCCTCGGGAGGTAAGTACCTACTGGGTACCTGCTAGTATTTGCGGGATGCTAAGCACATCGCAGCATCAAATACCTCTCTCATGCGGAGTAGGCTGTGGTGATATCTATCCACTGAGAGTGCATACATGCCTGGCGAGAGAAACATTCATTTCGATGATGGCTGTATAAATAACAGTGTCTGGTTTTGATACGAAACATTCGAAAACATGCCCCGATATCAATCCTTGAGAAAGGTCTAGCGTTCCATCTCTAGGGCAGGGAGCGTCAGTGGACATTGAAAGGACAATGGAGATATCAAACAGACCATTGATCTAGGTTATTCCAGGTGCTCGCATGGGCAAGCATGCGGATGCATCGCATTGATAAGTATCAGACGGACATCACGTCGGATGCGGGAGATGGCTGTGGTTTATTAAGTACCTGGCACTTAAGTACCTACCTAGGTACCTACTTATAAGTACCTACTTAGGTGCCTCCTCCCCTCCCTCCTCCCTTCTCCATCTAAGTACTTAAGTAGACATTGTACGTCTCCCTAGCCTCTCTCACGTGGCAGTATCTAAGTGGGGACTCTCTCTGGCAGGTTGATGCTGGTCCCATCTGTAGAGTAACGAGCCACGCCCAAAAGTTAGCGCGTTTTGCTTGTCTAAGGCCTGTTGCCGTCATCTGTGCCTGCCCCGTTCCCTCGTCTCTGTTGGAGGACAAGCACTTCAGTATTTCGCTTGTGACAAAGACAAAACGTTCCTAACAACATCATACTTGGCTCAAGGACACTTTTCTCAACCATCTCCATCTGACCTCCAACCATCGCATCTGGATTACATTTTGTCACGCTTTCTTAACAACTTTCTAAGCTACCTTTTCGAATTTTCAAGATGGATTTCAAGAGCTTTGGCAAGAACCTCTCGTAAGTTCCATGCCCTTGGCTCTTCGCGCATGGTCAATTGTTGGGACACACAAGCTAATCAAGCCCGGCCACACAGCGATTTTGGAGCGCAAATCACACCCTTTGCGTCACGCACCTTTCAGTTCACCAAAGAACAGTTCGGTCAGGCCGAGGACAAGGTATTCCAATTTTCAGTCGATCCTAAGGACCCGTCCTCACAGCTTCACTAAATTCCTGGCCTCTCCTGTAGACCCAGCTCCCACCAGACTATATAGACCTCGAAAAAAAGGTAGATGCCTTGAAGCAAGCGCACCAAAAAATGCTTGCCGTGACGTGAGTATTTGGAGCATTTACTCCCGCCTGTCCACGTCCTTCGTGCCACGCATCATCCTCTCTCTAACTGTTGCTGCCGAAGCTCGCAATACTCGAACGAAGCCTACGACTACCCACCCAATATTAAGGAGACATTCCAGGACCTTGGCCGCACCGTCAGCGAGAAGGTTTCTCTTCTTTCTTCCGCGACTACCACCGCAGAAGCACAGGCTGCCCTGGTTGCTCCTCCAAGTGCTAAGCCCCAGCCCAAGACCTTTAGCCATGCTGTCGCCCGCGCCAGTTTGACGAGCAGTCAGCTGCTGCATCAGAATCATACGGGAGCTGGTGAGGATCAATTGGCCACTGCACTTGAGAAGTATGCCATCACAATGGAGAGAGTTGGTGAAGCCCGCTTGGCGCAAGACTCCCAGATCCAGAGCAGCTTTCTTGCTGGTTGGAATACCACCTTGAACACTAATCTCAGCTTTGCCACCCGTGCCAGAAAGAATGTTGAGCGATCAAGGCTTTCTCTTGATGCTGTCAAGGCTCATGCCAAGGGAACGACTTTCAAACTCGGACACGGTGGTTCTCGCCCCGAGCAACATGAGGAGCAGGGACTGAGCCCTGAGGCCCAAGAGGAGATTGAGAAAGCAGAGGACGAATTTGTAACTCAGACTGAAGAAGCTGTCGGTGTCATGAAGAATGTAAGTCTGAGAGAGAAAATGCTATTAACCTAAATGCTCAATGTATTGATTTTCTGTCCAGGTCCTTAACTCTCCGGAGCCACTACGCAACCTTTCCGAGCTGATTGCCGCCCAAATCGAGTACCACAAGAAGGCATACGAAGTTCTCAGTGAACTCGCTCCCGTTGTTGATGGCCTACAAACGGAACAAGAAGTGAGTCGGGCATTCACATACACTCGAGATGTGTTGAAGTCTGTATTTTGACCACTAAATCACACAGGCTAGCTATCGAAAGAGCCGTGAAGAAGGCTCGTGATCTTACGCTAGACAGCGTATATTACTTCGTCCCTATGGATACAGCATTTGATGGCATGCGTCGAGAATCAATTTGAGGCAGTTATCCTGTGTAGACGACAGCGGTCGTGTGATAGGCGCCGCCACCACCTGATTTGTTTGGTTCGACCCATGCCTCCTACTACGTTATATTAGTACCCGCACTATTTTCTTTCTCTTCTGTCATTTCGTTCTCTCTTTTTCTAGTATGGATGTCGCGCAAAGAGTTGCACATGTAAAATCGTCGTATCAACACGTGGGGAGGCAAGGCACTTGGAGAATCGCCTAATGATTGATCAGGTTTTGTACTGGTGGCAAACGCTACCGAATTGCATTGCATGTATCCATGTTTTAAACGTCGTAGATTTGCCTCGGGTGTGTATTTATTCTGATTGCGTCGCCTGCCATCTATCTAGTAACTTACTACTACCAGGAAAGCAAAAGTGTGTCCAGTAGGCGTTAAATTTCGATCACGTGATCATTCACATGGTCATCACAAACAAATGCGTGGTTATGATTGGAGCTTGTTCGTGTTCGGCAAATGAGTCTTGCCTTGGTTTCATTCAACCCAGACTTTCCATCAGCTTGTTGCGGCACAGAGTCATTGGAACTCGCCAGCATGCGGCCGACGATACGTGTGCTTGCGCGCTACCTGGAGCCAGGCACTCCTACCGGCCTGGCCGGTCTATGGACTCATTCCACTCCTCGATCGACGCTTCTCTATCTTTACGGGACGACCCTCAACAAACTCCAATCCATACCTGAGACTTCACTTTATCGCCAGTCTGTGGAGGCTGTTACGAAACACCGAATGGGTCTTGTGGAAAATATTGTCCCTCCTGGCTACAACGAGTGGGCGGCCAAAGCCAAAGAGTTAATCAGCAAAAACCCCGAGCAATTTCGAGTTGCCAGCGGTCGAGTTGACGGTAGCGAGGCCAGAACTGTGAAACTCGGGGACCGTGTATTTATAATCGGTGCGAAGCATGAAGCTGGTGATATACGTTACGAAGAATGGGATGGAGAAGCCGACGAAGGTGGTGAGCTCGAGGGCATTCGAACCCCAGCGGAGAGGCAGGACCAGGTTATCTGGGCTGAGCGGAAGCCGTTACAGGACCACGAAAAAATCGAATGGGAAGATGAACCTCAGTTGACTGCAGAACAGTATGCTATTGCCCGTCGGCGACATCCCATGGTACTCATGATCTAACAGTTGGCAGGGTGCAAGAGCTGGAGCATAAGATTGCCGCCGGTCTTATCGAAGAGGTCATCCAAGTCGCAGAGGGCGAGCTTCTCATCATTGACACCATGGAGAAGGCCAGGGTGTGAGTGTTTTCAAAGCTTAATCAATACCCGTTTTGTCAGCGTATTTCGCTAATCGTACAACCAGTTGGGAGGATTTGGAGGAACGGCCTGTTGATGGCCAATGGGAATACTTCGACAGGAAGACTATGTAAGCAACGCGGTCTTGTTGCGTAGATGTAAAGTAGATTATCTCACTATATTCTTCGAAGGCTTTCATTGATGAAACACGACCCATTGTCTTTTGGGATCATTTCAATGTTTAATTTTGACCGTTACGGAATGGCCTGAACAGACGTCTAGCCGATAATTTTGTCTGTTATTGATGCGCTTAAATACCGTGTGTCACTGAGCTTATTCCACGTACTATTGGGCAAACCCGCCAGGAAAGTACCTGCCTCGTCGGCATCGCAGCATTGTTCAATGAAGGTGGGTCCAGTTCCTGCACACCATGTCAATTGAGCATTTTCCTACCAGACATAAAATGCTTTAAGCCACCTCTTCCTCTCACCCTTTCCCTCGGTTGCGACCCAAATAATGGAAAGATGCAAACGGACGCACCATATCAATTACCCTCGCCACGTGAGACGGCCAAGCGGAAACGGAGATATTCTTACAGTGGCAGGGCACAGGGTAGCTCATTGTCAACGAACTTGCCAAACTCCATCAACCCTTTCAGCCGTTCGCCCAGCGAGAGGCGTCAGCTATCTCTAGCTGGTCTCAAAGACACCGATGAGGATCCAACACGAGGGATTGAATGCTTTCCCCACCGCGGGATCGATCGTAAGGCACCTGAAGTGACCGTGTCAGAGGAAGAGGAAGAGGAAGAGGATGACGCGGACGAGTTGGATGCATCCGAAACGTCACAGGCAACAGCAGAAGAGCCTGTAAGGATGGTCAGAAGTGGAAAGGATAAACGAAACCAGAGGCGGCCGAGTTTGGCACATCCATTCAGTCGGTTAGATACTCTGCTACGATCTATCCACCAACTTCTTGACCAGGCGGAGATAACAAAAGCAGCAAGATTATTTGGCATTGTGCTGCAACTTCGGCCTGGCAGCAGACCCATTGATGTTCGTCAACATAATATCTGGGCAATTGGTGCTGAAATAACCATAAGAGGAGGCGAGGATGTTACCTTGCTGCACCGAGGTTTACAACATGTCGACATTGAAAGCCATGAGTATACCGACGGCATGCTCTCCGGATCAAAAAGTTACACACGCATTCGCATTCCAAGGAGACGGCACCCTTCAGAAAATCTCAAAAAGCTGAAGGCTTACTTTGGGGCGCTCATTCAGAAATATCCATATGATCACAAGTTTCCTAGAAAAACCTCAGCACTACATTTTCAGCTTGCAATGCTGACATGTGAAGTATACAGCTGCCATGCCATGTATGCCTCAGCGGATTCACCCACCACTGCTCTGCAATTGGACCTGGAAGAGGTACCCCCGCAGATATCAGATAGGTACTCGGAGGATGTCTACCAAAATGACCAGTCGGAGATGACCATGAACGTCAAACAACCTGGTTCGGAAGTAAATTTCCGAATTCAGAGGGAACGTAACCAAATATACGCGCGTGAGGCTCTGAAGGATATTTCTAAGAGGATGGACTCGCTCATCAACGAGTTGCCGTACTCCAAAAATCACCACTTCCTTCAATTACGGGCAACAGTATCACTTCTCATTGCAGAGCTTCTAGCCCTAGACAATGGCAGTCAGCAAGGCATCACGAATGAACCCACAGCAGCCATAAAGTCGGAGCAAGAAATTGCCAGTATCATGCTGCAAAGAATTATCGACAATGGTGGACATACTGCCAGACCATTAATGGACCTCATGGGTCAATGCTCAAACTTAAAGAAAGAATTGCAACAACAAGTGTTGTATGCGTCACTGCCAATCAGAAGCACATAAAGTACTATATAATCGACAATTTGCAGCTGCAGCTGGCCGTCAACCTGTACTTCGGCTACAGGGCGCTCCTTTAGCCCATCTCTGCAAGATCAACATGGTGTTCGAGCTTCCGACTACCACACACCATTCTCCCCCAGGGCTCCATGCAGCTTGCCTCCCGACGAAGTTCGTGGAGGAAGACTCCGTCTTATGGGCTCGGAGCGGCTCATGGGGATCCTCAGTGCTATATCTAGATGCCCATGATTCTAGAGTCTCTGGGCTGTATTCACTGGCTTCCGTCTGCCCCGTTTGCCCCGATGCCAGTGAGTCCCTATCACTACCAACCCCCTTGAATCTGCCCATAGCGTCCGCTCTTTGCCGAGGGGTGAACGGTTTGAGCCAGCTCGGAGTAACTGCCGCCTTCGACTTGCCTTGCAAGCCTGCCATGACCTCGTGATACACAGTAAGTCTCCGAAAATCCCAGAAGAAAATGTTCCCTGCTGCATTGCAGAATGCAAGTACGGGATTTTGGTCTGGGACATGGAAGAGCTTGAACCGCATGAAGAATTGGGGACCGCAGTTTGGAGTATGAAATTCGAGCAAGCGTGTATACTGTGAAGGGCATTGCGGTGATGTGGCTGGGACGAATGCGGATCTCGTAAGGCGATCCGGGTCTTCGTAGCTGGTCGGGACGACGTTTTGCGGTGTTGGAGCAGCGCTTTGCGGTGGCGGCAATCCCTCGGACGAAAATCCTTCAATCCTCCAAAGAACAATAACGTTATCGTGACAAGCACGGGAGAGAACACAGTCTCCATAGAATGCGACGCTAAGGCAGGATTAGTTACGAGTGATAGCAAGCATATTTGAGATGGTTGTAAATTCATCGGGTTACACACCAATCGACAATTCCGCTGTGAACAGCAGACGTAGAAAAGTGCGGATAATGAACTTGAAGAGGGGTGGTGATGGCGTCCATTGGAAGATCGGGAATAGTCCACTGAGAGTATGTGGTGTCAGTACGGAGATCATGGTGTTAGTTCAGGGAACTAGACAAACTAGATTAATTATTTGATCATGTCCAGCAGATAAAATGTATCTCCCAGTGTCATGAAATGCCTTGAACTATCAGTGTCTGCTCGCTAAGGTCGTGGTGCCTAAAAAAGAGGTTCTCACAAGGGAAAGCAAGTTCCAAGAGTGGCCCTCGCCAGCTAGGATGCAAAGACAAGGTTGCTCCTTGTGGATAGGGTCAAGGCTCCATATTCGGACGCTAGTATCGTCTGAAGCCGAAGCAATAATAGACGACTCAATCGGTGATGTAGCTAAATCGTTTACGTCCTGAAGTAACGTGAGTATGCGGAGGATTACAATTGACGATGAGTCAGTAAGAGAATAAGCTGCTCACCCCTCCATGGCCAACGAAACACTGTAACAAGTGAGTTAAAATCCAGTCCCATTGAATTTATTGGAAATGGCATTTACATTACCTCTACTAGGCTCCCATCGGAGACGTCGTATATTTTGACCTTGGCATCGACGCCGCCTACGCAGATGTATGGAGTACCTGACACAGGATCCTTTGTCCATGTACAACAACAGCCAGATGCCTCATCCTAGTGTAGAAATAACTCGAACTGTCAGAATTTAAGCTGATGCCAAGAAATAAATCATGTTCCCGTTCAAGGTGAAATTGCTACGCACATCGTCATCTCGAATAATGTTGATAATGGCGCAAGGGTTGGATTCACCTGTACTTGGTGAAAGCTTGCAGATAACAATCTTGGCGAGGTGTTAGCAAATAAATATGACGGGAACTTGTTTGATTTCTATTCTTCAGAAAAAAACAAAGAAAGTGAAGATGAATGATCACCCCGAAGGGATGTTCTCACATGTTTCTTGCTCACAGCGGCAAATACTGGGTCACAGTCCAAAGGCTGATAGGGACAAAACTTGATATCGAAGAATTCTGGAAGTATGGAAAATGTTAGAACTAAAATAAAATAAAACGAATGGCGCTTATTGTGGCTCATAATACCTGCTACATTGTCGTCGTGGCCAAGAAACCGCGTGTCGTTCTTTTGATGCCATTAGTGATGAACTGACGGGAGAAGACCCCGAAGATCAGGTAGCTTGAATTGGCCATGGTATCACCTCAAATCCAATAGAGACGCGTAATTTTGGTAGCTCAAAGACTGAGCCATCGGTTGCCGCCATGAGGCGCTGATAATTAGCTGCGAAGAACGTATTACTGTGAATGCCATACCACGAACAACTGTTGGGAGAGCAAGTACCTATAGCACAGAGTAACGTTGGGCAGGTAGCCTAGTTGCAGGAATTTCCCAAGCAGTTTCGGAAGGGGGTTAGGGGGACCCGTAAAGTTGAGACACCAGAGTTGTGTATATTTCGTTGAGGATATGCGGTGCGAAGGATATTGATCTTAGTTGACCTCCTAGGCAACGAATCGATTCATGGATACGAAGGCCCCGTGGTTCAATTGCGAGATGTAACCGGGCTTAGTGATATCGAACTCGTTGACCTCGCTGGAGCACGTTTCTCGTACACTTGCGCGAGATTCTGGATTTCTCTCAGCATTCAATGTCAGCCGTTGGTTGAATCACACACACCTGTGCAAGTGTTTGAGAGAGTCGATCCACTGTCAGGTTGATGCGCCAGTGTCCAGGGAGTACAACGACTACCAGTACCTACTAGGTACCTACGGGCGATGCCTGTTTCTGGTAACCGCCATCTTCGTACCAGGTACTCCGTACCTACCTACCTAGATCCGTACTGGACAATAGGAAGATATTCAGTACCTATCAGCTATTGTAATATAGCTGATATTTTTTTGTTCATTTATCCAAACTTTTAACGGCCCGTGATGATTTAGGACCTGTCTTTTGATAGCTGCACTGTCATCATGAGCATGCACCACTAGCTTACCTAGGTACTTAGGTACCTAGATAGGTATTTGAGTACTTAGAGGTAGGCAGGCCTAGATCAGCGTTACGTCTGATTGGCTGGGGGACAAGCAATCTTTTTTGGAAGCTCTGAGCAACGTCAGCAATGGCCACATAGTGAAGTTGGCCACATCACTTGGTGGAATCGCGCAACGCCCGCCCTTCATACCAATCTTGAGCTTCAAGGAATCACAGTGATCCCGTATCATATAACTCGGGGAGACCTCCTAGTAACAGAACTACTCTGGCAAGAATCACTCTTTTGTCTGTTGCATTACACTGCCCTGTTGGAGGACACTCGCCGTCAGGGGCACGAGAGTTCAACTACGTTACCCGCGTCATCTTCAGTACCCACGGTCGCTCAACATGTCTTCCGCAAGCGCAAGAGGAAACTACAGTCATCCCTCCCTGGAGGATGATGATTTAATTGACCCAGATGATGGTACGTACTTGTGGTGATAACAAGCCCCCCCCTGGCCGTTTGCAGAACCAAAATATACCATCTACCAATTCTCCAATTTCGACAGTCGACACGTTGCTAACAACAGAAGCTGATTTGAATGACTTTGACGACCCTCTTGAAAATCGGTCTGCGCGGCAGCCTCTCTCAGGAAATATCGGCTCCACCTCATCACGTCCTCTCAATGAAAGCTACCTCACCTCGTCGATTCCGGGCGAAGACAGACGAGCGCCACAGAACACTATAGACGAGACCGTGTGGGAAACAGTACGCCGAGACTTGCTTGCGGTGTGGGCCAAGTTGAGAGAGGTCCTTTACCCTCGATATCTTCTGGGCGGCACAATGTTTGATTCTGAAGGTGGTTTACGAGGCGCCTACTCTAATATCCGCGGGGCAGGCATCACAGGGACAAGAGAAGAACTCACAGGCCTGGCCAGTCGTATGATGGATGCGGAAGCGCTTTTGCAAAGTAACATGAGCCCGGGACTTCGTGACTGGGACCTTTGGGGCCCGCTCATCTTTTGCTTACTTTTGAGTCTATTGCTTAGCATTGCGGCCCGAGCTGAGCAAAAGGATACTGTCTTTAGCGGAGTCTTCGCCATGATCTGGCTCGGCGAAGCTGTAGTTACTCTGCAGATCAAATTATTAGGCGGTAACATGTACGTTTATGAGCATACTTCCTTTCCCTTGACTTACTAAGCCAAAAGATTGCTATGTAGCTAACTACTATTCAGCTCCTTTGCTCAGAGTGTCTGCATCATTGGCTACACCTTGTTCCCTCTTGTCATTGCTGGGCTGCTTTCGGCATTGGGATTACACTGGATTCCACGGATACCCGTGTACATTGTTTTGGTTGCATGGTCACTTGCAGCTGGCGTGAGCATCTTAGGAGGCAGCGGCGTCGTCAAAAACCGAGTTGCCATTGCGGTATACCCGTTGTTTATCTTCTATATAGGTCTCGGATGCTTGTGCTTTATTAGCTGAGTCATTCCGCTATGAAGACCAGGAACAATGCCTAAGAGGTGGTGAGTCTGGTGACACTTCAATGTGCTGGATGTAGTGCTGCGGACCGAAGAGCTGGAGACTGTTTCAGGGAGTTTTGTTCAATGCTTTCACATTTTTGTACTTTATTGGTCGTTTATTAGAAGTCTGGATATTCACAGACTTCAAACGGTTAATGTGCATGGTCTCATTTTATGATATGATGTTTGTATGTCCGCTAATCAAAGTAAAATGGTGACGACATCAAGTCAGGTGCACTTAGAGCTTGGTATTCAAGAGCTTGTGCCCAAATCAGTGTCAGCATCGCCAAGTAATCTATGAATGATGCAGAACGCTGACCAAGTGAAATTGTTGAAGCGCTTCCATCGTGATATGGAAGTCCAAGTCTAATGCCTGATTCTCTAAAATCATTGGAAGGACCACATGTCTCGTAATTTGATAATTAATAGCACAGACCGAACGCCAGCCGACTTGGCCCTGGTGACCATTTGACCCCTCACCTGAAATAGTAGTGAGTGGGCGGTGAAAGGGGGCCGTATGGCTTTTCTAGCACGCTAAGACGAGGAGCCACAGTGATTGGACCAGCAAACAGCAGCCTCCCACATTCAAATGTCCCACGCGTGAGCGTGGTGGTGACGACCAGGAACTCCATGCTCGTATGTGTGCAGACCGCAACCTGCCGTCGTCGAATTAAATACACCAGCAGCGACCGACCGATTGAGAACTCCCACTGAATCAAGGAACGACGGGGCTCTGACACCATTTAGGCAGCCTTCGCCTCTTTTCCCCTCTCCTGCTGGGGTCTGTTCAGTCTACGCAACCAAAGATCCTGACAGCAAAGAGACTGTTTTACGCGCATAATCTGCCGATCTTTCTTCAGAGGGCAATAAAATAGCTACTTTGCTCCCATTAGACGGCAAACCTACGGCCGCTGATCTTGTAACAGCCTTTTTAGTCTCTACCAAGTTGTTCCTATCCGAGTCTCTGCGCCTAGCCTAATGAAACTGCGCAATTTGCGCACTTCTCACTCCGTCAACTATCACTCTTAGCACACCGCCACCACTCACCCGTCATGGCCGACGATGTACAAGGAGCAGGATTCAGCCCCAAGAATGAACCCACGCATGTCGAAACTACCGAAGATGCTGAGACGCGCGCTACTAGACGTGAGCTTAAGCAGTCATCCATCTCTGACCAACCTGGCAAAACAACTGCTACCGATGACAACCGCCCAGAAACGCCTTCCGTTGGCATATCGGATGAGAAGATTGATGAGTTGAAGGAGCAGGTCTCCTCGCCTAAGAAGAAGCGTGCCCATGACCAGCTAGATGGGGAGCAAGATTCGCAAGACAACGACGCTACGAGTGTCACATCTACTGACTCTGCTAAAGACAGAGCCATGCGGCTTGAGCCGCAAAAGAAGAGGCATCGTGATGAAGAGCCTGTTGATATAGTGTCGGTACGTCCAAGCTTACTGTTACAACCAAAAGACATAACTCCCAGCCACTCAAATAACTTAGACTGACGTAAGGTCAATTTGCCTTGATGCAGCATCCTCCATCAGGCACAGAGGAAGTAGATCAATCAACTCAAAATAATAGCAAAATGCCTACTCAGCCGACGAAGGAAAGCTCTAATAGTACATTTGCGGAGTCGGCATTTGGCAAACTGGCATCAAGCTCTTCAGGCTTCGCAGCTTTGGGATCATCCCAAGGTGGCGGGTTCGCTTCAAATAAGCCAACTCTATCGTCTTTTGCGTCGGTGAAGCCTGTATCTAGCTCAGAAACAAGCGGGACAAGTGTAAACAAAGGGCAAGCCGGAAATGCCCCGAAGTTGTCGTTCGCTTCGAATTCAGGCCTTTCGCCCTTTGCAGGACTCGGCTCAGGAACCAATGGAGTTGGAAGCAGTAAATTCGGCTCCGGGTTGTCAGGAATTAAGCCATTGGGCAGTTTCGGCGCTGCTGGTACAAAGCCCCTCCAGAGCGAGAAAGCAGCAAAGCCCTTTGGAGCACCGGAAAGCGATGCGGATGACGACGATGATAATGATAACGAGGAAGGGGATGATGAGAGTCAACCTGACGATCAAGAACGAGGCGCATCGCCAGAGAAAGATGCAGATGAGAAGAAACGGCCTAAGCTCCACAAGAGTACGTTGACCTTTCTTGGTCTTGGTTTGCTATTGTATTTGACTTCCTACTGACTGGATTACCATAACAGTTGCGGTTGATGATGGCGAGGCTGGTGAGGTTACTGTTGTGTCTGTACGAGCAAAGATGTTTTGTCTGGACAAGAAAGAAGGCTGGAAAGAGCGGGGAGCTGGCATGTTGAAAATTAATGTCCCTCATGCAAGCGTTGAGTTTGACGACGATGGTGCTGTGATTCCGGGCAGCTTCGACGCGTCAGGTCTAGAAACAAATGGTGACTCTGCTGATAGCGACTCTGCAGGTCCCAAAGTTGCTCGTCTTATCTTGCGTCAAGACCAAACCCATCGAGTCATACTAAACACTGCAATTCTCCCCGCTATGGAATTTCAAGAGAAAGCTTCTTTGAAGTCTGTTGGTATCCTATTCACCGCTTTCGAAGGAGCAGAAACGAAACCAGTGAGCATCACAATCAGGGTGAGATCTTTTCAGCTATACACTTTTTCGGTTGGTGCAGAAGGTACTGATTGAGTTACAGATGTCTGCAGTCAATTCAAAACTTTTTTTAAATGAAGTTGGTGCCATACAAAGGGAACTACGAGGGAACTAGCCGCATGCTTCTGGTGTGTCAATTAACTTGCACATGTGAGGGTTCAATCCGACTGTGCACTAATTGATGATCTGCTGACGGACATGTAGCGCAAGGTACCGTTGCAACAGAGGTCTGTTTACGAAAGGGGCTTGACGACAACATGTATGAGTATGAAGGTTATCAATAAAAGAAAAGGGTGATTTAGAGGCTTCAGAAGGCGTTTATTTAAATAGCCAGGCATTAAAGGATACAGACGCAATACAAAGAACTGACAAATGTACTCAACATTGTTTACAAGATCCGTGAATGTCAAGTCACCTATCACCCACGCATCGTCTGTGACACCACGCACGTGACTACGCGTTGCTACCACGAAAGCCCACTCACGCCCGGCTTAAACAGTTTTCGATTCAGGTACGGTCTACACGTTTAGCAAAATTGCTCTGCACGACTGTATGGATACTTAACGACCTTTAAAGTAATATTTTCCTGGTTGCTGATTTGCGATGAAGCCTGATTCTGATCTCAATGATCAGCAGGCTGATGATCACCATAGCCATCCTGATAAGAAGCGCAAACGCTCCCTCAATGAGCAACAGAGTCTCTGCTTGGTACAGCATGGAAAGGATGTACTTGGGAAATCTGCTGACCAGGAAGAAAACCAGCCTGAATTAGGTGGAGGGACTAAACTGACTGTGAAGAAGGCACCGTCTCGGTGTACAAGCTGTGTTATAGAATGGCCTGATGCGTTCAAAGTGTTAGAAGAGACTCATAAGGCTTTGAATCTAGTCTTTACATTTTGTTGCAGCCGGAAACATCTTGCAACAACGTTTGAAAACATAAAGCCGACAGTCGAAACTCACATTAAGCGACCACTGATGGAGGAAGAGGTGGCATTAGTAGTTGCCTTGCGACCCGAGGGTATCAATTTTACTTACGTGGATGAGCTCATGTTACAGCTTGATATTAAGGGCTCAGAAAGAGATGATACGTTTAAGCCCTCGAAATCCTCTCGCTCGCAAGCTCCCGCGCATGATGCATCCGTAGGCGGATGGACGGGAAACGAGAGCCTGGATGATCACAGCCGCAGTAAAACCGGTAATGGTAGCCGAGAGGTGCTATTCTTTGAGTTCGTCGACGGAGACCTAAAACGCGAGGTGCAAGACAAGAAGACGGGCGAACCTGTGCGGCCAAACCGCAAGCTTCGCGACGAGCAGCTGAAGATGCCGATATACGGTCAGAAACAGATGGCTCAGCTAATTGAGAGGAGAAACCAGAAGTTCAAAAATGCTATAAATCTATTTCTGAACAAGTGTGTGCAAGATGGACTGGATCCTGATGTAACTCTCAGGGAGCAGGCGCAGGCTTTCATCCCGAAACCATCTCCAACGAACGATGTCGCAGCAGAGTCAAGACCAAGTACAATACCGGGGAATATCCCGAAGGAGCGTAAATCGATACCAGAGATTGTGCAAGAGCTGAAAGAAAGCTCTTGGTATACAGGGCAAATCGTACCGGACGGCCATAGGGTTTTCGAGCCTCAAGAGGCTATTTATGGTGATCTTGGTTTCCTGTTGACTCAAGATCTTGTCAACGCGCTGTATAATGCCAAAGGTATCACGCGCTTCTATGCTCACCAAGCGGAGGCCCTAAACCACCTCCACGAGGGCAAAAGTGTCGTCGTGGCAACATCGACCAGCTCGGGCAAGTCTTTGATATACCAGCTCCCTGTCCTATACGCACTTGAAAAAGACTACAATTCCAGAGCCATGTACATTTTCCCGACAAAGGCATTAGCGCAGGACCAGAAGCGGAGTTTGAAGGAAATGATGGTCTACATGCCTGGCCTTGAAGCCACAGTCGTTGAAACCTTCGACGGTGATACGCCAATGAGCGAACGCACTGCGATTCGTGAAGAAGCCAGGGTTATATTCACGAATCCTGACATGCTTCATGTCACAATATTGCCACAGGAAGAACGTTGGAGAACTTTCCTGAAACATTTGAAATACGTAGTAGGTCTGTAGAAGCCTGCCTATCCCTCTGCATTATCACTCACTAATTTGACATTGTATCCAGTTGACGAACTTCACTATTACAACGGGCAGCTCGGTTCACATGTTGCTTTCATCATGAGAAGACTAAGACGCATTTGCGCTGCAGTGGGAAACCGGCGAGTCCGCTTCATCTCTTGTTCTGCAACTGTTGCCAACCCGAAGGAGCACTTCGAAACGATATTCGGGGTTAAAAATGTGGCGTTGATTGATTATGACGGATCCCCTTCGGGACGCAAGGAATTCTTGTGTTGGAATACACCATACAAGGATCCGGGTGACCCCGCGAGCGGCCGTGGGAATGCGAAGCTTGAATGTGCCAGACTTTTCTGCGCCCTCCTGCTGAGAGGTGTCCGAATCATAGCGTTTTGTCGGGTTCGAGCCCAGTGTGAGATCTTGGTTAATGCCATTAAGCAAGAACTAGAGTCTCTCGGTCGACCAGAGTGTATAAATCTAGTTATGGGCTACCGAGGTGGTTATACCGCCGCAGATCGCCGCCGTATCGAATCTGAAATGTTTGAGGGCAAATTGCTAGGAATTGTCTCGACTACAGCACTGGAATTGGGCATCGACATTGGCACTCTTGACTCTGTCATGAGTTGGGGGTTTCCTTATACAATTGCAAATTTGCGTCAACAGAGTGGCCGCGCGGGGCGGCGTAACAAGGACTCCTTGTCTATTCTTGTTGGGGATGGATTCGCGACAGACCAACATTACATGCAAAATCCAGATGAGTTGTTTACTAAACCTAACTGCGAACTTCAGGTCGATCTTAGCAACATGCTAGTTCGGGAAGGGCATGTCCAATGTGCGGCATACGAATTGCCAATTAGACCTGAGCAAGATGCTCAATATTTTGGAGCTGATATTTCCGACGTTTGCAGGACCCGCTTGATTCAGGATGAGATGGGTTACTATCATTGCCATGATCGATTTCGACCTCAGCCATCTCGCTATGTCGCAATACGGGACACAGAAGACGAGCATTTTGCCATTATCGACATTACAAATGGTCTGAACACCGTATTAGAGGAGCTAGAAGCGTCAAGAGCTACATTCACCATATATGATGGAGCCATATTTCTTCACCAGGGCAATACGTACCTTGTGCGAGACTTTCTCCCCGACAGACAAATGGCCAAGGTAGAAAAGGTGAAGGTGGACTGGACAACTACCCAGCGAGACTTCACAGATATTGACCCAACAGAGACAGAGGCGATTCGGAAGATCCCATGTTCCTTATCCCAGGCTTACTATGGAACAATTAAGATTCAGCAAAATGTGTTTGGGTATTTCAAAGTGGACAGGAAGGGGCGAGTTCTGGATGCCGTCCAAGTCGACAACCCGCCAGTTATCCGGTACAGCAAGGGCATGTGGTTGGATGTTCCAAGAACAGCACTGGACATTCTTCAAGACCGACGTCTGAATTCGGCCGCGGCGATCCATGCCGCAGAACATGCAGTCATGAGCTTACTTCCTACATTTGTCATTAGCATGCCAGAAGACGTCAGGACTGAGTGTAAAGTGGCGCTGAAGGAATTCTCCAAGAAGGAATCGCAAAGAAAGCGGCCTGCAAGACTGACATTTTATGACGCAAAAGGTGGTGCTAGCGGATCGGGCATCAGCACCAAAGCATTTGATCACATAGATCATTTGCTGAACATGGCGCTGCGGCGCGTTGAAGAGTGCCAATGCCAGCGTGGCTGTGTTGAATGCGTGGCATCGGTCATGTGTAAAGAATCCAACGAAGTAATGAGCAAGGCCGGGTGCCGTGTTGTGATCAGGAGTCTGCTGAATATGGAAATTGACGTCGATCAGCTTCCAATGGGGCCGGAAGAATTTAACCCAGTGGGCTTCGAGACTGTTATACCAGCTCAGCCTGTACCCTCTAGAGGCCAAGCAAGAACGAAAATAGGCACGATGAAAAGCGAGAGGCAGGATGGATAACTTTGTGGTGATATGCCTTATATGGGTGGGTTGGATGGATGGGCTGAGATTGGCCCTGGTTAGCATGCATGCCTTTGACAATGCTACACGCAGGCAGGTATTGAATCAATACTACCAGACGAATAACAGCCACCACGGAAGGGCTTCTTCCAGACCTTCAATGTTACGAGTCACGACTGCGGAGTAGTGCCCAGGTGTGTTGTCCCCATCATCCATGCAACAAACTTCAAGTAGGCAGAGCGTGGCGGTTCACTGCGATTTTTGAGAAAGCTGCAAACGAGTTGGATGCCTAGATGCCGACCACTTTACGGAGTACACATGCAAGGTTCCACATGAGTATACTCTCTGGTGCTACTGATTCGAGATGACGCTGGGCATTCATCGTTCCGGCATCCCGCGTTGGCCAACTCGACATTCGAACCTTCTTGCGATTGTACTCAACCGGGCTCGCACAAGACTGGCCATGATATATTTCGATTATACAATGTGAATATCTCGTCACAGAGCATCTAGATTTCAGCAGCTGAACCTATCATCCGGTCTTCTTTGCTTGAATAGCCACGTCCGCGGCAGAACTCGTCATGCTCTTCAAATGTAGGACATGTGTCCGGACCAGGCTCCTTTATTTATTGGGAATGATGCATGCACTAAATACCAGTGGTCTATCTGCGGTCTATGTGGCTGAGTCTTCATGACGAAGCTCAACTAGAAACGACGGGCAGGACGTTACATACTGTTGGGCGGCAATGCTCTATATTTTGCAATCGAATGCTTGACTAGCCTCCTGAATTCGCCTCAGAGTTACGAGAAGAGAATAAAACTTGGCGAGCAAGTATGCAAAGAGGCTATTCAAAGATGGAATAGTTTAATCGAAACGCGTGGAAGCTCAGGTTCGGCGGTGCCTCTTGGAGATACGATTGACGAAAAGTTTATTCTAGATATAAAAGAAGAACATGGTCGGGGTGCTGTGAAAGGTATACCAATTCTTTCTTTCTTTCTTTCTTTCTTTCTTTTTGTTCAGGTCCACAGGCCCGGAGTACTTGCTAAATAGCATCAATACAACCACTTGGCTACTAGGTTCCTAGTCCTTGGGAAGAAAAGTGCTTGAGACGAAGGTGATCCTTTTGCCTAGGGTTACTTTACTCAGAATACCACAATATTCTCATCCGGCCATCCCAGAACCCTCAGTGTTTCGCAGACACCCTTTTCCATTTGTTCCGGGCCACAGACCAGAACTATATCGTCTTTGTCGAGCCTTGGCGATCCGATTTCGCTTGAAATCAGGTCCTTGTCAATTCGGCCAGTCCGTCCTTCCCATGTAGAAGACGGACGACTGAGGCAATGGAGCAGGCTACACCTATGCTTCGCGCTTGATGCCATTTGGTCAAGCTCCAGTCTACACAAGATGTCTTCCTCAACACGATTTCCGTCTAAAATAACGCACTCGGTGGGGTCATCGGCACCCTTTATCATGGCTCGAAAGACTTGAAATATCGGCGTGATGCCCGACCCGCCACATATCATGTTAAACCTGGATACATGGCGAGGTTTCCCAGATATGGAACAGAGGCCCCTTCCAAGATACTCGAATTTTCCCACTGGTCCCTTGAAATCAACAAAGTGTCCCACTGGAATAGAATCAAGTGCCTGTGTCATCTTGCCACCTCTACGTTCCGGAGTGCCGTGGTAGATTTTGATCAAAACATCGAGCCATCCTCGGTCTGTACCTTCGGAAATTGGAGTATAAGCCCGGATGATTGACTCTCGAGTTACCGGGTCGCGCAGCCTCATCATCAGGTGCTGCCCAACAGGCAATCCGACTTCTTGCTCGGCGTGATCTAGCTTGAATCTGAAGATCTTGGAGTCTGAAGAAACGCTGATCTTTTCCTGCAGGGTTGCTTTTGTCCAGACTTTGCTGTCAAGAAACACGCTTCGACTGGGATCGCATTCATTAGTCTCGCCGGACAGTTGCGCTAGTGCATCTTCGTCGAGTTTTCCAATATGATACGCAGGCATCATAGCTTTGGCGTTTTCACTGTCTGAATGGAGCCGCAGTTAGCATAGACAGCATACTAACAGCAGGACGGAGCACGTCTTTATTGGGAGGCTATTCTTACGAATTGTGACAAATTCCTCCGTGACATCTTGTCCAGCAGCTCCAAATATAGATGCAGAGCCACCGGGATGACCCTCCAAAAACGGTGTTCCGTCGTATACCTGTCCATCAACAATGAACCAAGGTTCCTGTTCACCACTGTGGGATTTCAATTCACACATGGTAACCAGACGGTCAGCTCTGGGGTTAGTCATGCATACATCCTGTTCTGGTTCTTGTCCCATCACATCTTCAGTTTGGCCAGCCAGCTTTTCACCCCACGAGCCATTTGTGAGATTGCCTCCTGCCTTCTTGATCCGCTCCATCCACCCACCGGGAATCAAAGCAGGTTGCGTAGGGTGCTCAAACTGTAATGCGTGGCCGATGTCATGGACGACAACCCTGAACCAAGGGTTGTTCATCATACCCAAAACACTCCAATACATGTCTCTGGGCTGTACCATGAGGCTTTCGTCCATTGCTCTGACCATGATGTCCGTTGTTGTTTTGAGATCTCCGATGTCAATGTCGAGTTCCCAGAAACACCAACAAAACGATGTCTCCCGCCACCACATGTCAACTCTTCCGCCATATAGTCTTTCTCCGTCGGGAGCAAGGCGATATCGGTCCTCGGGGTAATCAATATTGGCCAATCTCCAAGTCTTGCCCTTGTCCAAAGTAACCTCGATCCGAGTAATCCGTTTACCCCCACCACCATACGCGTATCCCCGGACTTTATAAGTGCTCGAGTCGCCATTTAGTAAAAGTGTTTCATTATGTGCCGGGTAACAGATGACGCTATTGGTGTTAAGGTCGTATATGGCATACCGCTCGTCTTTCCATGTATCTGGCAGGTCGGCACTTGCCTCGGGTGTCACCATAGTTGGCAGAACTCTATTGTCATAGATGTGGTACCAGTTATCGCTTGGTTTCTCGGTGACTGTTATCCTCTTCAGCCATTTGACACTACGGCCTCCGATTTGTCCAGGGATAACGACCCGAACAGGCTTGCCGTGATCAGGGTGCAGAACACAACCGTTCATTTTATGAGCAACCATAATACCTCTGTTTGGATCTAGGCACCAATTGAGCTTAACAGACGTCCCATAGTAGCCGTTTGGCAGTTTATCAGCTCCCTCGAAACATACATATCTCGCACCTCTCCTCGGTTTTGCCTTGGCTATCAGATCGCCAAGGGCAACACCAGTCCACAGAGCTGTTGAGAGACCGGCTGAGCCCCATGAGAAACCCTTTGACTTGCGGACCACATTCTGCTCCTTGCGGCGATTGCCCGCGCAGACAAGAGTGATGGGATATGTCACCTGCTCATAAGATGCGATGAGCTCCCTGACGCTAAGAGTAAATGGATTCTCAACAAGGCCATCGACGGTGAATGTCCACTGATCCATGTCACCATCGTCACATCGAGGTACTGGCCCATGGTTTCTAACATAGTGAAGGTCCTCACTAGTTAAAAACCCTTCATCATATAAGTCGCGCAGGGGAGGCTCGCAATTGAAGGGATGTGTTCCGGTTAGTCGAATCAGTCGAGCGTCTCTTTCAACGTGGCTGTCCGGCGTTTTGAGATCCTCTGGTCGAACTGATTTTTCCGAATTTGTTGGGGGGAGAGGATAGATGAGGGCGTCGTTATTTGCTATGGTAGGCGATACAGGGAAAGTGATATCGTTGGAATTGCCATCCGCACTACACCTCCGAGATCTCCCCACGGTGCTGGGGGGGCTCGGAGGGAATACAACGGTTTTCTGTTGGAAACTCGGTTCCGAGTTGCTTTCAGACTGGGGCATGTTGAGCCTCGAATAGGCACAGGGTGCGCAGGAGATGGAGGTTTAGTTGAAGGCTGAAGGATAGAGCTACCTGTAACGGGCCCTCAAAGCAAGTAATGGACAATGGATTGAGGGGAAGAGAAAAGGCACATGTATGATGCAAAATAGCGAGGTCCTAAAAAACTATCTGCATTATCGGGGGATACGGTGTGGAAGAAAGAAGCCTTGCTTTTCGGGTCGAGATTTGTCCAGACGGGATCGAAGTTGCCAGAGTCTTATCAAGTGTCAAAGCTCGAGGCATCCGGATATTGGGAGTAAATCTTACACATGGGATGCCCTTTTGACCGCATAGTTTCAAGCCGATTACTCAACTAAGGTTGGATAGTTGCCAATCACAGCCATGCCACTCTCGAGTCTGGACGTCACACGTTGAGGATACAGCATTTGATAGAGTGTACTCTGAGACCAGCTTACTTCCGCGGAAATCTCCATACCCAACGCATAAGGGTATCAGGGGGTTGTGGAGTGGATGGAGATAAGGGTTCACTCTCCGGAGATGCATCAGTCGCGGCAATGGCGATGGTCACGGACGAAGGCGATGGTTCAACAGCCGGCCGGCTTCAAAAGAATCGGGCCACTATCGGATATGGGGCACCGTGTCGATTTGCGACTCTGTAACTAGTGCCAGGGAGACATTTGACGACGGCCATGGAGGGAGGAAGGTTTCACACCTTGGGTGGTGACAAAGGTACAAGACAAGTCCATTTCGACGGGAAGCCAGGATTGAACGACGGAAGTTTTGACAAAAATTGCGGTCCCAGTAGCTACTGCCAAGTACTAGGTAGGTACTGTAGACGAGGCTTTCCAAGGCTTTCAATGTGTTGAGTCTTTGGGAGAATATGCTTCAGGTTGTCCGACGCATCATTAGCCTTGTGGTCGGGCCGGGCGGAGGCAATTCTACTGATGTCGATAAAACTAATCAGAACGGAGGCGCGTGCGGCCAGTCTAGAGGCAGCTAGCCAGGGCGGGCACCTTGGCCATGCCCATTCATATTGGAGGGATTGATATTTGCACACACGAGTTGTTATCATTTCGAACGAGGCGTGTGTTGGTCGATACGTGCGTACCTAGCTAGTTGATACGGTGGACTTATCAACTGGCTGAGGAGCCCATGTCGTGGCGTCAATCGAGGCTTATCTTCAATCAACGTGATAAGGGGTCAATCCCTGTCTGAGTCTAGGTTCCAAACATGGTCCTGACTGGCTTTCATGTCTCCAAGTCGCGTGGACTTCTATCAGTAAATTCTGCGCACCTCGTAGTCTGTCTACCTCTAAGTACTTACCTAGTAAGCCTAAGTTCTAAGTACTTAAGTACTTGAGTAGTGTAGAAGCATCAGATGATTGTATGCGCCTACTAGCGGGTACATACATATCAATTGATAAGTACTTAACTAATGTACCCGACCCGCAAATTGTCTACACATGCAGCTACTTAGTAGATTACCATTTCCACGATACTTGCTCCATACCATTCATTCTAAGACACCTGAGGTGAGTGACTGTGAGTCTGACTGTGCATGTGCGGCAAAGGAAGGGGACAGGGGTGGGAGTAATACTCGTAGACATTCGACAACATTTTGATTCCGGCAGCCATCGACAGAAAAGCATACGATCATAAGTAACCTCGAACTTTGTTCAACTCTTCTAGGGCACAGCAGTTCAATATTCAATATTCACAAAGCAAATTGCAAACTGGAGCCCTCAATGCTCTCGTGCAACTGGACCGAGTAGAGAGCTGACTGCTGGCACCAGGTACTGGGTACTCGTAGACCAGCACTGACCACATGCAGCATTAAATGTCTTGACAGGCAGCACAACAGCCCACAAAATCTTGTAAAATTGATCGCTGATTGGCTTCTGACGGCAACACCTGCAGTGCCGTTTCTGGTTGCCCTCTCCACGTGCATCGTCAACTATCCACCGCCATCCTCGAGCTACGTTTGGCTTGTCACGACCATCGAGGGGTTGCCATGGACCGGCAAAGGAAGCGTATGTACCCTGTTCGCTTACCATAAACATCTGTTGCCATGACTGACAACACTTGACAACAGGCGAGCTGCGCACCCTGAATATCAGGGCATGGGATGGGGAGGCTGGTTTGTTTCTCATGTATCATCTACTGCTCACTGAATTCTCGCTAACCTAGTCCCTATGCAGATATTCTTGTCGTTTCCAATTCACTCGATTCATCGCTGAAGAAAAATACGGCCTTCATCAAGCGTCTTCGGACCGCCATCAGCCCCGCTACCCTAGCGACTTTTTTACAAGAAATTCGGACTCTGAGCCTGCACAAGTACCTCTCCGAGATAATAGCCGCCTGCTATGAAGGTCTTTGCAGGCTCAAGTCTCCCGGGGAGATCGAAGCTGGCGTTGAGATCGTGAGCGCCCTCCACCAGCGCTTTGGACCGACCGAGTTTACTGAATACCTCGCCTGGCTGCTGGGTAAGGGAATGGCTACTCCCGACAAGACTTCTCTCAAGAGTCTGGCCATCGAAGTCCGCGAGAAAGAAGAAAAGGAAAGAATCACCCGTCAGAGAGCCCTTCTGCGAGTCATTACCGAGCTGTGGTTAGTTGGCGTTGTCAGAACCCTGGATGATGCCACAAAGCCTGATGATGCCACAAAGGGTGCTGCTGCTGGGAAGGCTGTTGAGCTCAAGAATCGAGCAAGCTCAACCAAGGCTGGTGGTGCTGCCGAACCTTTCCCCCTAGAAGTGCTCAAAGATCTTCTTGGCTACGACCGGGAGCATGCCAATTTGCCACTGCTCGTCATTTTTGTCAAGTCATTTAGCTGGGATATTTTAGGGGTCAAGCCCACCGGGTCAGACGGTCGGAAAACGGTCGAGGAAGATGGTGCCACGAGTGGCCAGAACGACATCGTACAAGTGGTTGACGAAGCCACCGAGTTAAACCAGACTCTAGATCAGCAACCATTCACACCACCCGATATGGCAGAGCGATTCAGGAAAGTTTTGAAAAAGTATTTTGACGATGTGGCAGCGCATATTGTGAGGGACCAAAAGTCTATCCAATCTCAAGCTCGTCGAAATGCCGAAGCCTACGTAAAATCCGGTGAAGTGTTCGAGGACCGCCAAGCGAACTACGAGAAGCAAGTCAAAGCGCAGGAACGCCTGATATCTAATGCGCAGGTCATTGCTGATGCTATTGGCGCTGAGATGCCCGACTTGAAAGAGTCGTACGATGCCCTTGCCACCTCCAGTGGCTCGATAGGCTTGGTCAAGACGAGCGAGTATTTGCGAACCATGGGCGAAGGTGCCGGAATATGGACAGATGAGGATGAGCGTCGATTTTATGAAAATCTCGTCGATCTCAAAGGCAAAGTCCCACCGATTCTACTCGAAGACGGCAGGAGGAAGAAGGTCGACGGCGAGGAACAAGTTGGCAAGAAAACGGACGCTGCCTCAGAATCCTCGGATGCGGCAAAGGCCGCTGCTGAAGCTGTTGAAGATCAATCAATGGCGATAGCTAATAAGACTATTGGTGCTCAAGTCGATGCCTTGTTGGCACGTTTACCAGAACTTACAAACAAGGACGTCATTGACCAAACTGCCATTGATTTTTGCTTCCTCAACTCCAAAGCCTCTCGCAATCGACTTGTGAAAGCCCTCACAGAAGTGCCTAAGGGGAGAAGCGACTTACTCCCGTCATGGTCGCGATTAGTTGCTACACTTGGCAGATATATGCCCGATGTACCCAAAGGACTTGTTGATTACCTAGATGCAGAATTTCGAAGCTTGCAGAGGAGAAAAGAAAAAGACTTTTTGGGACAAGTCAGGCTCAGCAATATTCGATACCTGGCTGAACTTACCAAGTTTGGTGTCGTACCTGAACATGTTGTATTTCATTGCCTTAAAGTCAGTCTTGACGACTTTTCGCGCATGAATATCGAAATTTTGTGCAACCTGATCGAAAATTGTGGTAGATACCTTCTCAAGAACCCCGAAACTGCACCACGTATGGCCAGCTTTCTCGAAACTTTGCAACGGAAAAAATCTGTACAGCACATTGGACAACCAGAGCGTATGCTCATCGACAATGCTGTATACTACGTCGATCCTCCTGAACGACCTGCTATTGAGCAGAAGGAACGAACTCCAATGGAACTCTTTATTGCGAAGTTGGTGTATAGCGACATGACTAAACGCAACTATAGCAAAATTCTGAAGCAAATTCGGAGGCTCCACTGGGAAGAAACTGAGGTATGGCTGGGCGGATCATGATCGCAGGTCCGACCGAAAATCCACACAGAGATTGCTTTGCTGACTCAAATTCACTAGGTTGTGTCTATCCTTGAAAAAGTATTTTCCAAACCTGGAAAGGTGAAGTATGGAAATATTCACCTATTAGGCATTCTCCTAAGCGCCATCTACCGTTATCACCCTGAATTCGTGGTCAAAGTGATCGACAATGTTATCGAGTCAGTCAACCTGGGCTTAGAACAAAACGATTTTCGATTCTTTCAACGCCGAATTGCAGAAGTAAAATATTTGGGAGAACTGTATAATTATAGGATGCTGGAGCACCCTGTCATATTTGACACCATGTACAAAATTCTCACATTTGGATATGGTGAGCAATTACAATGGACCCCCTGGCAAACCTCTTTTTGCTTATTATTGCTGTAGGAGGACCACCAATTCCCGGTCGACTTAACCCATTCGACCCTCCGGATGACTTCTTTCGTATTCGCCTCATCTCTACGGTTTTGGAAACCTGCGGAATGTTTTTCAATCGAGGAGCTGCCGGCAAGAAGCTGGATTATTTTCTATCTTTCTTCCAGGTAAGGGTTGCAACACTAGGGCATGTTTCAGTTTTGTGGCATTGAATGCTGGCTAATACTGTTTGATAGTACTATATTCAAACGAAATCTTCCCTGCCTATGGACATCGAGTTCGTTGTTCAAGACATCTTTTCACTCACCAGGCCGCAATGGAAAATCGCTACCAGTATCGAAGAAGCCACTAAAGCGCTTCAACTTGCCATAATTCAAGATCAAAAGACTGCCGGTATTGATAGGGCTGCAGAAGTGGATGACGCCACCAGTGGAGCTTCATCCGACGACGATAATGCTGATGTAGATGACGTCGAGCAAGACGGTGAGGGGGATGAAGAAAGTGCCTCGGAAGATGATGAGGTTGAGGTAAGCTGAACACCGTTCTACTTATCGTTTATTTTCTAACGTTGAGAATAACAGGATGGAGATGATGAGTCTGCCAATGATAGTGACTTCAATGATGAAGCCATCGTGGTCACCCGCCAGGAGGAAGTCGTTGACCCCGAAGACGAGGCTGATTTTGAGCGAGAATATGCGAAGATGCTGGCTGAAAGCCTTGAATCTCGGAAGTTCGAACGCAAGCCACTGTTTGATGTGCCTCTACCCGTGAGACCGAAGAACCGAGAATCGTCGACGGGTGCTCCTCAGGATCAGGAACCGTCTGCTCCGAACCATAAAATGGCTTTTTCGCTTTTGACAAAGAAAGGCAATCGACAACAGGTTTGTTTTCATGACGTGGGAGTTCTATTTTTGTCGCATTGTTCACTAATGGCACACGCGTAGACTCGCACTGTTGAGCTGCCATCTGATTCTACCTTCGCCATCGCTATGAAGACTCAGCAGCAGGCTGAGAAGGAAGAACAACAGCGCATCAAGAATCTGGTTCTCAACTACGATCTCCAGCAAAGCGAAGACCAGGAAGGTAAGATTGGCGAAGCCAGACCTGTCCTGTACCGTTTATTACACTAACATTCTCTGTAGGTAGTGAGAGAGCAACAACATTTTATCACAACCGAGTTGACCGCTCGAGTAAGGATCGGGGCCAGAGGGTTAGAAAGCTTCAATTGAGTGATGTCGATTGGTAACAATTAGGCACAAGATCAATAATGATGCATTATAATCCACACCAAAACGTCATTTAGTCAAAAAGAGTCATGAATAGACCAGAGAAAGACTTGATTCTCCAAAGCAACTACATCGCATAAATAGCATACTCGAGTCTAGCACTTGGGGCTACATGACGGGGGCTGATTGTGAGATGGTGGGTCTCAATGAACCAGTTGGCTGATGGAGCGAAGGCGCAAGAATTTTGGGAACAGAATCAGAAAAAGTTCCTCATGATATGTCGGTTAGACGTTGTGGCGGATGATGCGGGCAAAAGTGACATCAGTTCTTCAGACTGGATTGCGCTACGATGACGAACATCTTCCATCGGAGCCGCTTCAGACAGCTGATCCCAGATTATAATGCAAACGAGTGTCCACAGCTAGAGGCTGAACACAATATATTTTGACTGGATCAGAGAGCAGGCCCTTCTTAGACAAGGCTTGTTGTACAGGCCAAGACCTGCCGCTGAGCAGCTTTTAGTCGCATGTTACTGCTGGCGTTACCAGATCAGATGGACACAACGAGTTGCCTGGCATGGCTTTTGCGTTTCCAAGCTGATCGAATTTGACCAGCTTATGCCAATAGGGCCCTGAAATATGGGAGATAATAGACACCTCCGACAACCCTTTGTGGATATATTTATTCTTTATTTTTTCGCATAAGAAATGGTGTGACATGCAGAATTACAAGCTAATCAATGGGCATCCATGCCGATTTTTGTAGTGCCGTGGGATGTCCAAAACACCTTAGGTATTGGGTACCTAGGTAGGTACCTACTCACTACCTAGATCTAGGAAGTAGCAGACAATCGATCGCAGAAGGTACCTTCCCGTTCTAAACTCAGAACCACGGTTCAGCTCTGGGCCTTTCTCGGCACTGCGCCTGGTCCCAAGTACCCGACTGAGCAGATACACAGGTCCTGGGGACTTCATATGGATTGTAAATCCAATCGATGAACGAACTTGGGGCCTCATCATTATTCTCTGATTTTTGGCATACCAATCGAATCGTTCGATGAGTGCGAGGGACGGCCCAGAAAATTCCCTTGCCGTGCACAGCCAACCACAAGCTCAGACCTCACCCCGATCCAAGGACCATTGTGTGTGTAACCGCCTAGGCATGTAGCCAAAACGGGATTCCTGTCTCGGGTCTTTCAGTTGCATCTCTTCCTGAACTCCATGCACGCCTCTCACCTTGCACAACGGCGAGACGGATTCTACCCATCGTGTATTTGTCCTTGACCGAGAATAAGGGCTACTCCTTTTCAGTCCAGACGTTTACTGTCCATCGTTTTGCGAAGACATAATGGCTGTCACTATCGGAGATTGGCCGCTTAAAGATGTAGGTACCTCTGGATCTTCTTGTTCCGATCTCAAGAGGAGTGTCAAGGTAGTCGTGACGAGATAACTAACACCTGTCTCCTCGGCATAGGTCATATACACCATCATTGTAGGACTACTCATGCTGATGGCCTGTTTTGAGTGGTTTCTTTGGCTCGCGGCCTTCATGTACTGCTTGATAAAGGTGTTCGGAAAGGCAGAGCACTGGTCTATTCGGGCCCTCTGTCTAGTTGTTGGTTCTGCTTTTGTTTTGCTTCGGTAAGTCTAGAGCCCCTCGCCTGACCGGCAAGGCAGGACTCGGCGTTGCTGCCTTTACCCGCAGTATGTTGGAACTAACTTGGATATCAAAAGATGCATTTTCCTCCCTATTATGATCGTTACTCTTCCCCTTCCACCCGCCGTAGCAAATTGGTGGCCGGAAACTGTCACATCCTTCTTGCAGTGGTTTGCTTTTTGGAGTTTCTCCATCTTACTCACGGTTCCATGGCTCTTTTGCATATATCAACTCGTCACAAACCACCTGGGTCGCACAAAGCGTATAAAGAGGGTTCTGGATGATTACACGGCTCCCAAAGTCGTCGTTGTCATGCCATGCTATCGCGAGGAGCCTAACGTCCTCATCAGCGCAATTGATTCTGTTGTCGAGTGTGACTATCCTGCCCCTTGCATTCACGTTTTCCTTTCTTTTGATGGCGAACAGGTAGATGAGCTCTATCTTAACACATTGGGCTTGCTTGGGGTACCGACTACATTAGACTCGTATCCTAACTGTATCGACGTTATTTACAAAGGTGTTCGAATTACAGTGTCACGATTTTCTCATGGCGGCAAAAGACAGTGTCAAAAGTCAACCTTTGAGCTGATTGACCGCGTGTACGCCGACTACATCAAGCAGAATGACAACATTTTTATTCTATTTATCGATTCAGATTGCATCCTTGATAGAGTATGCCTCCAGAACTTTGTTTACGACATGGAACTGAGCCCTGGCAATTCGAGAAAAATGCTCGCCATGACTGGAGTCATCACCTCGACGACCAAGAAGCACAGCATTATTACCTTGCTCCAAGACATGGAGTACATTCACGGCCAACTGTTCGAACGCACCGTGGAATCTGGCTGTGGCTCGGTCACTTGTCTTCCTGGAGCATTAACAATGCTCCGCTTTTCAGCATTCAGAAGGATGGCCAAATACTACTTTGCTGACAAGGCTGAAGAGTGCGACGACTTGTTCGACTATGCCAAATGTCACCTCGGCGAGGATCGGTGGCTCACCCATCTTTTTATGATAGGAGCCAAACAGCGGTATCAAATTCAGATGTGCACTTCCGCCTTTTGCAAGACAGAAGCGGTACAAACTTATGCATCTCTTGTCAAGCAAAGACGCCGATGGTTCCTGGGCTTTATAACGAATGAGGTCTGCATGCTAACCGACTGGAGGCTATGGAAGAGATATCCAGCGTTGATATTAGTGCGGTTCATGCAAAATACGATTCGAACCACGGCACTTTTATTTTTTGTCATGGTTTTGGCGCTCTTAACTACTACGGCAAGCGTCCGCAATCTGCCGGTGGGGTTTATGGCAGTGTCTCTCGGACTGAACTGGCTCCTTATGCTGTATTTCGGCGCAAAGTTGAAGAGGTTCAAGATATGGTTTTATCCTCTAATGTTCGTCCTTAACCCCCTGTTTAACTGGTACTATATGGTGTACGGGATTCTGACGGCTGGGCAACGAACGTGGGGGGGCCCACGAGCGGATGCTGCAGCGGCCGACATGCACACTACAGCCAGAGAAGCTGCGGAGCAGGCAGAGAGGCAAGGGGACGAGTTAAACATTGTTCCGGAAACATTTAAACCGGCAAAGGAGGCCAGGGCAATAGTTCGTGAGAACCAAGGCCCTGGAATTCCAATTGTCCGCAAGCGAAGTGTTGTGCGCCCTCCGGACGTTGTCGATGGTCAGTTTTCTGGTCCGAGGAATATCAAGGGTACAATGTACACCACTAGACGACATCTCCAGCATGCTGAGCCAATTTCCGAACAAGCGAACCCGTGGCCAGCCTACGATGCTGATGGGACATTGACGCATGGCGGTGAGGGTGATGCATACATGAGTGATGAGGACAAGAGGAAATACGCCATAGCTCACCAGGCTCGAAGACTGAGACTGGAGCAACGTCCACGAACAGGCCCTGGCCTCAACGCAAGATGGCACAACAGTCCGCAAGCAAACGAAACTTCCCAGGGGAGGAATCAAGTTGATGAGGTGGGAATTGCTTTCTAGATTTCAACTGTTGAATTTGGCTGTCACTGGCGAGCAGATGATAGTTGTGGTGTAATTGCGGACTTAGTCCATACATGGTTTCGCCGTTTGGAACCTTTTGGTGTCATTCGTTTTCTTTGTACGGCACTGACGATAGCATTACAAGTACGAATTCTGTGAATATCTGTAATTGGCAATATGGGCCCAACAGGAGATTTAACTTCTGTTGATTAATTCTTGGATTTATGTGACTCCAGGCGAGTTTGGTTGGCATTGCCTCGGCGCATCAATGGTCGGGTATGCTATGCCGTGCATAGCCAGGCATACCGTTGACGACCTTGGCATTATTAATCTTGCATATTGGAAGAAATTGCAACCGTCCTGGACTGGATGACGCTTCTATTTGTTGACAAAGCACGTGTTACTTGGTACTTACCAGAGCAATGATTGCTAAAGTCAACGGGCCCTTCGGGCTGGAATCTGGGTACCGAGTAATACTTGCCTACCTAAGTAGCTAGGTACCTAGGTAGGTAGGTGGCTACAAAATCGCATCCGACACGACGATTTCGAAGTGGCACTGGGGTGCTGTAGTTGGGGGGGGGGGTAAGACTCCTTGCTCTCTGCAAGTAAATGAACCAGTTTCAGTACCACTTTACCTGTAACATGCACGTTTTCTCTGGCGGCGACTTTGGGTCCTGCCCTGCCTCGGGCTCGGGCTCTGTTGGATTAGGCTGAACAATGCCTGACGAGAAGAAAATTATCAGGTTTGCGAACTGTCAACCGCCTTGCCGCCCTCACACGTATGCAAATGGGACAGACGTGCAGAGTACTGATATGCGCCAAGACGAAATTTGACAAGACATCATATGCTCATTGAGAGGACAATGGCCTATGTCTGTATGTATTACACAGCACGGTCCGTCCGGTTGGAGCTACTACCTAGGTCCCTATACCTACCTGGCACATTCGCGCGCGGCCCGTAGTTTTGGTGATAAAACGGCCATACAAGCTATCACAAGACAGGCCCTAAATTATTATGAGCTGCTAAAAGCCTGATGTATTAAATAAAAATTCTAACGAGCTGTCTCGTCACAGTTGAGGAGGTTAGTGATAAATACTAAAACACCAGACCCCTTGCGCCTTCTAGGTACCTAGGTACTTGTACCTATATGTAGGTCAATGTTGACTCTAGAAACTTCTTCCTACTTCCACGTAGATGGAGCAGCCACATCGACCCAGCTCGGACGCCACGGGGTACAGAGTACCTATGCACGTTAACGAGGGGCATCTCCCTTCATGTACCTGGTAGGTATTCATCACGCAGCTGGAGACGGCGGAGGTACAGCTCCGGCCATCCGATCTTGGTGGGCTTTGCCAATGATCCAAGTATCCCGGTACCCCCATACCTGGGTGGCCAATACCGTTTACGCGGTCCAGCATCTTTACCTTGGAAAAAGTACTGTAGATAGTGATTTTGAAAGCTGAGAAGTGACAAAGTTTCTAGTAGTTTTTAATCAAAGGCGCATTCCAGCATGGTTCTGAACTGTTGCCTTGGCCAAATGCCCCTTGTCATGGCGGGTACCCCCACAAGGACGCCGTAAGAACTAGAAGCTGCCATGCGATGACTCCTCCCATGTGTACCTAGTACGTGTGTGTGTGTGTGTTTTTTTTTTTTTTTAAAGACTGTTGCCCCTCAACCCCTCCGTTGCAAAGTTCATGGAAGAGGACAAAAAAAAAACCGCTAGTTAAAAAACTGCCACACACCGCCCACCCGACCAGCCAACGTCCTGTCGACCCGAGCAAAGTGCATCCACTCTGCCGGCCAGCCTTCTCTCACCCCAAGCCCGAACCTGCCCTCTCTCCGCTGTTACTTTTTCTGCCAAGTGCCCTCTGACGTCTATACACGCCTCAATAATCAGAATCCTTTCCTTCTCTTTTTCTTTCGCTTTTCTCCACGCTACGCCGTACTCGTGTCTTGCACGTCGTCAACACCCCGCCTCCCGCCCGACCCCCCTCACTGTGGCTGCGATAAGAGATAGAGACAACATCAAGACTTTGAAAAACTACACTGTAGAGCGCCAACTCTGCAAACTACAGGCACAATGAGCGTCGTGGGTACGTAGGTGTACCAGAATTTAGGGTACTGGAAGCTATAATGCTCGTCCTCGGCCTGGAATATGCTTACTGGCATCGTTATGGGCTACTCGTTGGCGGTTTTTAGCTCCTAGCCCCTCGCTTCTCTATCTCTTCGTACGTGTGACCAGGACTTAAGAGCAATGTGCTGACCATATGATCTTCAACAGGTGTCGATTTTGGAACGCTTCAAACGGTGGTCGCTGTCGCCAGAAACCGTGGTGTCGACGTGGTATGTTGACGATACTTCCTTCACCCTTCCTGCCCTGTCCCCTCCGCCCATGTCGTTCTTCCGTTTTGACTCACCTATTTTGCAATGAATCGTGCTAAGAGACATCCTACTCATAGATCACCAACGAGGTTTCCAACAGAGCTACCCCGTAAGTCCATGCCGATCAATTGTCGACCCACTACTCGAATTCCTCATCACATGCAGCCATATGTCTTTGAAACACATGTTTAGCATGTTGTCTTGCTGTTATGTCCCGCTCCTCTTGATTTCCTCGTACGCTAACAATGCTCGCTGTCATAGCTCCATGGTTGGTTTCGGCTCCAAGAATCGCTATATTGGAGAGGCTGCCAAGACCCAAGAGATCACCAATCTCAAGAACACAGTGAGCTGCTTGAAGCGCCTTGCTGGTCGATCCTTCAACGACCCCGACATCAAAATTGAGCAGCAGTACATCACAGCCCCACTTGTTGACATCAATGGGCAGGTTGGTGTCGAGGTATCCTATCTCGGCAAGACGGAGAAATTCACAGCTACTCAGCTCGTTGCCACCTACTTGAGCAAAATCAAGCAGATTGCTGCTTCCGAGCTCAAGTTGCCTGTTTCAGATCTCTGCATGAGCGTTCCCCCATGGTTCTCTGATGTTCAGCGCCGAGCCCTGCTTGATGCCGCTGAGATTGCTGGCTTGAAACTCCTCCGCCTCATCAATGACAACACTGCGGCTGCTCTCGGTTGGGGTATCACCAAGCTCGACCTTCCCGCTCCAGAGGAGAAGCCCCGTCGAGTGTGCTTCGTGGACATCGGTCACTCCAATTTCACCTGCTCCGTTGTCGAATTCAAGAAAGGAGAACTCGCCGTGAAGGGTGCTGCTTGGGACCGCAATTTTGGAGGCCGGGACTTTGACAAAGCCCTTGTTGACCATCTTGCCAAGGAGTTCAAGGGCAAGTATAAGGTCGACATCTACACTCACGGACGCGCCATGGCCCGCACTATCGCCGCCGCTGAGAAGACGAAGAAGATTTTATCCGCCAACCAACAGGCTCCTGTCAATATCGAGTCTCTGATGAACGATATCGATGTTGCCGCCATGATCACTCGCCAGGAGTTTGAGGCTATGGTTGAACCCCTTCTAAACCGCACGCAGGCACCTCTGGAGCAGGCCTTGGCACAGGCTAAGCTTACCAAGGATGATATCGATGTTGTGGAGATTGTCGGTGGTGGCTCTCGTGTTCCTGCTCTCAAGGAGCGTATCCAGGCCTTTTTCGGGAAACCCCTCTCTTATACAATGAATGCTGACGAGGCCGTCGCCCGTGGCTGCGCTTTCAGCTGCGCCATTCTGTCCCCAGTGTTTCGTGTTCGTGACTTCTCAGTCCAAGATATCATCAGCTACCCCATTGAATTCGCCTGGGAGAAAGCTGCCGACATCCCTGACGAAGATACCAGCCTGACTGTCTTCAACAAGGGTAATGTTCTTCCGTCGACCAAGATCTTGACCTTTTACCGCAAGCAACCATTCGATCTCGAAGCTCGGTATGCCAAACCCGAAGACCTGCCAGGCAAGCAGAACCCTTGGATTGGACGATTCTCTGTCAAGGGTGTCAAGGCCGAGGGTCAAGATGAGTTCATGATTTGCAAACTCAAGGCTCGAGTCAACATTCACGGCATCCTTAATGTCGAAAATGGTTACTATGTCGAAGACCAGGAAGTTGAGGAAGAAATAAAAGAAGACGAAAAGGAGGACAGTGAGAAAAAGGATCCCGATGTAAGTTCTTCTTGCACTGTTCTTGAAATTTCTCCTCCTGTGAATCCAAAATCTGAAATTTTACCGCAGGCCATGGATACCGATAAAAAAGAGGATGCCCCTAAGAAGACTAGAAAGGTCAAGAAGCAGGTCCGAAAGGGCGACTTGCCCATTTCCAGTGGAACTTCTTCTTTGGATGCCGCGCAGAAGACCGCCTTGAGTGAGAAGGAGTCAGCCATGGTAATGGAGGACAAACTCGTCGCTGATACGGAGGAAAAGAAGAACGAGCTGGAAACTTTCATTTATGACCTTCGCGCTAAACTCGACGAACAATACGCCGAGTTTGCCAGTGACGACGAAAAGACGAGTATCAAGGCCAAGCTGGAAATCGCCGAGGTAGGCGCATTACCCAACATCAAAAACGCAATCACGAGACTAATTTCTCTAGGAATGGCTCTATGATGAGGGCGACGATGCCTCTAAGGGCGTCTATATTGCCAAGCTTGACGAGCTAAGAGCTCTTGCTGGACCTATCGTTCAACGTCACTTTGAGAAAATTGAAGCCGAGAGACGTGCTGTTCAGGAGCGTAATGAGGCCGAGCAGGCTGCCAAAAGAGCCGTTGAGGAAGAGGCTCGCAAGGCTGCTGAGGCAGAAAAGGCTGCTCAGCAAGGCTCTAACGACCAGGAGATGAAGGATGCCGACGCCTCTCAAGTCCAGTCGGAGGAGCCTACGGAATCCAAATAAATAGACATATTTGAAGAGAATCTGCATGAATAGATGGGAAATGAGTAAATATGGTGGATAAATGGATGGCACTTACCCATCAAAAATGAAATATACAATACAGGGTGGAATGAAGTTCTCCATGGGGATTATATCGCGAAAAGAGGAACAATCACAAAAGTAGTATAGAAGGT